ATGTAAATACCTCTTTTTGGTAAAAAAAATGGCAGCCTTTGAAATTAGCCTACAATCCTCGCTGAAAAAAAACAAACTATAAAGAGGCACTAAAAGCTTTTACATTTATTGCACGAAAAAGTCTCCTATACCAGCCTCCCTTTGGGATCTTGCTTGCTCCCTACACCGGGTACAGAAATTTTCCCATGTGGAATCATAAATCCTGTTAGATGAGAGCCTTCTTTAAGCCTGAATCACAGTAGTGATGTCTGACGAGTAGGACACTTGCGTCAGAAGCCGCCGTTCAAATGCCAGGTGGTCAACTGAAGCCACTGGGGCTCTGGGTGTTGTAGAATCCCCTGGCTGAGGGAGAGTCGACCTGGGGGTATCCTCCATGGAGGAGAGATCGAAAGACCCACGGGTTCGGCAAACCACGGCCGTCTGGCCAGTGTGGAGCAACCAGTATCACCTCTGCTCATTCCTGCAGTATCTTACGGATAACTGCCTGGGTCAGAGGAAGAGGCGGGAATGCAAATAACAGACCTCCTAGCCCACCAAACACTTGAGCAATTTGACCTTGGTTCCCAGAAGAAAGTTATTGTTTTGTCTGGAACAGAAGAATGCATTTTCCCTCCCCCCAAAGTTGTGGCAACCAAAAAATGCAGAAAGATGGCTGTGACCCAAAGTAGTTTTGTACGTTTGACAGTCCTCAGGAACAGTTGTAAATAATAGCCATTTTGTCTTTCTCAACGGGCAGACCATCCTACGTAAACCAAGGCAGATTTGCTCTAGATTTCAGCATTCACCTGTCACGAGCAGAAGAGAAATAACCAACCAAGAAGGGCCTGGAACTTTTAGCAGCACACTCTTGTTTACCACTGACAAAAACTTGCAGTGGCAAAAGATATCCTTGTTGTTTCTTCAACCACCCCACTCTGTGTGATTTAGAGTCCAGCCTAAAATAGGAACCAACTATTTATTCAACAGAGTCGATAATATAGAAGAGATAAACAGCCAGGCCTTGTGCGATATGCTGTAGAAAGAAGTTAAAAGAGCTTGCAAAGCCACCAAACATCCCCATTTGGTGTCACCTTCCCCTCTCTTTTTTCTCTTCTGACTGTGCTTCAGATTTCATTTGAACACCGTCAGCAATCCAGCCTGCTCCAAGTAGGCAGTGCGGCAGTGGAAAGCTGAATTTCTATCCTGCTGATGTAAACAGCCACAGGAGACATTAATGAAACGGTGTCTTGCTGCAGAGGGAATCTGCCAGCTCCTGTGTTAAGAGCCTTAGTTTCAAAGTTCACAGTCCCCCCATTTTTTAATGCAATTATGGGACGGGACTGCCAGTCACAGCCACATTTGAAGATTTTCATGGCTTGGTTTAGAAACACCTTGGAGGGAAAATAAACTATCTGTTGGAGAATTTACTTCGAAGGAGTTGCAGAAAACTAACAGCCATCTCCTATAAACCTTCATCTTGACCGTTCGTCTTAAGAAATGTATGCCATTTCATTTCATTCTAGACCAACATTTGGACTTTTTCTGGTGATGGGAGAGCCATTAAGAGGTACTGAAGTGGAATGTGAAAACTATTTGTTGGTGAATCCATCAAATAGCCTCAAGGCATTATTATGCCTGTAGCCCAAAGAATTCAAAAGCAAGAACAGGTAGTGAGGCTCTGAAGCTGACTTTATTAGAATCTTCAGCTTGCATTCATGTATTTTTTATATATCTTTACGCCCTGTCTTTCTCAGCCAGTATTTCTTTGAAATGCACAAGAAAGGAGTGGGTGATATATCACAAAAAGCCTTGGCAACCCACCTTACAACATGTCTATCCAGTTTTGGTCACTACGATGTAAAAAAGATGTTGAGACTCTAGAAAGAGTACAGAGAAGAGCAATAAAGATGATCAGGGGACTGGAGGCTGAAACATATAAGGAACGGTTGCTGGAATTGGGTATGTCTAGTCCAATGAAGAGAAGGACAAGGGGGGACATGATGGCAGTCTTCCAGTATCTCAGAGGTTGCCCCAAAGAAGAGGGAGTCAAGCTCTTCTCCAAAGCACCTGAAGGTAGGACAAGAAGCAACAGATGAAAACTAATTAAGGAGAGAAGCAACCTAGAACTAAGGAGAAACTTTCTGATAGTTAGAACAATGAACCAGTGGAACAACCTGCCTCCAGAAGTGGTGAATGCTCCAACACTGGAAGTTTTTAAGAAGAGACCGGACAGCCGGTATAGGGTTTCCTGCCTGAGCAGGGGCTTGGACTAGATGACCTCCAAGGTCCCATCCAGCTTTATTATTATTATTATTATTATTATTATTATTATTATTAGTTGGTAAAGTGGGGCAAAACTCACTTAACGAATGTCTCACTTAGCAACCAGAAATGTTGAGCTCAATTTTGGTCGTAAGTCAAGGAGTTCCCATACTGATTGAACAGCAGAGAAACAAGCCTGCGTAGTGATTTGGGTAAATGGGTAAAGTTGCAACCACTTTTTTGGGGGGGAAAGATTTCTGTTAAAGAATTTTAATTTATCTGTTGGTGAAAAATAAATCAGAAGCTCTCACAGTTGACTGCATTTAGCCAATTCAAAATAACTTCTTTATATTTATATCAAAATATTTACAATACCATACATTCTTTTTTTACAGCAACATAGCTCAATGAAGACTTCTTACACAGAGATACAGAGACAGACCCCAGCTTCTAACTCGATACCCTTTTTGCACAGACTCAGTAGCACTTTCTTCATATTGGCTGACTGAGTTACCACATCACTCTTCCTGCTCATGAATATTCCAACAATTTCAGTTGAGGGTGGAACAGCTAAGGGTATTTTTTTACTGCATTCATGAAATTCTTGAATGATAAGAAACTATCAACTGATAAGCACATAAGGCTGGAAACAGATGGGAGGAACACAATGCACAGCAATTCGAACTCAGCCAGAACCAGCTTCCCAGAGATAAATCCTCAAGTGTATTGGCCCTTATGCAGAGCTCTGCTCCTCGCGGGCTCTTTAAAGTTATGTCTCGCAAGGGGGAATTGATGGTATCTGGTTCTCGCATAGCATCTTCGCAAGAAGGAGAACAGAGGCGTCTATTTGTGCATAAATGTTGGCCAAGAGCCACTGAAGGTTTTGAAGTTGTTGGATACGAGGCGGCTTTCTGTTACATATCGTGTCTTCAGCACATTTTTGGACTCGACTGCAGAGCAAAAGCTTCGCTTCCGAGTCTGTAAAAGAATCCGGAAGGCGTTTACAAGGTAGAACTGTTATTTCAAACGGACAGCGCACCCCAGTATTTTGTATTTTTATGATCTAGTCTAAATGTGGATAGCCCTGGACTCACAGCCTACAACTGAGCCCTAAATTGATCTTTCTAAGTGTGATGTTTAAGTGAGTTTTGCCCCATTTTACGACCTTTCTTTCTTTGCCCCATTTTACGACCTTTCTTGTTAAATCAATCACTGCAGTTGTTAAGTTGCTAGCCCGGTTGTTAAGTGAAACTGGCTTCCCCACGGACTTTGCTTGTCAAGAAGGTTGCAAAAGGGGATCACATGACCGTATGACCATCATAAATATGAATCAGTTGACAAGCCTCTGAATTTTGACCACATGACCATGGGAATTACTGCTCGGTTCGTAAGGTCATAGGTCACTTGTGTCAGTGTTATTGTAACTTTGAATGGTCACTAAATGAATGGTTGTAAGTCAAGGACTTCTTATACATCGAAAAATATACTAATGGCTTCCTTCGTCTAAGATAGAATAGAATAGAATGGAATGGAATGGAATGGAATGGAATGGAATGGAGTGGAGTGGAGTGGAATAAAATATGGAATGGAATGGAATGGAATGGAATGGAATGGAATGGAATGGAATAGAGTGGAGTGGAGTGGAATAGAATATGGAATGGAATGGAATGGAATAGAAATAGGAATAGAATAGAATAGAATAGAATAGAATAGAATAGAATAGAATAGAATAGAATAGAATAGAATAGAATAGAATAGAATAGAATGCAGAGAGAGTAGGGTAGAATAGAGTAGAATGCAGAGTATAGAATGGAATGGAATGGAATGGAATGGAATGGAATGGAATAGAATAGAATAGAATAGAATAGAATAGAATAGAATAGAATAGAATAGAATAGAATAATAAGTTTATTGTCACTTTGAATGTACACCAATCGGTATGCATTAAAATGAAATTTCATTGCATTCAGCAATAAGAATAGGACTCCTTCTGGCATACATCATTTTAATAATATTCATTTTAGTTATTAACTAAGGTATTCATCAGTTTTGTTGTATGCCGCCCAGAGTCACTTGCTTTGTGGCTTGCAGAGATGTAGCTTTGTGAGCGGTATAAATTTGACCAATAAATATATATATCCAGAAACAATACCTACCGTGTTAAGTTTTGAGCCAGATACGTGCAAGGTCAACACCAAACATGACAACCTGGATTTGTACACTCGGCTAGCCTTGTTTGCGATTTCCTAATAACCACCGTTAACTAATCACACAGCCGCAGAATATCTTTGCATCACAATTTCTCTGCAGATTTTTGGGCTGTATATTCTGGGCTTCTGGCCACGCTGCCTGGCGCTTGCCTGCCATCTAGTGGCCGAAACCAGGTTTGCAGCTCCGCGTCTGGCCAGCCTAATTCAATCCAGGCATTAATTAATGAAATGCATTTAATTAATTGCTTTAATTAACGCTCCTTTTTCGTCCTCTCTCGTTCGCAGCCCATCAGAGGCGCTCCTCTCCAGCAGGGGAAGTTGCCACCGCGCCCGAGCCCCAGAAGCAATCCTACTAGACTGCGGCGATGCCCGGGGCCAACATGGCCGACGGCTCTTCGGCTGCCCGCTTCCAACATGGCCGACCCCCTCTCGCCTTCCCTTCCCAACGAGCGGAAGTCTCCCCAAAACTTCCGCCCGGCGACGGCCATTTGGCGAGCGCCCTCGGAAGGAGCGTCCTTTCGCCTTCGCTCAAGATGGCCGCAGACGCGTCGCTGACTCCCTCGCCAGGGCAGACCACGTGAGCCGGAAGAGCCAATGGCAGCGCGGGAAGGGCGGGCTGCCCTCCCCTGGCCCAGGCGCCACTTCCGGGAGGGCCGCGGCGCCATCGGGAGAAGGACGAGAGGCGTGAGGTGAGTCGGACGCGGCGAGGCCGCCGCTTCTCCGGCCTTGGGAAGGCGTAGGGGGGCCTCCCAGGGCGCTGCGTCCCCTCTTCGCCCCCGCCGGCCGATGGGGAAGAGCGGCGGACCTACCTCGCAGGGCTGTTGTGGAAGGGGGGGGTCCCAATGGGGGGGGGTCTAAATTCCCCAAAGACCCCAAGGGCTTCCATGCTGGAGGAGGGCACAGCGGGGTGGTGGTGGTGGAGGAAAGCCTTCCTTCACCCACCCAGAAGCCTTGTTTCTCAGACTGGCCTACCTGGCAGGGTTGTTGTGGGTGGGAAGCCCCACATTGCTGGAAAGCCAGCGATAAGGAGCCATTAATAGGGGTGGGGGGGTGGTCGAGATATGGTGGTTGCTGCCCCCAGGGCTGCTCAGTGGTGGTGGCGGGTTTGGGGGGAGGGGGGGGTGCCCTCCTGCCTCAGTTTCCCTATGTTAAGCCTTAAGCCCTCCTCCCTCCCTCAGTAAGGGTTGTGGGGTGGAGATATGGCGGTTGCTGCCCCCCCCAAAAAAACTTTGGGAAGGGGGGGGGAAACTCCTGCCTCAGTTTCCCCATCTTAAGCCCAGGCACTTAATGGGGTTGTGGGTTGGGAATATGGTGGCTCCTGCCTCAGGGTTGCTTAGTGTCGTGGGTGGGAGGGTGTGGGCTTGCCTGGGCTTGTCCAGGGCTTGCCTGGGCTTAAGATGGGGAAACTGAGGCAGGAGTCCCCCCTCCCCCCAAGTTTGGGGGGGCAGCAACCAGCGTATCCCCAACCCACAACCCCATTAAGTGCCTGGGCTTAAGATGGGGAAACTGAGGCAGGAGTCCCCCCTCCCCCAAGTTTGGGGGCAGCAGGTGCCTGGGCTTAAGATGGGGAAACTGAGGCAGGAGTCCCCCCTCCCCCCAAGTTTGGGGGGGCAGCAACCAGCGTATCCCCAACCCACAACCCCATTAAGTGCCTGGGCTTAAGATGGGGAAACTGAGGCAGGAGTCCCCCCTCCCCCAAGTTTGGGGGCGCAGCAACTAGTATATCCCCAATCCACAACCCCATTAAGTGCCTGGGCTTAAGATGGGGAAACTGAGGCAGGAGTCCCCCCTCTCCCAAGTTTGGGAGGGCAGCAATCAGCGTATCCCCAACCCACAACCCCATTAAGTGCCTGGGCTTAAGATGGGGAAACTGAGGCAGGAGTCCCCCCTGCCCCCAAGTTTGGGGGGGCAGCAACCAGCATATCCCCAACCCACAACCCCATTAAGTGCCTGGGCTAAGATGGGGAAACTGAGGCAGGAGTCTCCCCTCCCCCAAGTTTGGGGGGGCAGCAACTAACATATCCCCAACCCACAACCCCATTAAGTGCCTGGGCTTAAGATGGGGAAACTGAGGCAGGAGTCCCCCCTCCCCCAAGTTTGGGGGGGCAGCAATCAGTGTATCCCCAACCCATAACCCCATTAAGTGCCTGGGCTTAAGATGGGGAAACTTAGGTAGGAATCCCCCTCCCCCAAGTTTGGGGGAGAAGCAGCCAGCATATCCCCAACCCACAACCCCATTGCCTGGGCCTAAGATGGGGAAACTGATTTTATTTATCTGAAATGGCAAAAAATTTCGTCTTATTTGAAAGATCAATCGCAAGAGAAATATTTTTGGGGTGTGGAAAAGATGGGTGAATTTTATACAATGCAGATATGAGATTAAAAAGTATTATCTCGCTTTTGAATACTTTATGTTTAAGGTAACGATCGAACTATTGTTTTGTTTTGTTTTTATATATTGGAGTTTAAAGTATTTAAAATTTTGTTGTTGTTTTTTTTTGAATGTATTTATAATTGTTTGATGTTTATTTAAGTTGTAAGGTTTTTTTTTTTTAGTTTTTATTAACTCTGTATTCAGCTCTGGGAAGAAGGGGGGAGGATGATGGGTGGGAGGGGGGGAGAGGGGGATTATTTTATTGTAAAACTAAAAATTTTCAATTAAAAAAAAAGATGGGGAAACTGAGGCAGGAGTCCCCCCCTCCCCCAAGTTTGGGGGGCAGCAACCAGCATATCCCCAACCCACAACTCCATTAAGTGCCCGGGCTTAAGATGGGGAAACTGAGGCAGGAGTCCCCCTTCCCCGAAGTTTGGGGGGCAGCAACCAGCATATCCCCAACCCACAACCCCATTAAGTGCCCGGGCTTAAGATGGGGAAACTGAGGCAGGAGTCCCCCTTCCCCAAAGTTTGGGGGGCAGCAACCAGCATATCCACAACCCCTATCAAGGGAGGGGGGAGGGCTTAAGGCTCAACATAGTGTTAGAAGTAAAGTCTTCATCCTGGTTCATCCAAGCCGGGAATAAATAAACAAACATGGTGACTGCTTTGGGAAGAAGGTTACAGTTTATTGCAGAAAGATGGTCTTCAGGAAAGTACAGAGGAGAGAAGAGGGCAGAGAGATTGAGCACATGGGCAGTAGGTTTTATACCCCCCCCCCTAGCATTTTGTTTGGAATAGTTTCCTGTTCCTGTGGCATGAACCTTGAGGCTGTTTCTGAGTGTTTGTCTAGGCCTTGATATCTGTGGTTTAATTCTATTATCATATCCTGCTTCCCAGGTGATGGGGCTGACTCCTAGAGTTTGGGTGGGGTATGCAGATCTTCTCTTTTGTCTTCTTGATTGCTCTGGCTTCAACTTTCTGATGGTTTTACATCTGCATTTGTATAGGGCTAAAGTCTTGCTTGGGGCAGAGAGATAGATTTGGGGCCAGGTTTGGTTTTAAAAAGTCCTTTTGAGGAAAAATATATTTTTCTGCCCTTTTTAATATTTCTTTCTCTGGGCTAACTTCCCTCAATAGGGAAACTAAGGCAGGAGGGCACCCCCCCCACAAAAAAAACCCCTCACCGCTGAGCAGCCCTGGGGGCACCAACCACCGTATGCCCTCCACGGCTCTGAAAAAAGAACAGGATGGGGCACCGTGGTTGGGATAGATGACCTCTGAGAGTCTGCGCCAGGCTATTTCGCCAATTTGGGGTGGTTTCCCAAAGCCATCCCTGCAGTTTAGGGCCTTTCCACACACACATACACCCCTCTTCAGCACATAGCTGACCTTGGCTCTAATTGCAAAAGGCTCAGATCTGGTTAATTGTATGGATGGGAGACCACCAAAAGATCTTCTGGGTGTAGGGGGGGAAAAGGTGCCAGAAGACTTCCCGAAATTAAGAATCAAGCTTGATTTGTGGGGGGAGACACTTTATATTCTAACCAAGACTTTTTTTAAAAAAATCATTTCCTGTACAATTAAACTCAGTTGTTTGCTTTGAAATAGCCTCCCATCTTAAAGCAGCTTTGGGCTCTTGCAGCTCATAAAACAGCATAAATGAATGTGAGACTGTATACAACCAATACTGACACAAGGACTGTCGTGTGTGCAATACTGTCAGAATGTTGTAAAAGCAGAATTTTTTCCTGAATTAGGGACCGTTTAATTATTTAAACCCTATTTCATTATGGAAATACTATTTCTCCACAGTAATATAATCAGGGAACGATCAACATTTACCCATATTGTGGTGATTTTATTATGGTTTTTCTCTACTTTAATGTTTTGTCTTGTCTGTTGTACTGGATGCTTTATTTAAACTTATATTTGTGTTTGGAGCTATTGGATAAATATAAAAAGCAGGCTTGCTAGAGCAATAGTCTTCCCCATAATGATGTATGGATATGAGAGTTGGACATTAAGAATGGCTGATTGTAGAAGAATTGATGCCTTTGAACTGTGGTGCCGCCATAAATTATGGCGTATATCGTGGACAGCCTCAGAAACTAACAGAGAGGTGTTAAATCACATAAAACCAGACACATCACTAGAAGCTAAAATCATAAGACTATGTCTGATTTCCTTTGGCCACGTTGCGCATGCAAATTCATTGGAGAAAGCAATGATGCTAGGAATGGTTAATGGAATAAGAAGGAGCAAGCAAAGAATATGCTGGCTTGATAACATCAAATCTGATACAAAGATGAACATCCAACAATTGAAAGACGCTGTGCTGGAGATCACTTACCTATAAAGCCCCCAAGAGTTGGACGCGACTGAATGGTTAAAACATCAGTGATTTCATGACTTTAGATATGCTAAATAAATAAATAACCAGGCAGCAATACAGCAATTTGTTATTTATAAAAAAAAATGGATGATTCTATTTAAAAACTGTTAACCATCAGAACCGCAATGCTTTGACCTTCATTCTGAGTTGCCTTGTCTGTTGCAATAATTGTCATTTTAAGGTTAAAGACACATGGCATTACTCTTTGTGACATCATCCAGCTTTGACTTGGCACTTACTGCTTTGCTGTTAAGGACTGGCACTACATAACTAGACCATGCTGTGAAATATTTTAAGTCTCTTGCCTTCCTCTGCTGGCAGCTGCGGCTTTTTGCTTTAAAAACTCCAGAAGAATCAGAAGTCAACAAAAAGGCTTCAATGATCTAGCTCTCGGGCATCTCGGTGTTTTTTTAAAAAAAAATGCATTAACAACGTAGCCTCATACATGCCTGCTCAGATGTAAGTTACATAAAACGAAAGCTTGAAAAGAGAATAGCGTTCTGAGTTTGCCCACCAGCCAGTGTACTAGATTTAAAACCAAATTATTATTGAATAAAAACAGTGCTATGTTAAATCTTGTCCAAATGGCATATTCAACTGGCACTTGTTCAGGAATTATTATCTCTCTCTGGCAGAAGTGTTCCTTTTATCTCAGTTACTACGGCCTTATCTGTAAGAGGCATTCATCTTTCTGTTAAAAAGTTGTAATTCTAACAACTGTTGCAGGCACCGGGGCAGCTATAAACAGTTGTTGACTTTCTCATTTTAATGTGAAATGCATGTTCTGCTAATCTCCTACCAGCTGAATTTTATTTAAAACTCTTATCAGGGACCGGTTATTACTTCTCAATGAGGGAATCCTAAGCCACTTATATAACAGTACCCAATTATATGTCTCATATTCTAAGAACCAGTTTGATGGCATCTTTTATGCGTCTGTAGGCAGTCTTGAAAAGCTAATTAGGATTGGATCTAATTTATAATTGGATGGGAGATGAGTCGTCCGACAGGAAGCTGCAAAACAATATTACAGGGGAAATTTATGTCTTCAGATATCAAGTACCCCAGAGTTTTCCAGTATAGTCCTGGTTCTTTTATATCGGTGGTGTCCAACCTTGGCCACTGGCTTGTGGACTTCTAGAACTGTGGACTTGCAACTCCCAGAATTCTCCAGCCACGTAAAAGAAGGATGGCCAACTTTGGACACATTTAAGACTTGTGGACTTCTAGAACTGTGGACTTGCAACTCCCAGAATTCTCCAGCCATGTTTAAAACAAGGATGGCCAATTTTGGGCACATTAAGACCACAAGCCATCCTCTGGGAGTTGAAGTCCACAGGCATTGAAGTGCCAGGGTTGGACCACCCCTCTTTTACATCATCATCGTCCTCTCTTATTGCAGACCTCTGATTCCTTGCAGTCGAAATTGTGTTTTCATGCCGTTTTGCTTTGCTCAGTTTTCTCCTGCTTTTCTGGATCAGGCAAAGGCACTGGGTGGTAATCGCCTTCTTTCCCGTTGTTGCAGGCAGCTTTTGTCGTCGACTTGGTTCCCGCAGCCATGCTGGTAGCAAGGATGGTGTGCCTTCGGGCTCTCTCTGGCCACAGTCTGCGCTCTGCCGTTGCTCAGGTCTCCCCCGCCGTGAGAAATTCCTCCCTCAAGACCAAGCAGTGGCTCACGCAGCCTTACCAGGTAAGTCTCTCAGGAATCTCGCCCTCCTTTTATTATTTCCTTTGCTTTCACGCACGGGTCCTTGGTGCCAGCACCTTGTGGAACTGGGCTGAGCTTGAAACAGCTAAGCAGGCTCGGCCCGGGAGAAAATCTGGAAGAGAGATCACCAGAAACCCTACGCTGGAAGCTAAAAACCAAAGGGAAAGGGGGGGGGGAAAAGAGGTGTGCACAGGACTGACCCTGCAGACCTCTTATCTTTCTGGTTGTGACGAAAGGAATGGGACTCTGGTTGCCCCAATTGTCTGGATAATGTGGCCCTACGCAGCCGCGTTAGAAACTTCGCACTTACCTTTGTCAGTTCCTCAAAAGGGATTGAGCCGAGGTGGCGCAGCAGTTAAGAGTGCAGTACTGCAGGCCACTTTCGCTGACTGCGTTCAGCAGGTCAGCGGTTCAAATCTCACCGGCTCAAGGTTGACTCAGCCTTCCATCCTTCCGGGGTAGGTAAAATGAGGACCCAGATTGTTGGGGGCAATGTAAATATATATATATATATATACATTGCTGACTGGTGTACACCGCTTAGAGAGTGCTTGCACTTAAAAGCGGTATTTAAGTCTCATAAATAAATAAATTGTATGCGTTTGCAGGGGCTGGAAACGGCACGAGATTTAACTTCCCTGATCAGCCAAGTCACAAAGTCTCTCGGCTGGTTTCCACGTGTAGTATTTATTCCTCCAGAATCTGTCCTTTTGTGTTTGCGCGTGCCCCCAAATGAGATTTCTCACGCATGCCTGTCAGAATATCTTCCTCTAAAACAGTGGTTCTCAGCCTTTTTAATGCCGCGACCCCCAACCAGTTGTAAGTCGAGGACTACTCAACTGGTGCAGCACCGTTTGCAGAATGGGACTTTTGGCGGGCTCAGCAGGGCAGAGAGAGCCTGGACAATTCCTATTGGCTTTTGAAAGCCAATAGAATTAGACTCTATTCAAGAGAGTCTATTCTGTTGGCTTTCAAAAGCCAATGGAATAAAAGGGAGTAGCACAGCTAAGGAAAAGGGGGGAAAAAATGGTGGACTGCGTTGTTTGGCGACCCCCGTGAAATGGTCGTTCGACCCCAAATGGCTACCCACAGGTTGAGAACCGCTGCTCTAAAAGGATCCTCAACCTGATCAGTGTTCCTTCTAGAGCAGGGGTAGGCAACCTCGGCTCTTTTTTGGCTCATGGACTTCAACTGACTCGGGAATTCTGGGAGCTGAAGTCCACGAGCCATAAAAGAGCCGAGGTTGCCTATCCCTGTTCTAGAGGCTGGGAGGTGCAGCAATCATCTATGCTTCCTTCAGATCTCTAGAATTCACCTTCCCTGGTTTTTTGTTTTGTTTTGTTTTTTTAATCATAGGGATATGCCTCCAGGGTTCGGACGGGAATACGCCAAAGAAAAGTCGGTGAAGAAATGAAAGGAGCAGCTTTTGAACCATCGATGGAAACAGCCTTTAAAAGTAGGTGTCCATACGTATCTGTGAGGATATTAACTCTTTGCCAGAATCTGGATAGGCATAAGTCATAAGTAGGGTTCTGTGTTTTTTCACTCCAGTGTTTCTCAGCCTTGACCATTTTAAGGCATGTGGACTTCAGCTCCCAGAATTCCACAGCCAGCAATGCTGGCTGTGGAATTCTGGGAGTTGAAGTCCACATGCCTTAAAATGGTCAAGGTTGAGAAACACTGCTCTAGTTGATCTACGTTCTGATTAAAAAAACTCACACTGTGCAAACAAAGCATGCAATCTGATGGCAGATTAAACACTAGCCTTGGGCAGAAGTCAGAGCTGAACTAAGCAAAGGTCTTTTTTGTGGCAGCCCCTCAAATAATGGAATACCGCTATCGTGTCCCCCTTAGTCCTTCTTTTAAATAAGTCAAGGGCTACCTGTAAAGTGGGCCCTGAGCAGAAACCGTTAGGGAATTGTGTTGGTGGTGCGATCCTTTTTTTAAGGAAAGAAACTTATTTCAAGTTCATTGCTGTTTGCTCTTTCTCAGTTCACCAGACAGGACGGTGGATCGTGGCTGGGGGTGCTGCTGTCGGACTTGGAGCCCTCTGTTATTATGGGCTGGGGATGTCCAATGAAATCGGCGCGCTGGAAAAAGCCGTGTAAGCAGTTTATTTCTAATAGGAACCATTGATGGAGCGTCTCTCAGCGCAGTTGGCCTTCCAGAACCTCAGGAGATATGGATCTGTTTAAGTGACCTATTAGCTATATCCTGGCCAGAAGTCCACAAGGGAAAAAACATGGCAAATTCATCTCGCAATTAAAGTAATTACAGTAAAAATCAATGTATGGATAGCTCTAAGCACACGCTGGAGAAATGTAGTGGAAGGTGATTTACGATTCGGAACCTAGCAATAATATATTTTTAAAGATTCGCTTAAATTACTTTGAGGTGGGGTGAGGAAACATCTCACAAAGCTGTGTATTGATTTAATCATCATGCCAAGAACTGAGTTTGCTAAGTGGAAAAGCTTTTTTTGGGGGGGGGGGAGAAATAAATCTTTTTTTTAAAACAAGTTTTATTTTTTTTTTCATTTTACAAACCAGTGCTTAAGAATCAATTGTCCACGAACAAAGTCATACTCATAAAATTCAGATTAAATCATTAAAAACTCCCTCTCTTTTCTCTCTAGTAACATATTATATTCAAGTTAATATATTTCAATACAACTAAGTCAATCATAATAATCCTCAATAACCTTTCATCTAAATAGATCCATAAATCCAAATCCCGTGTTGAGCTTTGCTATTTCAGTTGCTATATTCCATATTTCTAATCTAAATGCACAATTAACACTTCGGGTGTCTCTCCATTACCTTTTTCCTTAACATATTCAATAAACATTAATTAGTATCATTTCTTCTTTTTTCTTATTCTTCTTCCATTACAAAATGGCTATCATTTCTAATAAAAAATTAGTTCAAAAAAGAAAAGAAAAAAACAAAGACAAAAGAAAAGAAAAGAAAGAAAAATACCTTTCTATTATACTTTATAATCTATCAATCAATCCCTCAATATCTGTTATCAAATTCCTTTAACTTCCTCCCAAAATTACTATGTCCAAAACACATTAATACATAGACAAACATCTTGTTATTAAATTCAAACCTTTGATTAATTTTCATTCAATCGAACCTCTTATTTATGTCTTAAGCCATAAATCAGTCCATAGCTAATAAGCCTTTTAAAGAAATAAATCTTGATAAAGAGTTTAGCACGTTGGCTTGTTTGAAGCTCCCTTTTTTTGTTTCAATTTAGCAGATAAATGAATGAAAGTCCCAAAGGCTGCTTTTCAAAACGCAACTGGACTTTCTTCGTGGAAGAGATTTCACTTCTCATCCAAGAAGTTTCTGAAGGAATTGGAAGAAGCTTCGTGGAGGAGAAGCGACACGCATTCCAGGGAGGGGAAGAAAAAACAGGAAAGTCCAGCTGAAGCTTTTGAAAAGCAGCTTTGGGACAGCCATGATCTGGATGATTGAGAATCTCCCTAGACATATGAATGGAAGGTACTTAGTGACTATATTCTTACTCCAAATGGACTTCCCTTGACTTTTGTGACATCATCCTGTCAATCAGTGTTCCACAGAATTCTGGGAGTTGAAGTCCACATGCCTTAAAATTGTCAAGGTTGAGAAACACTGCTGTAAATGATGATGCAGTCACGTGGTCGAAACTTGGACGCTTGGCCAGTGGTTCATATTTATTGGCGGTCGTCGTGTCCCGGGGGTCACGTGATCGCCTTTCACGGCCTTTTGCCGAGAAGCGTCGAGAGGGAGGCCAGATTCAACAACCGTGTTGTTAACAAATGCGGCGAGAAAGGTCGTCCAATGGAGCAAAATTGACTTAACAAATCTCTCGTTTAGCAACAGAAACTTTGGGCTCAGCTGTGCTCGTAAGTTGAGGACGCCCTGTATAATAAGACCAACATGCAATCTGAGAAAAGGACGTAGAATGATTCTTGCCCTGTTTGTGTCAAAGAATGCTTATTCCCATGTGTTTTCTGTGCTTTTCCAGGATTTGGCCCCAGTACGTCAAGGACAGGATTCGTTCCACTTACACGTACTTCGCCGGGAGCGTGGGCTTGACCGCCTTGTCTGCAGTGGCCGTCAGCAGATCCCCTGCCATGATGGGGCTGATGATGAAGGGCTCCTGGCTGGTAAGACCTTCTCTCCCTGTGTCATGCCTCGTCCGAGCCTGTCTCCGAGGAAGACATGGAGTTCCCTGTGTAGGCCCAGGAGGGGGGGGTCTGTGGATTCAGAGGACTGGGGAGGGAACAGGCTGAAGCAGGCCAGGGCCCTTCAACTTTGGAACAGGGAAGGCAGAGCTCGGGCGAGGAGCAAAGCCCCTCCCCACCAGATCCCAGAGCAAGGAGAGCAGAGAGGAGGAGGGAACAACAGAGGCAGGCTCACTTGCTCGGGAGGAGAGCGTCCCGCCCCACTCCACAAGGCACACCTGGGGAGTAGGTATTTAAGGAGATGCTGTGGGGTGGGGCGTTTGCCGGGAACAAACGTGAACTCTTGTGATGTGAGCTCTTGTACCTGGACTCTTTGTATTGTGGATCAAGTTTGTTTCCTGCTGAGTTCTCCTTGCTGTCCTCAGTTTTGCAGTTTGTAGGTTACAGGCAAGCTGGGCGTTGAAAAAATCATACTTTGTTTGTTATCTGTTTTACTTTAAAGAACTGTTTAACTCCGTTGACTGTTTTATTGAGCTTGTGCCAGCATATGTGGGGGCTGTTGGGTGAACGTTGGCAGTGCTTACAAAGACAATTATTCTGACCAGCTAAGTGCTTTGCCTCCGTTCGGGGCCCTGGGTCATCACACCCTGGCCCCAACTGATCCTGTGCTGGGGGGGGGGGGAAACAACTATATAGGTATAGGCCTTGGGTTTCCCCCCAAATAAGATCGGGTCTTATTTTAACGTTTGCTCCAAAAGATGCATTAGGGCTACATATGGGGAAATACGATAATAAACAGTCACTTAAACACGAGCCAATAGTGTGCGGCGGCAGCCAAAACAGCCAACACAGTCCTAGACTGCATTAACAGAGAGTTAGAATCTGTACCACTTTACAAGGCCTTAGTAAGACCACACTTGGAATACAGCATCCAGTTCTGGTCACCACAATATAACAAAAAAATGTTAAGACTCTGGAAAGAGTCTTTTTTTTTTCCCCGCGAGAAGTTGAAATTGACTGATTGAACCTTTTTTTTTTTGCACACGGCGGCGGAGGCCTAAAGCGAAAAGGTTTTATAAAACCCAGCTGAAGGCCTAGGACTGGAGCGACGGCGCGCGTGCCCACAGAGAGGGCTCTGAGTGCCGCCTCTGGCACCCGTGCCATAGGTTCGCCACCACTGTTCTATGTCGTGGCTGGTGTCAGCTTTGATGGCGCCCAACCCCTTTGCGGAGGGCTTCCCAAAATCCACCTGTTTCGGTTCAAAGGCTTTCGATTCAAGTTTCAAACATTGGGAAACATTTGTCCTTCCTAAGCTCAACCTTTCCCCCCCCCCCAAAGGGCTAATGGTATATCTTTAGATATTGCTGTAGGTTAATTGGCTAGGGTGAAAAGCCCCCTTTGAAACTTTATAGTTAATTGCCTCTCCGTTCGCTGGCCATTTCCAGAGAATCAACTAGAGCAATATTATCATTAAATATTAACTTAATACTTACGGGCCAAGCAATATTAAAGGGCTTACCTCCAGCATAACACAGTGGTATACAAGATAAGCTAGGAAATCATTCACAGTCAGCATTTCTCAACCTTGGCAATTTGGAAGATCTGTGGACTTCAACTCCCAGAATTCCTTGGGCTGGCTGGGGAATTCTGGGAGTTGAGGAACACCGGTCTAAATTCTCTATGCCAGTGGTTCTCAACCTTTTTAAAACCGCGACCCCCCAACCAGTCGTAAGTCAAGGACTACTCAACCGGTCGTAAGTCGAGGACTACTCAACTGGTGCAACACCGTTTGCAGAATGGGACTTTTGGTGGGCTCAGCAGGGCAGAGACAGCCTGGACAATTCCTATTGGCTTTTGAAAGCCAATAGAATTAGACTCTATTCAAGAGAGTCTATTCTATTAGCTTTCAAAAGCCAATAGAATAAAAGGGAGTAGCACAGCTAAGGAAAAGGGGGAAAAAATGGCGGACTGCGTTGTTTGGCGACCCCCGTGAAATGGTCGTTCGACCCCAAATGGGGTCCCGACCCACAGGTTGAGAACCACTGCTCTATGCAGTTCCTGTTTTGCTTTTGTGATTCTGATGAGGGTTAGCACGTTTGCAAGCCAAAATCCTCCAAGGAGGCAATCTGCATGAATTTCTATCTGTATGTAAAATATTGTTATCAGAAATTCAAAACACTGTTCTTTTTTTTTTCCCCAAAGCTGATTAGAACCACTCGTTTACTTATTTTATTTTTTCCTATTTTTTAATTTTTTTTATATAAAAGTTTTTTTTATTTTTTCCATTGTTTTTTTTTTTTTTTTTTTTTTTAGCTTAGCTTAGGACACCACATGGTGGTCAGAGTGTCAAATCATTCAAAAACAAAATCATATACCTATAGCTCAAATTAATTATAAACAATTTCCTCTCTATAAGGAATAATATCACTTAGTAAAATTAATACAATTTTAGATAAAAGTTCAATCAAACAACAATCCTCAAATCACCTTGCAATTATGATAATCTATATCCTGTGTTAAGCTTTACTCATTACAACTGTCATATTCCAGTTACATTTCAATAGACATATAGTTGGGATTTCAGGTATCCTGAATAATAGATCGTTCATTAAAACTAATTTTTTCCCTATCACTATTTCTTAATTTTGTATGCAGCCCACCTCGCCTGCAAGGTGACTCTGTGCAGCTATAGGTGATAAAAAATAGAAAAATAATTAGAATATTAAAACTGTATAGCTTTGCTATAGTTGAATCACTTGTTTAGGGATACCTCCAGCAAGGATGATATTTTGGGGGATGGATCAGAAATGCCAGACCTTTTTTTTTTTTTTTTTTTTTTAATGCTCTTGCGCCCTATTTGATGATCCAGCTATGTCCACAAGAGGGCACGGTAGTTATTTTTAACTATCGTAGTTTGTTTAATATGTACACATGTTTTTCTGCAATAAAGAGAACAGCCAGCTCTGGGACTCTGTCCTTTACTCAAACTAGGTAACATTTTCCAAAACGTTTAGTTTCAGAAGAGGGTTTATATCCCTGGAAGGAATAGATGCTCTAAACTCAAAAATTCAGGAATAGCCAGTCTTCTTCCCATTTTCTGACAAAAGTTAATATGATGAGTCTGCGTTAAATATGTGTAATTTTAGATCTCTGCCTCAAATTTTCTGTATGTCTTGGAGACATATTGGGCTATAGACACTAGACCAGAATAACGGCATGTCAGAGTTGGAAGGGACCTTGGAGGTCATCTAGTCCAACCCCCTGCTCAGACAGGAAACCCTATACCATTTCAGACAAGTGGCTGTCCAGTCTCTTCTTAAAAACTTCCAGTGTTGGAGCATTTACTGCTTCTGGAGGCCAGCCCATTCCACCGTTTAATTGTTCTCACTGTCAGGAAGTTTCTCCTTAGTTCTAGGTTGCTTCTCTCCTCGATCGGTTTTCATCCATTGCTTCTTGTCTTGCCAGAACAGATGGGAAATTAATTGGGATCACCGAGGTCATATTAATCTAGGGGAACACCCCAGCAGCGCAGTATTAAGGCAAGTGTGGCTTGCAAAGCACTTTATCCAAATGAAATAAATGAATAGCCATGTTTTGTTTGCAGGCAATTGGCGCCACCTTTGCGGTGATGATCGGAGCCGGCATGTTGGTTCGATCCATAGATTACGAACAGAGCCCAATCCCCAAACACGTGGCATGGATGCTGCACGCAGGTATTGGTGTTTCTGGAATTTGTTTTAAAACCCGTTGGCATATTGGAAAAATCCCCACCAAACGCTGTCCTGTATTTTGCTTTTTACATTTATTTACTTTTTTTTTCTGAGATCCTTCTTCAGCTCAAGCCCAGCTTGTTGAGTTAGCAGGCTGGGAAGCCAAGAAATGGGCACAGCCTGGAGCAGCGGTATCCCATCCTGTTCAAGGGGATGTATACCCATCACCTGAAGCTCGCTTTGAGAATAACTGCTTGCCTGTATAATTGGTAGCTGGGCTGTACAATTTTAGCGCCTCGCATTTGAAGTATTTCTACACGCTCTGCCACGTGGCATATGGGGAAGAAAAAATGAAAAAAGGGAGATTTTAATGAAAATTAAATTAAAGGTGCTGGTTTTGGAGACTCTCCCAATGTTGTGTTTAATCCTACAATCACACCCATTCCCAGTGCCACGTGAGATATTCTGTTTATTGTATTCTTTCCTTATACCGTATATGCCGGCGTGTAAGGCGACTTCCACAAGCGCTAAAATCGGCGCCAAAGACGGGGGTCGTCTTATACGCCGGAAATACTGGTAGTTTCCGGCGTATAAGACGACATTCTAGGAATGCGGCTCGGTGACAAAGACGGGGGTCATCTTATACGCCGGCATATACGGTATTTATTTTTTTTTCCCCAAAAGATGTGAAAATTGCCGGACCTCTGTGACATTCAGGGTCAGGATGCAGGGCCCGTTTAGTTTAGTCCTTTAAAAAAAAGCACGATAAATAATAAGTGAGGGGATCAACAAAGCTGCTACAGTTTTTCTCTTTCTTTCTTTCTTTCTTTCTTTCTTTCTTTCTTTCTTTCTTTCTTTCTTCCCAATTTACACCAGCCTCTCTTTCTCTGCCTAGGTGTCATGGGTGCAGTGGTGGCCCCTCTGACTCTCCTGGGCGGCCCCCTCCTCATCCGAGCTGCTTGGTACACAGCAGGGATCGTGGGGGGGCTGTCCGCCGTCGCCATGTGCGCCCCAAATGAGAAGTTTCTGAACATGGGAGCCCCCCTCGGCGTGGGCTTGGGACTTGTGCTCGTTTCTTCTGTGGGTAAGTTGACCGGCTCTCCTAAAAGACGGCCAAAAGTTCCGAATTAGCTTTGCTTGATGCAGGGGTAGGCCACCGTGGCTCTTTTATGACCCGTGGACTTCCGGACAAACTTGCGTGGGATAATTCCTGTCATTTTGTGGTGGGTGGACGGCAAAACTTAATTTTTTCCCCCCCTTGGACGTGTCTTCCAGGATCGATGTTCCTGCCTCCGACTTCCATCTTGGGCGCCGGCATGTATTCCATCGCAATTTACGGGGGGTTGGTCCTTTTTAGTCTGTTCCTGCTTCACGACACCCAGCAAGTTATCAAACGTGCAGAGAGTCAGCCGTACCTGGTGGTCGGCATGCGGAAATACGATCCCATCAACGCGTAAGTGTCGCTTCTCGCTGGAGGTAACGCTAGCCGAGCCTCCGATGGGTGTAACACAGACCCCGGGGAGAGATCCCTGGCTGGCGAGTTGCATGCCATCTTGTTGAAAATAATAATAATTCTCATTAAAAACACAGCCCTTGGGCCACCCAAAAACCTTGCCAACCCCTGTCTTGGATTTGCCATTGAAAACGGGAAGTTTGAAATGTCTTTTGTGGGCATATGATCAGGTATACAGAATAACAAAGAGTTGGAAGGGGGCTCTGGAGGTCATTTAGTCCAGTGGTTCTTAACCTTTTTGAACGAATCGCCCCCTTGAGCCAATGAGGAAGTTGTCATCGCCCCCCCCTCCCCCAACATCACCTCTCAATCACAACATAGGAAATAATTCTTCAATTTATACAAACACTTTTTTTGTTTTCTTTAAAATTGTCATCAGGACATATCGATGCAAATAGTTTATTTCCAGTCTTTTCCCCATATCGCCCATATTCTGGCCAATGGTGTGCCACTGTATGGGTAGAGGCTGCTGCGCAACGCGCATGAAAATAAGCGATGCGTCTTCACATATGTAAGGCGTTCTGTACTGAAGCTAGCTGGAGGAACATTTGAAAACATAATTCAATCCACTAATAGCGAGTGATCTGATGTTTTTCGTATGACAGATATACAGTGATTCACTGTACGAAAAAGTCTCAAAAGTGTCCCCAAAACTTCTCGCTCCATATCGCCCCCTTTTCGTTCCATTGCCCCCCTGAAAAATGAAATCGCCCCCTGGGGGGGCAATATTGCCTAGGTTAAGAACCACTGTTCTAGTCCAACCGTCTGCTCAAGTAGAAGACATACCATTTCAGACAAATGGCTGTCCAGTCTCTTCTTGAAAATCTCTAGTCATGGAGTACTGACAGCTTCTGGAGGCAAGTCCTTCCACTGATTAATTGTTCTCACTGTCAGGAAATTTCCCGTTAGTTCCAGGTTGCTCCTCGTTTCGTTTCCATCCACTATTTCTTGTCTCGCCTTCTGGTGGTTGACTGAAATACCTTTGTATTTCACCCTGATTAATAAGGCCTGTGAAAAAAATAGTGGATACTCTTTAAGGAGGATTGCACAAACCATGTTACTCTGACCTGTTTTCAGTGTGACAGGACATCCCATTTCAAATGTAAATCTGCCATTGTCTGTACAGATGGGGTGTCACAGGTTTTTTTCCGTATCGTAGCATTTCTACACAGGAGATAGATGTTTTTTTCCAAGTTTTGACAAGCTTCTTTGTCATAGCTCGAGGTGAGCCTCTTGCCATCCTATTAATGATTATTATTAATGCCTTAATTATTGTTTATTAATTTATTGGTAATTGCATATTAACGATTGTTCAAAAGTCAGCCTGTTACTGCTTAAAATTGAAATTCAGTTCAAACCCAGCAGATTCTGTCTTTAAATCCAAAGCTCGGTATGGACTGTTAAATGAGAGCTTTTCTGCAGTGTTTCTCAACCTTGGCAATTTGAAGATGTGTTCATGCCAGCTTTGGGAATTCTGGGAGGAAGTCTGCAAGTTGAGAAACAGTGGTTTATTATATTAATACTGAAACCATAGTCTGTGTCATTTGTATTTTATCTGTCTTAGCTATTTAGCTATTAATACACTGCCCATCTCAGTAATGTCTGAGTAGTTTACAAGTTTTTTAAAAATGTATAAATTAGTATTTTTCAACTTTAAAAAACTTAAGATGTGTGGACTTCTGCTCCCAGAATTCCACAACCAGCAATCTACACTGGTATAGATCAGTAATTTTCCAGTAGATTTTTCAGAGCTGGAAGAAAACGTAAGGGCACATCGGCTAGTAAAAATAATATTGAGGAGTAGTTGACTTTATTGAGGAGTAATTGGAGTGACTTTATTGAGGAGTAGGTGACTTTATTTGCAAAAGAACAGCTTTAGTTGAAAGAACACAGAACAGTTCAACAGTATGACATTCTTCTACATAACAGTCAAATACATGTTTTATGGCTGAACTACCTCTCCAAGGAATCTTGTATCCTCTTTTCCAGGTGTATGGGCATTTACATGGACACCCTCAACATCTTCATCAGAGTGGCTACTATGCTTGCTGGCGGTGGTGGCAGGAAGAAGTAGATGCAGCTTCACTGACAGGTCACCAGTCAGTTTCTCTTCTTAGTGCAAACTAGAATAAAATGTTTGTTGCGTCCAAGCAGCTTTCATATAGACGTTTGATATTCTAAGTACTCAGTCTTGAACTTCTTCTCGGTCAGCATGACTTAGGTCTTGGTTTCCAGTTGTAATTTGTAAAGCAGCCAGTGGAAACCAGTTTGCACGCACCACTCAAATCACTTTACTTGGATTGGAGAGGTTTTTGAAACGGAAAAGAAGTTCATATCAATAAATCTACATTTATAGCAATTGCTAAGTTCTCTTCTCCTTTCAAAAGGTCTGCCCACTCTGGTCTGGCGTCGTAGGCCTAGAAGACCATGTATGCTCTTTAGCAAGAATTGAATTCAGCTACGGATTCAGAAACTATAAAATCATTTCAGTGGAAAATCAGGAAGCTATCCAAGCATATTTGCTACCTGAAATTGGCTTATTTTGGACAGACCTCCTGGTGGAAATTTGATGTAGAGAGGAACAGTGGAGAGTAGCAAAGAATTCTTTGTGGGGCTGTGTTCTGCCCCGAAGTCAGGAGGGGCCCTCATCTTCAGCCATGTTTTTTTCTCAAAATCCTCTACCACAGCGTTTCTCAACCTTGGCAACTTTATGATGTGTGGACTTCAACTCCCAGAATTCTCCAGCTAGCGTTGCTAGCTGGAGAATTCTGGGAGTTGAAGTCCACATATCGTAAAGTTGCCAGGGTTGAGAAACACTGCTCTACCAAATACTAGCGTCCAACTGGCCCTTCCTTTTGATCATTGGAGAGGGATTTCTAAAAGAATATTAAGCGGGACTCTACATGCAATTCCAGAATTATCGGCTGGGGAAAAACAGTTGTACATAAACCTATAAGAGAGAAAATGCATTCAAAATGATGTGAAGATCCCAGCTTCTGTAACGCTCTCATTTCGTTCACAGATACAGCAATTCTGCAATGTATAGTGTCAATCTATGTTATCAGGTCTTAATAAATGAAATCCTTGCACAACATTTCATGAGTCTTATTGTCTTTGACACACTAGAGCACAGCTTCTTTGCGATCCACTGGGAAAGCCACACAACTTCCCAAATTGTCCAACGACATGGGCACCTTAGTATGTACCAGATTAGGAAATATTGCTCTATTGATACTGTAATTAAGTTATAGATGTAATCCTACTACATAGACCATAGTGAGATCTAGGTATAACCAGACCTTAGTGCAATAGCTTCACTATGTCTTGGATAAAATTTCCACTGTGTTGTATGCAGAAGGACTCAAGCTGGCTTACAAAAGGAGCAATATATAAATGGAATTAGCAATGGGCCTTCCATCTATTGTGGAAACAGAATTGTCTGTATCAGCACTTCTGATACACCCCAAAATGGATATTGTTTTGCTGCCTTGGTAAAAAAAAAAAAATACAGTTGAGAAAGCTAAACCTATAGTTCAGGAATACGAATACAGCCATATCAATCTAACATGTGGATTCAGCACAGTATCGATTCTGTAACTAAATAGTCTTGCAGAAAGAGCCTAAATAGTGGAAGAAATTGCAGTATGCAATTGCAACTTGTGACCACATTTGAATTTTGATGATGTGACCACAGGGGTGGTGCAACAGTCGTAAGTGTAAGGTCCTGCTTCAGCTAGCACTCCCAAGAAAACACAACGCTTGAAACCGGCATTGTTCCAACAGGAACTTTTATTGAGAGGTAGTGAAAGCAGAAAGGCAAGGCAAGATCTAAAGAATTCCCGCGCAAAACGTTACATTAAAAACTCCCCTTCATAAGACCCTGCCCAGTGCCCAGCTGTCCAGTTCGTTTTTCGCCAATCCACAGGTGAGACGTTGTTATGGGAACTGGAGCGATGAGGGATGGTTCCCACACATCGCATCTTTACAACATCTTTACAACAGAGTGGAGATAAGTGGAGATAAGGCATATGGCCCCTGGTACATTCATCCCCCTTTTCACACTCAACAGAGATACATCGAAGATGGAGAGAACAAAGTAAAGGAAATACATCCGTGAGCCCCCCCCCTCCCAACGGGGGGAAAATTCCCCCTCCCATCGGAATGGCAAAACCCCAAAAATATGAAATGAAGACATTCTGACAGTAAGTGTGAAAAACAGTCATCGGTCACTTTTTTCAATGCCATTGTAGCTTCAAACGGTCACTGAACAAACAGGCTACCTGTAGTTGTTATAAAATTGGGGTTTTGTGTCTTTTTTTGAAAAAACATTTTAATGGTTTTTCCATTTTACAAACAAGTGCTTAAGAAACAACGTGGCAGGGCAATCAATTGTCCACAAAACAAAGTCATACTCATAAAGTTCAGATTAAGTCATTAAAAACCTCTCTTTTCCCTCTAATGACATATTATATTCAAATTGATATATTTCAATACAATTAAATCAATCAACAATCCTCAATAATCTTTCATCTAAATAAATCCACAAATCCAGATCCTGTGTTAAGTTTGACTATTTCACTTGCTATATTCCATATTTCTAATCTAAATACCTAGTTAACACTTTGGGAGTCTCCCCATAGCCTTTTCCCTTAACATATTCAATAAACATGTATTAATATCATTTCTTTTTTCCTATTCCTCTTCCATTACAAAATGACTATCAGTTCTAATAAGAAAAGAAAATATTAGTTCAAATCGAGAAAGGAAAAAAGACAAAGAAGAAAAAACAACAAAACAAAAAAAGAAAAGAGAAAAAATACCTTTCTATTTCTATTATTCTTTATAATCTAACAATCAATCCCTCAATATCTGTATCAAATTTCTTTAACATCCTCCCATAGTTACTATATCCAAAACACATTAATACATAAACAAAACAACTTCTTATTAAGTTCAAACCTTTAGTTAATTTTTAGTCAATCTAACCTCTTATTTAACTAACTTAAGCCATAAATCAGTCCATATCTAATAAGCCTTTTAAACCCATTACATAAAACCATAAGTCATGTTCTTAAATCTTATTCTAGCTTTCCTTTTATGCCAAACTGGTTTCCATAGCAAGGCCGGGGTTTTGTGTCTTGATGGGAAAGGACCACCTTTGGCCCCATATGACTCACCACCATTCCATGTCTTGCTCCTGGGGTGGGATCAAACCTTTTGGCCCCACCCATTTGTAGACTGGCCAACTTGCTTCAGAAAGCAAGTAGACCTTGACACCTCACAGAGTTCCATGGACAATAAGGAAGTGGATCACCCACCTTCTTGGGAATTGTAGACACCCTAATCACGAAATCCTGAAGAACAGGTTGCATTCCACCGGGGTCTAATCTTTGAATAAATAAAAGGGTGGCCTTGTCACACCTGCCCAACCTAGGTGTATCAAAGACCGTTTTTGTGTCTGAGACTTGAACTTTGATACTTGGTCTTGCTGCATACCTTTACATTTCCACCTTTTTTTTTTTTTTTTTTTTGCCTCCCAAAAAATTATAAAGGTTTGCCTTCTGAACAGGACATAAACATATTCCACTGCTATGTACGGATCTTATCACATAGAATTAATGTCTTGATCCAGTCAATAACAACTCACCTGTGGGAGCAGATTTATGGACTTCAGAACCTCTTGGTGTTAGACATGGACACGCAAGCAGTATAGCTATCCATCCGTCAAGCGAAAAAAATGCAAACAGATTTTACTTCCTCAAAGAGGGGCAATCTCTTATCATTACTCCGTTTGGGAAACACCAAGAGATTAGCCACCGTAACGTAACATCGCAGGTCCAGCGAAGATATTGATGGATTATTTCCCGTTTTCTCAATGGGGCATGATTCAAGTCAAAGGGACAGAGAGGATAATCTATTTGAGAGGAGTGGACCGTTTCACGATCAGTGGTGATCTCAGGAAGGTATGCAGAAACAGCAGTGCAGTCTTTAGATGGTGAAAGAAAAAAACCCAAATCTTGGCACAGTCAAGGTTTGTCAAAGTCATCTAGTCTGACCCCTTCTCCCCCCCCCCCGGCTTGAGCAGGGGAGCCTATATACCATTTCAGACACTAAAATCCTGCCATGAAATAAATCTTGAATCAAAGGACTGAGCATTGTGTTTAATCAGAGTAACAGAATTTGGAAGGGACCTTAGAGGTCTTCTAGTCCAACTCCCTACTCAAGCAGAAGACCCTATAGTATACCATCCAGACAAGAGACTGTCCAGTCTTTTCTTAAAAACCTCCAGTGATGGAGCACCCACAACGTCTGGAGGCAAGCTGTTCCACTGGTTTATTGTCCTCACTGTTAGGAAATTTCTCCTTCGTTCTACAATAGGTTGGTTCTTCTCTTGATTAGTTTCCATCCATTGTTTCTTGTCTTGCTTTCTGGTCTTTGGAAAATAAGTTCACCCCCTCTTCTTTGTGGCAACCCCTTAGATATTGGAAAACTATTGTTATCACCCTAGTCCTTTTCATTACAATAGACACACCCAATTCCTGCAACCGTTCTTCGCGTGTTTTAGCCTCCAGCCCCCTAATCGTTTTTGTTGCTCTTTTCCACACTCTTTCCAGAGTCTCCACAACTTTTCTACATTGTAGTAACCAAAACTGGATGCAGTTAAAGCAGTGGTCTTTTTATACCGGCAACCCCGGTCATGAGGCGGCGCACCTGCGCGGCGGTGCCCCCTGTGTGGCATGCATGTGCGCCGGTGCCCCCTGCGCGGCACACATGCACGGGGTCGCCCCCTGCGCGGTGCACATGCGCGGCGGCGGCCCCTGCACGGCACGCATGCACGGTGCCACCCCCTGCATGGCGCATGCACGGTGCCGCCCCCATGCACCGCCCCCTGCGCAGCACGCATGCGTGACGCCACCCCCTGCACCACCCCCTGCGCAGCGCGCATGCGCGGCACCACCCCCTGCGCCGGCTGAGGAAAAAAAAGGCGCATCACGTTCTTTGGCGACCCCCGTGAAATGGTCGTTCAACCCCAAATGGGGTCGCGACCCACAGGTTGAGAACCGCTGAATTAAAGTATTCCAAATGTGGCCATACTAAGGCTTTGCAAAGCGGTACTGATACATCACGTGTTCTTGATTCTATCCCTCTATTAGTACAGCCCAGGATTGTGTTGGCTTTTTCGCAGGAAGGGTTTACAATAGAGGGCCATAGGTTATCTTCCCAGTCATAAATTTTATAATTTTGTGAGTCATTGAAACAGAGTCCAACATGATCAAACAGTAGCTCTCGACTCCAAAGTTCCCTTTGCATTGACATTTTTGGCAAATCTCCAGCTCTGAATTATGCAAAGGGTGGGTCGGCCCTCTTCCCATTCTACACACCAATATAAAAACCCAGATTCTTTCCACCCATCGCAATTACGCGAGGTTTTATATGCCCTGTACATAAACAAAGCCTAGTGTTAAACTCCTCAGATTTATTCTAAGGGGCAGAAGTTGCTACATTAGCTGAGATCATGAGGATCTGGAATGTTTTTGCCTTGCTGTTTATCTTGATTCTTTGCTTTGGGACTTTCCCAGCTGATGGGGCAGGTAAGCGTTCGGGTCCAGGGCGTTTAATTCATAAAACATTTAATTTTCCAAAGAACCGGCAAGCTGAATTGAGAAATGAATTGGATTCATTTAGCATACTTTTAGCAATCACGGGACACTACCTCCGAATGGGAACTTCCTAACTTCACATCACGATGGATGTACTCCAGGTTTGAAAAAAAAATGGTTCGCTATCGTTAGGAAAAAAAAAAAAAGATTTCAAAAATCTGGATTTCGGCTGCACGCAATTGAATCTCTAGTTGTACACAACTAGAGATTAATTTCTGTTTGCAATTGACAGTGCTGTTGGGGCTGTTAAATGTTTTCTGTTGCACTTTGAATTGACATAGATGTATTTTGTCACAGCGCTGAGGTGTTAGAAAATCCTTGGAGCACGATACTGAAGAAATGATTAAAAATAAGTAACATTTTCAAAGCAAGGACAGTGGGCATCAATGTATGTCAAAGATCTGTGTTTTAATTGTGGCTTGCAGTAGCAAGCAAGGGAAAACACTTATGCAGGCAGTCCTAGATTTATAATCACAACTGGGACTGGGACTTCAGTTTCTAAGCGAGACGACTGGTAAATGGTGTGCATCTTTTCCTCCTCCTTCTCCTCCTCCTCCTCCTCCTGCTCCTGTTCCTTCTTTATTGGGTTTTTTTATTTTTTTTATTATTATTATTCCTTAGGGTCACGAATGAGAAGAAGATGCTTGTGCAAAATGAAGAAACACCTACCTGTGATGGACGGAGGTATGTTTCCTGTCATTTTTTTTTTATCAGCATAAATGCAGACATCTCCTTTGCATGCTTTGAGAAATTTTTGACATAGCTCCTTTGCTAACCCAGCACCTCTCTCTGTCTCTCCCAAGTATTAAAACAGCCCCTCTTTTTTTTTTCAAGCTTCCCAGCAAGTTTGGGAAAAGGTACAACCGCTTTAAGGAAGGGACGCAATGCTTTTAATGACTTGATTTCCCAAAATGGAATAACAGACTTGGGAGGGATCTTTAGAAGACCTTCAAGGTCCCTCCCAAGTCTGTTATTCCGTTTTGGAATAACCCCCCTGCTCAGGCAGGAACCCCTATACTGGGGGTAGGCAACCTTGGCTCGTTTATGACTTGTGGACTTCAACTCCCAGAATTCCTGAGCCAGCCATGGCTCAGCTTGGAAACCTCTCCCTTTCCCCTCAGCATGGCTGGCTCAGGAATTCTGGGAGTTGAAGTCCACGAGTCATAAAGCGGCCTAGGCCAGAGATAGGTAACCTTGGCTCTTTTATGACTTGTGGACTTCACCTCCCAGAATTCCTGAGCCAGCATGGCTCAGCTTGGAAACCTCTTCCTGTCCCCTCAGCGTGACTGGCTCAGGAATTCTGGGAGTTGAAGTCCACCAGTCATTAAAGAGCCAAGTTTGCCTACCCCTGGCCTAGGCCTAGGCCGCTTTATGACTGGTGGACTTCAACTCCCAGAATCCCTGAGCCAGCCATGGCTCAGCTTGGAAACCTCTCCCTTTCCCCTCAGCATGGCTGGCTCAGGAATTCTGGGAGTTGAAGTCCATGAGTCATAAAAGAGCCATGGTTCCCTATCCTTGCCCTAGACCATTTCAGACAAGTGGCTGTCCAGTCTCTTCTCAAAAGGGCTGGATATTTATTCTGCTTGATGTCAAGCTCTGGAAAAAGAGGGTCTCGTTTAATGAGTAGCAGAAAGGTGTCATGGTCCACAATGAAGGTCCAATTTATTGCTGACAGCCCTATGGACAGGAATCTTCTCATCTAGTGGGTAACACCTGCTTGGAGTTAGATATGGGTTAATAGGCATTTGGCAGGGGCGGGGTTGCATTTAGTCTGGCTATGTGTCTATGTAGAGATTCTAGGCTGCTCCCTCTTTTAACTCCGCCCCGTGTTTTGCCACTCCATCTCTTACAAAGGAGATGTGCTGCTATTTGAAACCACAGCCTATTCTACAGATGAGTGTTATTTGGCAATGCTTTTGTCTATGTTATATTAGAGGTCAGCTGGTAGAAGCCCAAATTGAACTGAGGGTATCTGCAAATAATTTTCCTCTGACGGTCTTACTAGCTTAAAAACGGTCATAATCTCCATCTTGATTTCTCGTTTGATAGCTCTACAGTTTAGTCTAGCTTTGCCCAGGTTGAGATTGTCTGGAGGTTTTTGTTGTGTCCTGAACCTGCAAAAGCAGGCTCGGGACATTGCAATGGTCCCGGGCTGTTGCAAGCTGCCCGGGACCAGACTGAGTGGCGCCAGCCTGCACGCATGCGCAAGGCACGAAAGCGCACCATTCTTTGTTACCTTTTTGCCCGGGGATTCTATTTAGAGGAAGAGAGGCCTGCGAGCCTCTGAGTTGTGTTGGAGAGAGCTGAAGAGAATAAAAGCTGTTATACCCATCAGAATGTGTGCTCTTCTTTCGCCATTGACTCGAGGACTCAACAGTTTTAGTCTGTTATTCTCTACCAATGTAGCCAAATGCATAGAATGCTCCACTAGTGCTTGAGGCATCCTAGGTTGACGTTCTCTGTCATTTGTGAATCTCCTCAGTTAATCCTGGGTGGAAACATCCCTGTCAGTCTAACCTGCCTTACAGATTGACTGTGCTAGGCTGCTTTTTTTTTTTTTTTAATATGATTCTCGAAAGCTATCAATGGGTAGAGATTGGTGTATATCACATTATTTCAACTATGTTTATTCTCTCTTTTTTTCCCCATTTTGTCTTACAGGGATTGTTGGACAACACAAGAAATGTTTCTGTAAACCTCATAAAACAAGCAAACATGTGTTTGTTCCTGGACCACTGCCTCAAGTGTGAAGGGAAGGCTTAGACAAATACACAGTATCCGCTCTAAACTAGCCTGTTGTTACTGTCATTATTCTGGCCTGTCATGATTTTGGGGTTCTATCAAAAGTTCAGTACTTCTGAAGGGTGTCAGTTTAGATAGACTTTCTAAAATCAACAATGGTCTCCTTTGTTTTATTAACATTCAAAACCAGGTTATTTTTATTGCACCAGTCCACCGAAGCCTTCACATTCTCCTTATAAGAATCTTGTTATCTCAAATAAGACCCACCATCGCCAGATCATCTGTATACTTCACAATATGATTCATAGCAGACTTAGCACAGCAGTCACGCGTCATCAGGGTGAATAATAACAGACTCAAAACACAGCCCTGTGGGGAACATGCTAAAAATATAATGGAATTGGAGACTTTTCCTCCAACTCACACGAACTAGGGCCTATCCAGTAACGTAAGGAAGTATTAAAACCTAACAGGCCCAGTTTGTTCACCAAATGCTGAGGAATGATTGTGTGGAACGCTGAATTAAAACCAACAAACGGCATTCCCACGTGAGTATTCTTCTTCTCCAGGTGCGCCAAACTAAAAAGAAGCACACAAGAAAGTGCGTCATCTGTAGAGCGGTTCTTCCAATAAGCAAACTGTAATGAGTCAAACGTAGGAGGAAAACATGAAACAATATACTCCTTTATCACTCAAAACACTTCATCATAATGGACATGAATGCAATTGGACGGTAATTGAAGATAGATAGATAGATAGATAGATAGATAGATAGATAGATAGATAGATAGATAGACAGACAGACAGATATGATAGATAGATAGAGATGATAGATACATAGAGAGAGATGGACAGATAATAGGTAGGTAGATTAGATAGAGAGAGAGAGAGAGAGAGAGAGAGATAGAGAGATAGATTAGAGAGATGAGAGAGAGACGGACAGACAATAGGTAGGTAGATTAGATAGATAGATAGATAGATAGATAGATAGATAGATAGATAGATAGATAGATAGATAGATAGATAGATAGATTAGAGAGAGAAACAGACAGACAATAGGTAGGTAGAATAGATAGAGATAGATAGATAGATAGATAGATAGATAGATAGATAGATAGATAGATAGATAGATAGATAGATAGATTAGAGAGAGAAACAGACAGACAATAGGTAGGTAGAATAGATAGAGATAGATAGATAGATAGATAGATAGATAGATAGATAGATAGATAGATAGATAGACATAGATTAGAGAGATGAGAAAGAGAGAGAGAGACGGACAGACGATAGAGAGAGAGAGTGACAGAGAGAGAGAGAGAGACAGACAGACAGACAATAGGTAGGTAGAATAGATAGATAGATAGATAGATAGATAGATAGATAGATAGATAGATAGATAGATAGATAGATAGATATGATAGATACATAGATTAGAGAGATGAGAAAGAGAGAGAGAGAGACGGGCAGATGATAGATAGATAGATAGATAGATAGATAGATAGATAGATAGATAGATAGATTATATTCTATATATTTTTATATATGTATATACTATAATATTTCCAACTGAAACATAGAGAAGTATTACCAGCTAGGTAATCCTCTTTTCATATACTGAAAAAAGGGACATAACTGTTGCACAAGAGTTTTCTTGAGTAATCAACTATATTTGACACTAAGCAATACTCCAACAGAGATTTAAGCTTCTCAGCATTGTGCTGTATTACATCATGCTCTCTCATCTTCTCTCTTTTTGTAGGTCATCCCAAGAAATTTTCAATAGCATTACTTTTTTAAAAAAGGGTGAACTCTTGAGTTTTGACAAGTGTTAAAAGCAATAGCTCTTCATTCTTCAGGTAGTTGCATCCTTTTTGAGTGGAGTTTTCTTTCTTCCAGAATTCCTCAGTGTGGTCACAAGTACATAACTGGAAGAAAAGAGTCAACCTTCTCTATTAGTCTTTCTCACTGCAAGCTTTTGGTTTTAATTGTGTTTAAGTCCTCTCTTGTTTTCTGACCTGATTTCTGATGGAAGGAGGAGAGAGAAGGGAGGGACTTTGGAATTGGACATGTCTAGTTCAGGGGTAGGCCACCTTGGCTCTTTTATGACTCGTGGACTTCAACTCCCAGAATTCCTGAGCCAGCATGGCTCAGCTTGGAAACCTCTCCCTTTCCCCTCAGCATGGCTGGCTCAGGAATTCTGGGAGTTGAAGTCCATGAGTCATAAAAGAGCCAAGGTGGCCTACCCCTGGTCTAGTTTAATGAAAAGAAGGACTGGGGTGACAGGACAGCAGTGTTCCAATATTTGAGGGGCTGCCACAAAGCAAAGGGGGTCAACCTGTTCACCAAAGCACCTGAAGGCAGGACAAAGAAGCAACGGATGGAAACTAATCAGAGAAGCAACCTAGAACTAAAGAGAAAGTTCTTGACAGTGAGAACAATTAATCAACATAACGGCTTGCCTTTAGAGGTTGTGGGTGCTCCAACACTGGAGGTTTTTAAGACGAGATTGGGCAACCATCTGTCTGAAATGGTAGAGGGTTGGGCTTGAAGGCCTCCAAGATCCCTTCCAACTTTGTTATTCTGTTAAGGTCTAATCCAATTTGCATCTCTGAGTCAATGTAATCAGAGTGAACGTTCTACCAAGAATAGGCTAAATGTGGACATCCAAGTCAACCTGAAGAACCAGCTTGAGGGGCTTAATATCTCAGCATCTGTTTCAGCTATGAAATTCAACTGCCAAAGCTTTTTAACAACCTCTCCTTTCCCCTGCCCTGGGCCCATCCCAGCCCTACCCGATTCTCCATCAATCTCTCGCAAAGCCAAAAGTCAAGATGTCTGCCTCTTGCCACTCACTGGTTCCTATTGGCACAGAATGACCTAATTTCTCTATTTACACTCTGCCGAGATGGACAGATGGCTCTGGACGTCTGAGAGGATTAGCAGGAGTCATGCAAGGTTCTTATCCACTCCGTGCCAGAAGAGGTATTTAATTTTTTTATTTAAAAAAAGGAACACTGATCTTTCGCACCTGACAATATTATCGTTAAGTGTGTAAGGAAACGGAAGTTGAGCAATGGAGAAAGGGACAACATCTCCTCCAAATTTCTCATTTTATATCGTGATTTTAGACCCATCTTTTCCATAATTGTGTTCTCTTCTTGTTCATAGCTTGCCTCTAGATCAGGGGTAGGCAACCTTGGCTCTTTTAGGACTCGTGGACTTCAACTCCCAGAATTCCTAAGCCAGCCATGCTGAGGGGAAAGGGAGAGGTTTCCAAGCTGAGCTATGCTGGCTCAGGAATTCTGGGAGTTGAAGTCCACGAGTCATGAGACGGCCATAGTTCCCTCATGCTGGCTCAGGAATTCTGGGAGTTGAAGTCCACGCGTCATAAAAGAGCCAAGGTTGCCCACCCCTGCTCCAGATCAATATTTCTGAATCTTGTCACCTTTAAGAGGTGTAGACTTCTAAGACCCAGAACTGATGTCCTTTCTAACTCATTTCTGTATCAGTCTGATTATTATGATTTTTTTTTGTAAAAAGTAATATATACATTCAGATTTATTTTCGTATTCAATTTCTCCTAAAGGGTACATTCTGAGCAGGTTTTCTCCTCAAATATGCATTTTTCTATCTCACTTTCCCTGAAATATTACTTTTTCTCCTTATTTGTTACTGAACTGTAGAATTTAGAGAGATGTATGGCTCAAAACATTTCTCCTGAAGTGACTGGAGTTGATGGACTTGTTCTTTGTGATAGCATAATGTTTTCTTGATACAAATCACACTTTTTGGTGATAGGACCACAGACCATTAGAATTATTCTACTAATATGATTGCTAACGAGAGCTGGTGCTGAGATTGCCATTGTATCATGTTTGACTCCCATCCGCTAAAAAAATACTTATCTTGCGGCAAAGCACATTCCAGAAAGTCTTTGATTTTAAAAAAAGTAGATTTATGTAAGAATCTTTCTGATCATTTCCATTAAATGCATTTTTAGATTACTATTTTGTTGTTTATATTTTCAAAATTTTAAAAAAACTGCTCTGTTTACCTGTGATTCCCCTGACTCAGTAAGATTTTTGTGATGAAATAGGAAAAAATAAGGTCTATTTAGCCATTCGTGAAGATGTTTTCTCTCCAAAGTATAAATTCCAGAATAAGTTGACCTCATGATTTGATGAATTCCCCATTTTTTTAAAAAACAAATGGGGTTTATCTCAGTCGTGACTGATTCCAAAATACCCATTTCTTCTTTAAAGAGATAGAAAGCCAACAATGGAATTAGGAATAAAAATCTTGCTTAAATCATCCTTGAAGATTTTGATTTGTGATATGTTCTTACAGCTCTCTGCACTAATTATAGAATGCTTTGTCTTTTCAACGGCGGATTAAAGTTTTAAAAAAACACCTCCTTTTTTTAAGAAAATAAGTCTAAAAATAAAGCCTTTTGATCAATTCTGGGTCGGCTGCCTTTATTCCATGTTCAGTGTGTGAATTTCCTGATCCCTGAAAAACGAAGCATTTTTGTGCAGCTGATAATTCAAGAATATCAAAGACGAAAAATTCATTTGGGTCCTGAGACTCCTTAGGTCTTAGGTCTTAGAGGGAAAAAAAATGCAGAACACCCTGGGAGTTGTTAATATTTTATTTATTTATTTAGAAGGGGCGTGGGTGGCATTGGGAATGAGAAAAATGAAAAAAAAAAAAAACCCAGGAAAAAAAAGATAAGTTAAGGCTAAACCAACTTGCCTTTTGGATCTGGAGGTGTTTCTTTGGACAAATGCATGCACGGTGCAAAAAAAAAAAAAAAAAAACACAGCAGACCCTCTCCAAGGTACCAAGGTACTTACTTGCAAGCTGAGTGCTTGCAAGTAAGTCTCCCACTGCTGGCAGAGTTAATTGGACTAATTAAGAGGAAGGCAGGAACGCCTTCCAATGCCTCCGAAATTAAATCTGGTCATCCGCTTAACATCTTAGCAACTATTCCTGCCTCTCTGCCAGATTCCTCATCCCCCCATTCCTGAAGGAGGTTTCGTGCAGGATCTGGAGGGGTATTTCTCCTAAAAAAAACCCCCTCTCCAAAATTAAGAAGAAACAGATCCTCTTTTGGGGGGGATGAAGCAAGAAAGACACTTGCCAACCTCATTATTTCTCAATCTGGTGCACGTTTGCCTGGGTAAGTAGCGCCAAACCTCTCAAAACTACGCAACTTTGGAATCAGGATTTAAGCTTCGGGTGTCTTCTGGCTAATTGCAATTTTAAAAACTGAGGAACGGCATAAATAGCATAAATAGCAAGGTGACTTGCTGCTTCCTTTCCTTCCTTTTGGCTGCTGATATATTTGCAACCTGAAATAGGCTGGGTTTGTTTTGTTGTTGTTGTTGTTGTTTTAATTAAAAATAAATAAATAAATTAAGGATTGAATGATATTTTAATGGGCTTTTCCTCTTCTCTCTCTCTCTCTCTCTCTCTCTCTCTCTCTCTCCCCTTTGGGTTCCGCTCTTCTCTTGCAGCAAGTAAGTAATTATTTTCTTCAAGATTTGGGGTAAAAGCACCCCTTTAAAAATTCAAGCATCATGGTTTAAATCCCTTAGGAAATTGCTTGGAGGTTAAAGTTGCTGAATGGAATATGGTTCCCTTGTGCAGTTCAGGGGGATTTGATGAAGTTTGATTAGCAAACATTTTGGGGGCATAGACTACGCGGGTCTGCGTTATTTCCTTCCCTTGTGCCTAACCTCTCTTTGAATTTAAAACATTGCCAGATGCATAGCAATTTGTAGTGTTAACGGCGTAATAATGCAAGTGGTTTTTGAGATGTTCAGAGCTTTCTCAAATACGAAGGGGTGAATTACACCAGCATATCTGAGGGGTTGAATTGGGCTTTGTGCACAGAAAAAAAAGAAGTCCCTTCACCAACTTTCCATATAATGAATGTTTCTCCCTTGAATTCTGTTTTCTCTTAACTTACAGCTCAGGCAAATTATGCACCCTATTTCTTTGACAATGGAGCCAGCAGCAATAATGGGAATATGGCCCTCTTCAGCCTCTTAGAAGATACAGCTGTGGGTCAGTGTGGCGATTTTGTGTATTTGTTGTGTGTTTAAAGACAGAAGTGTTGAGGTTTTGTTTCTGCACCGTTTTTGTTGGGACTGTAATGGCATTCTTTCCAAGTTGGGATCCTCTGGGTATTTGATCCAATTGTATTGATTCATCCTGACTATCCTTCATGTGAAGGTTTCCCTTCATTTTATCTGCACAACAACACTTCTGAGTTTTTTTATTATTATTATTATAAATTTTTACAATTTTACAATAAAAAACCCCTTCCCCAATCCCTCCCAACCCTCCCCAAAACCCTCCCTCCTTCTTCCCAGAGCTGAATACAGGGTTAACTAGAACTTAAAAGGAAAAGCTTTTAAACTCAAATAAACCTCAAACAAATATAATTACATTCAATAAACGAATTATTAAGTACTTTAACTCCATTATGTATGAAAAACAGAAAGAGAAAAAGAAGAAAGAAAAGAAAAAAAAACCTTCTTCCAATACTATCCTATTAACAACCATACCACTATAATTAAATTTAACATTAAAATAATTTCTTTGTCATTACAATCCTACCAATTTACCATTATTTTATTTTATCTATAATTCACAACTTCTGTTTCTTTCACAATTAATAAACCAATCATCTCCCTAACTTAATAACATTACAAAATATCATATTTCATATAAAGTAAATTAATTGGAATCTAGTCCGCCATTAAAATATTATAAACTTTAAGTATAAATTTAAGTATAAATTATTCAGAAAGCTAAACAATATTTTCTAATACCATACTTGTATTATATAAAGTTTATCCATCTTTCTTTGTCATCACAATCAACACACATATAAGCGTTACTTATGCCATTGAAATTCCCTTATACATATTTAAAACAAAATATTCCTTTAAATACTCCTTAAACACTTCTGAGTTTTATTGGACTTAAAAGACTGCCCCAAATTCACCTAGAAGTTTCCAGGGTGGACTGAAGACACAACTTCCTGCTCCTGCTCCAATACTTTAACATCTACCCCACACTGAGTTGCTAACAGCTTCCAGTATTTGTAACTATTTCCCAGCAAATTCTGTGCCAGTCTAGAAAAGAATCATAGAGTTATTGATTATCTTGCCTTTTGTATTGAACATCCTTTGATAGTGGTCAACTTAGGCAGCCTATCAAATTTTGTCTCTATCCATTTTGTACTCTACTACCAATTTACATTATCTTTCCATGCAGTCATGCGTACGTTTGCGATTTCTGGATAAAGTTGTTGCTGGTATTTGCACGCTGTTTTGCGGAACAACCCATCCTGATTGGAATAAATTATTCTAGAACTCTTTTCAGTTTTCCTATCGGAATGGCTGGCTTCAGATATGGTGCTAAAACCCAACCAGACTAATCATTTGAACCTCATACATGAACCCAGTCTTTATTTCTTCTGGATCAATATGAGTGGAAAATTTAAGGGTTTTTGCTAAATATTAGGGCTCTGTGAAGTTTCGGCAGTGCTTCATTTAGATAAAGCTTTAAGCAAAGCGTTTTTTTTTCCCAAATGTAATCCAAAACAACCATTTTTCTTCTCATCCACAAGGTATCTTCCAGGTTTGGAGACTGAAGCATAAAGTATAGAGAATCATCTTCTGGACAGTTCTCCCAGTTGAGGCTGGCCATCTTTATGGAAAAGCTTTTTCCATGCCTCTGAGTTCTTCTAACTCTTCTCCACTGTCCCCATTTTAGAGGACACGGATGGAGGACATTTTCTCTCTCTCTCTCTCTCTCTCTCTCTCTCTCTCTCTCTCAGTAACCATCAATTATCAGGAGGTCAAGTGTGGGAAAGGAATAAAGGACCTTTTAAGGGAATGCTGCAGGGAAAAAAAGTGGGAAAGATCATTTTCCTACAGTGTTAGCAAAAGTGCTTCCAGGCTGAGAGACTGTAAAGATTTTCCAGCCTGGAGATGTCTCAGCCTGGAATCCTTTAGCATGAAGGACGTCCACATGGATGCCTTCAGTGAAGTCTGTTTACAATCCTGATGTCTCCCAACACTGGTCCATAAGTATTTGAGGATATTAGGGGACTGGAGGCTAAAGCATATAAGGAACGGCTGCTGGAATTGGGTATGTCTAGTTTAATGAAGAGAAGGATGAGGGGGGGACATGATAGCAGTATTCCAATATCTCAGGGGCTGCCACAAAGAAGAGGGAGTCAAGCTATTGTCCAAGGTGCCTGAAGGCAGGACAAGAAGCAATGGATGGAAACTAATCAAGGAGAGAAGCAACCTAGAACTAAGGAGAAACTTTGTGACAGTGAAAACAATTAACCAGTGGAACAACCTGCCTCCAGAAGTGGTGAATGTTCCAACACTGGAAGTTTTTAAGAAGAGACTGGACAGCCATTTGTCTGAAATGGTAGAGGGTTTCCTGCGTGAGCAGGGGGTTGGACTTGATGACCTCCAAGTTCCCTTCCAACTTTATTATTATTTTTTATGGATCATCGCACAGTCAGCCAGATGTTCAGACTGGATTTGGCATTTTGTCTGCCTATCGAGTCCTTACCCAGGACCTGGGATAGGCAGATGTGGATGTTTGATGGTATTACAGATATCGTCACAGGATGGAAGCAGTTCCTAGTAAGGCCGCCTTTTGCAATTGACCAATGGCAAATTTGTCAATGCCAATGATGATCAAGTGGTGCTCCAGTTGTTTTGGGATGCACCCAAGGCACCTATGACTATTGGTACTACCCTTGCTTGCTTTTGTCACAGTCTTTCTATTTCTATTTGTAGGTCTTTGTATTTTGTTATCTTCTCTAGCTCTTTCTCTTCTATTCTGCTGTCTCCAGGCACTGCCACGTCCACTATCCAGACTTTTTTGTCTTTCTTATCGACAATTGTTAAGTCTGGGGTGTTATGTTGCAGGTGCTTGTCTGTTTGAATTCTGAAGTCCCAGAGCAGTTTAATTTTATCATTTTCTATGACTTTCTCTATTTTATGATCCCACCAGTTTTTGCTTACAGGCAAATGATATTTTTTGCAGATCTTCCAATGCATCATTGTTGCTACTTTGTCATGCCGCTGCTTGTAGTCAGTCTGTGCAATCTTCTTGCAACAGCTTACTAAGTGGTCCACTGTTTCTTCAGCTTCTTTGCATAGGCGGCACTTACTGTCTGTTGCTGTCTTCTCAATTTTGACTTTATATGCATTTGTCCTTAAGGCTTGGTCTTGTACAGCCAGTCTTCCAAAGCCATTTTTTCTTCTTCAACCATCTGATGTACTTGTAGCATTCCACACCCACCTATTTGCCTTGGTAGATATTATTATTATTATTATTATTATTATTATTATTATTATTATTATTATTATTGTTGTTGTTGTTATTATTATCCACCTGGCTTTGTCAAGTTGGACTGGATGTACCTCTTCATGTTGACAAAATAAATCAAATATTTTCAGGATCCAAATGTCTATGGAGATTTTCAGTCATCCAGGTCATGGCTGTCCCAAAGATGCTTTTCCAAAAGGCAACTGGACTTCCTTCCTTCCTTCCTTCCTTCCTTTATTTGAAAATGTTTCATTTCTCATCCAACAAGTTTCTTCAGTCCAGGATCCAAATTGCTTTACTGAAATCTAATTTCATACAAGTGTAAATTCACAGAGAATACAGTAATTTCTGCCATAGTCATACAGTTGACTCTGGAACAAAGAGCAAAGCATTTTCTTGCAGTAGTAAGTCTTCCAGTCAAGCTCAAATCTGGGAGCCTACATGGATATTTGGCTTTCCTGAACACAATGTAGGAACCTTTTTGGAAGTGGATTGTTCTTCCCTTCTTCTTGAGGCTTAGAGAGAATGATTGGCCCAAAGACAGCCAGCTGGGTTTGTGCCTAAGGTAGGACTACAATTCATACTCTTCTGGCTTCTGCCCTGACACCAAATGGGTTCCATTGCTTTTGCTAGCCCAGGGGTAGGCAACCTTGGCTCTTTTATGACTTGTGGACTTCAACTCCCAGAATTCCTGAGCCAGCCATGCTGAGGAGAAAGGGAGAGGTTTCCAAGCTGTGCCATGCTGGCCCAGGAATTCTGGGAGTTGAAGTCCATGGGTCATAACAGAGCCAAGGTTGCCTACCCCTGTGCTAGCCTTACCTTCATCTGGGATTGACATGCCTAACCATCAGGTACTATCAATCTCTGCTACCAATTCCTAGCATCTGGTTTCAGAACATAGAATGTGCCCACCTTCTGGGGACCGCTGGTTTGGAAGAGGGATCAAAGAGGCCATCTACATTAAGATTTAACAGCCCTCTCTCAACAGAGCGGAAGGGATATGACACCATCTATCTCCTGTTTACCACACTGTCCTTTTAGCAGTTCCAGGGTGAATTTAACCACGGTTAAGTTTCAACACCATTAAATCTTCACTGATGGACAAGGGAGAGAGGTTCTCTGCTCCATCGGTGGAGACTCGTGAATGTTTTTCTCCAAGAGTCTTGCTTGGAGATAAGATAAAAGATAAGCCTTCATTTTAATTTTCTCTTCTTTTCAGCGAGAGCTGCCAAGGATAGATTTTTAATTGGTGTTAATTCTATGCTGGAGAATGTTCTCAGAGTGTTAATGATATGGAGAGTTGGCGCTGAGAGGGTGTAAAAATTATCAGCTAGACACCGTCTGAGCTAGGATAGAAATAGAAATCGACCTCTCCAGTTTTTATTAACATTTTGATTGCATGCAACCAGCCTAGCATCAAATAATCTACAGGAGGTCACCTCAGCAAAATAAATAAATAAATAAATAAAAGAGGCTGGAAAAACTAGTGGATTCCATTGGTCTGTAACTGAAGAACAATTTCTTCCTTTTTTTAATGAGGTCATGCAGATTAACTTTTCATATTCTCCAGTATTTTTATCGTATTGCTAAGCAAACCACTTCAATGCAATGAAGGTAAAACATTTCCACTTCCCTGCGAGTTTTAGGGTCAGTCAATCAATCAATCAATCAATCAATCAGAATAGAGCTGGAAGAGATCTTGGAAATAACAACAACAACAACAACAATAATAATAATAATAACAATAATAATAATAAAGTTGGAAGGGACCTTGGAGGTCATTGAGTCCAATCCCTGCTCAGGCACCTTACACCTTACATCATTTCAGACAAATGGCTGTCCAGTCTCGTCTTAAAAACTTCAAGTGTTGGAGCATTCACTGCTTTTGGAGGCAGGTTGTTCCACTGGTTAATTGTTCTAACTATCAGGAAGTTTCTCCTTAGTTCTAGGTTGCTTCTCTCCTTGGTTAGTTTCCATCCATTGCTTCTTGTCCTGCCTTCAGGCACTTTGGAGAAGAGCTTGACTCCCTCTTCTTTGTGGCAGCCCCTGAGATATTGGAACACTGCTATCATGTCCCCTCTCGTCCTTCTCTTCATTAAACTAGACATACCCAATTCCAGCAACTGTTCCTTATATGCTTTAGCCTCCAGTCCCGATCATCTTTGTTGCTCTTCTCTGTACCCTTTCTAGAATACAGTTCTAGTTCAACCTCCTTCTCAAGCAGGAGACCCTATACCATTTCAGACAAATGGCTGTCCAGTCTCTTCTTAAAAACCTCCAGTGATGGAGCACCCACAACTTCTGGAGGCAAGCTGTTCCACTGGTTGATTTTTCTCACTGTTAGGAAGTTTATTCTTAATTCCAGGTTGCTTCTCTCCTTGATTAGTTTCCATCCATTGTCTTGCCTTCTGATGCTTTGGAAAATAAGTTGATTCCCTCTTCTTAGTGGCAGCCTCTCAAATACAGGAAGACTGCTATCATGTCACCCCCAGTCCTTCTTTTCTCTACACAGATAGGCCATACCCAATTCCTGAAACTGTTCTTCATATGTTTTAGTTTCCAGACCTTTAATCATCTTAGTTGCTGTTCTTTGCACTTTTTCCAAAGTCTCAGCAACTTTTTTGTAATGTGGTGACCAAACTAGATGCAGTATTCCAGGTGTGGCCTTGCTAAGGTTTTATAAAGCAGTACTAATACTTTATGTGATTTGGATTCGATGCCTCTGTCTTTCACTATTGCACTGTTAAAGATCTCTCTAGCCACCCACAAGTTTTCAAAAACTTCCTATGAGGACAAAATGTGTTGTCCCTGTTGCCAGTTCCAGTTCTGTTTGGTTTTTTTTATCACCTCTGTCTGTTTTGGGGAATATAAACGTCTCCCAATGATTCATGCACTCTTGGATGGTGCCAAAATAAAGGAAGGAAAAACAATTTAACACCAGTCCAGCTCTGGATGACTTAACCCTGCCTGATTCTTTAACTAGGGACAACTTGAAAACAACTTCATGAAGATGTAGCAGGGGAAAAAATGTGTTGGGAGGACATTTTTGTGGTCTGGTCAGCTGTAAGTACTGAAGTGTCCTTGAATTTCCCAATAAATGGATAAAGTCAATTCTTTAAAATATCTTATTTCTGTAAGTCATACTTCTAACACTGATTTGATATTAAGATCGTCGGACAATCCATGGTTACGAGAGGCTTCCCTTAGTTGCATTTCACCCCATAATGTTATTTCTTGCTTGGGGGTCAGGAAACATGCTGAAGGTTAGGATAAGGTATCAATAAAAGATAATATTTGAAGCTCAGGGTTGAAATGAGGGCTCCTTGGTGTTCTCTAATCTTGGTTGTTTCATTACCCAACTAGGTAATATTATCAGTGTTGTTTAGGATTAGGATCATCACATTAGAATTATGATTGTATATAGACCCTTGTCCATAATTTGTCTTGGAGATAAGACTTGCATTTCACACTATATTTTTTTCCTCCATCTCTACATGATTGAACAGCTCAATTAATCTCCATGAGATTCAAACTGAGAGTGAGTCTAAAACACATCTCACCATGCTTGATCTACAATTTTTGGTACATACCTTGATTTATCTCCTACAGCATTTTTCTACCCCATCAAAATGAGGTTCTGAAACGTTCCTTTGTTGACTGGAAAGAAATTAGGCTTGGCTAATTTGGACAGGAGTGTCTTTGGATACAAATGTTCTCCAGAGCTTCAGCTGACCGTAAGAAGTTCATCAAAAGATTGATGAACCATTTCAACTGGCCTCAATTATCTGGGAGATAATTTCTTACGAAGACATCTCATCCGGTTCCTCTCATTTTGAATGTCCTGATCCAGCTTTATTTTTACTCAGGGTATTTTTTAAAATAATAATAATAATAATAATAATAATAATGGACAATTCTAAACTGAGCCATTAGAAGACAAGAACAAGAGAATCAGTGTGGTGTAGTGATCAAGATATGGACTGACATCACGGAAATCCAAGTTGAAATCTACTCTTGAGATATGGAAGCTCACTCAGTCCAACTTATCTCAGATAATTATAGTTGAAAGTAAAACTATGTGGAATGAGTTCCGTGTATACCACCTTTAGTTCCATCCAAATACTAACCAGCCCTGACCCTGCTTAGCTTTTGTTGAGATCAGTCAAGTTCAGTTGGCTGGTGGGACCAGTGAAAGCAGTATGGTGTAGTGATTAAGGCATCAGGCTAGGATCTGAGAGGCCATGAGTTCTAGTCCCATCCTAGACAGAGAGACAGCTGGGTGACGTTGGAGCAGTCACACCCTCTCAGCCCTAGAAGGAGGAAATGGACAACCCCTCCTAAAACTGCCAAGGCAACTGCTTTGGCAAGAAAACTGGAGAGACATTTTCAGAGAGTGGCCAAGAGTCAAATCAGACTTGATGGCCCAGAAACAATACCTGGTCAATTAAATGCTATAGAAGTAATCCAAAATAGATGGAGAACATTAGAACTTGACTTTCCAGAATGATGGGCATTACAAATTATTTATTCTTATAATTTCCATAACAACTGTCTTAACAATAAAATAACAATGTCAACTCTGAGCAAAAAGATTTGAGAAGCTCTACAAAAAAAAAAAACCCACAAAACCTCTCGCTGTTGTAGGTACACATGTTTATACACTAAATGGAACAGATCCAGAAGGAGATCCGGTAACCTATGGGCTGACCTTCGAAGCAGGTTCAAAGAAATACTTTGCCGTGGATGAAAATTACGGAAATGTTACCCTGATTGCGGAGCTTGATCGAGAGGTAAAGTGCAGAAGGATCTTTCTGAAAAATCTTACTTTCCCCTGGGCTGTGGTGGTGGTGGTGATCTTGGTGTGAATTAGGTTATTTAAAATTCAAAAAAGGATGGAGCTGAGAAAATCAGATGATTAGGTACTTCCTATCATTTGGGAAAAGTTCCCCAGAGATCTAGTCTACAATTCTTCTCCTTGTTACATTCATATTTGTTATTCTTGTCTGCTGACAGGAATGCTCAGTCCATCTGTAGTCTCAAGTGGCATAGCCCAAATGTAGGTTTATTGTTAAAATAAATATTCAGAGTTCCCTTATCTGTTATAGAGCCCTGGGCATTCTAACTTCAATTGCTACCAACAGTTGAATCTATGAATAATACACCCAGCATAAACAGAATCTAGTTATGACAAATGTTTGTGTTATTTTTTCATGGCTGCCTCCTTTTGAAGAGTAATTTGGATTATTTGGCTTTTTTATGACAGGTGGACTTCAACTCCCAGAATTCCTGAGCCAGCCATGGGGAAAGGGAGAGGTTCCAAGCTGAGCCATGCGGGCTCAGGAATTCTGGGAGTTGAAGTCCGCAAGTCATAAAAGGGCCATAGTTCCCCTGTGCTGGCTCAGGAATTCTGGGAGTTGAATCCATGAGTCATAAAAGAGCCCAGGTTGCCTACCCCTGCACTAGAAGTAAGCCCCATTCAACTTACAGGACCTGGTTCTGGGGAGACACTCAGACACTATGTTGTGAATTTGCACTATAGCATTGATGTTGTGGGGTTGCATTGCTCAATTTTCGTTAAACCCAAAGTAAAGAGAAATGAGCTGTTCATACGTTGTAAACCATTTCTAAAATGCCTCCTTTTCTTCCTTAGACACAAGACGAGATTGAAGCAGTCGTGAATATTTCCGATGGCTTAAGTACAGTGAGTATATCAATAGAAAATGTGCTTTCAATAACTACAGATGTTTCATTTCATACAGAGGAAAGTGTGCTTCACACCTCAGCAACTCAGCAACTAAGAGGATTAAAGGCCTGGAGACTAAAACATATGAAGAACGGCTGCAGGAGTTGGGTATGGCAAGTCTAAAGAAAAGAAGGACTACATGATAGCAGTATTCCAGTATTTGAGGGGCTGCCACAAAGAAGAAGGGGTCAAATTATTCTCCAAAGCACCAGAAGGCAAGACAAGAAGCAAAGGATGGAAACTAATCAAGAAACAACTTAGAATTAAGGAGAAACTTCCTGACAGTGAGAACAATTAACCAGTGGAACAGCTTGCCTTCAGAAGTTGTGGGTGCTTCATCACTCGAGGTTTTTGAGAAGAGACTGGACATCCATTTGTTCAGAATGGTATAGGGTTTGTTGCTTGAGCAGGGAGTTGGACTAGAAGATCTCCTTCTATCTCTATTCTGATTGATTGACCTTAAGCCCTGTTCTAAGATGACTAAGTTCTGGATCCGGTCCCAGCCTTTCCTTTGCCTAGCCTTGTATTATCTGGGTCACACATCATTACTTAGGTTGCGATTCTGAAACTGCAAATTGAATCACCCCATATCTATTTTCAAATTTGGCTGACAATGAATCATTGTGTTGTTCTCTGGATCGCTGCCAGGATAAATCTGTTAAGCTGATTCCATAGCTGTTAATTCAATCCAACTTCTGACTCCCAAAATTCACATTAGGAGGTCTTTGTAACAAAGAGCTGTTGAGCTCAAGGAATCAAAGAAGATCACTGCAGAATAACATTGTCCAGGCAATATCACTACATGCTCCAAAATTCTTTGAATTGGTTGATACTTATCTCTTTGGGTGAAATAGTTCGGTCCAATGTTCTTCCCTGTCCACTGTGTCCATCCTATCTCAGTCTCTTTAATTCAATCACTCGTTTATTTGGTCTTTAAAATTATTAAGAATCTAAATTTTTTTTCCATGTATACATATATGGAGTGTGTGGACCATGGATGGGGAACCTGAAGTCTTCCTGATTCCTTATTGATCTACTGTCTGACTTGACATGAAAACCCAGTTCTAACTGGGCTGTGTCCTTACATTCTTGTTGAAATAAATATCACGCCAGGTATCAAGTAATCATATGGTTGGTTTAACTTTGGCTTCATTACAAAGTGTGAAGTTAGCCATTACCATTTTCCACTTGTGGTTTGTAGCTTAGTATTGTGTGTGATCTCTGTTCTGATGGCTTTGTCAACAGTCTAGTATAGGGATAGGCAACCTTGGCTCTTTTATGACTCGTGGACTTCAACTCCCAGAATTCCTGAGCCAGCCATGCTGAGGGGAAAGGGAGAGGTTTCCAAGCTGAGCCATGCTGGCTCAGGAATTCTGGGAGTTGAAGTCCACGGGTCATAACAGAGCCAAGGTTGCCTATCCCTGGTATAGACCTACACCCCTACATATACATAACATATGAATATTAAACACTGTCCATCTTGAATATATAACGGAAGGTTCACATGTTCAACTTTAGGTGGCAGAGAAGGTCAGGATCGTTATAACAGATGCAAATGACGAGAAACCAGAATTTATCAACACGCCTTACATCATTCAAGTTCAAGAGGTTGGTGGAATTTGTTTAGATTCTTGTTTAGCTGGAATGACGATGCTTCGTGAGGGACATAGCTACTAAACTAATATAATAGCCAGTTTGTTATAGTGGTAAGACGTTGATCTAGAAACCAGGAGACTATCGTTCTAGTCCTAGTGGATTACTCTTTTCTTCCATTCCATCTCTTGCGGTTGTCGTTCTTGCTTTCAAGCCTAATTCAGCTCTTTTCTGGATTTTTTTCAGAACACCCCCGTAGGGAGCAGCATCTTCCAAATTGAAGCAGTGGACAGAGACACCGGTTCAGGAGGCAGCATTAATTACTTTCTGCAGGTAAAGCTGCATTCAGATTGTGGAATCTTTCGGCTATTCCAAACTTAATTCTTCTTAAACTTAATTATTAAACTTAGAAAGTGGCCAACCATTCTGGATGGCTTGCATGTTTTAATAAGTAAAGAACAAAGAGATAAAAAGAAACAGACGGTGTGACTCTGGAAGAAACAAAAGACTGGGCCCGCCCGTGATGCTCTACTGCAGGACCTGGGAGAATAGCCAGGTTTTGAAAGATGATTAGAACGTCATCAAGGTGAAAACCATAGAGATGCTATTCTAGAGAGGAAGGCGCCATGACAGAGAGATGGAGAATAGGGATTCAGCGCCTAACGTTGACGTTTCTGTTCAGGAGCTGAGCTCCTCTGATTCTGACTTAAGAGCAGTGTGTTTGAAAACACAGGAAAATATTGTGGATTTATGGAGGCTAGAGGTGACCTTTTTCCCAATTTGTGGACGCTAATGGATCACTGCAAATCTAGGTTCCTGGCTTTAGGTTTTTGAAAAGAAAGGTAATTGCAAGGCATTTGCGATTTCCACTCATATAAATCACTCAGTTCTTCCTTCCTTCCTTCCTTCCTTCCTTCCTTCCTTCCTTCCTTCCTTCCTTCCTTCCCCTTCCTCCCTCCCTCCCTCTTTTTTCTTTTTCTTTCCTTCTTTCCTCTTTTTCTTTCTTTCTTTCTTTTCTCATTCCCTCCCTCCCTTTCTTTCTTTTTTCTTTCTTTCCTTTCTTCCTCTTTCTTTCTTTTTCTTTCTTTTCCTCCCTCTCTCCCTCCCTCCCTCTCTTTCTTTCTCTTTCTTTCTTTCCTTCCTTCCTTCCTTCCTCTTTCTTTCTTTCTTTCTTTCTTTTTTCTTTCTTTCTTTCTTTCCTTTCCTTTTTCTTTCTTTTTTCTTTATCTTCCTTCCTCCCTCCCTCTCTTTCTTTCTCTTTCTTTCTTTCCCTCCCTCGCTCCCTCGCTCCCTCTCTTTCTTTCTCTTTCTCTTTCTTTCTTTCCTTCCATCCTCTTTCTTTCTTTTTCTTTCTTTCTTTTCCTCCCTCCATCTCTTACTTTCTTCCTTCCTTCCTTTCTTTCTTTTTTCTTTCTTTCCTTTCATCCTCTTTCTTTCTTTTCCTCCCTCCCTCTCTTTCTTTCTTTCTTTCTTTCTTTCTTCTTTCTTCCATCCTATTTCCTTCTTTCTTTTCTCCCTTCCTCCCTCCCTCCCTCCCTCCCTTCCTTCCTTCCTTCCTTCCTTCCTTCCTTCCTTCCAGAATATCCATACCAATAAGTTTACCATAGATCGTCATAGCGGTGTCCTTCGCATCAAAACAGGGATGAACCTCGACTATGAAAAATCAAGAACGTTTTTTGTGACTGCAGTGGCTAAGGTAAAATATATTCCTCACAGGGGTAAATGCATAATGGTAAGCCAGATGTGGAGAGGATGGAAAACGCGACAAGTTCTAATGATAAACTGGAGATACCTGATCTTGTTCATCCCTGACCTTCTGTGAAACTGTCAGATCTAGATATGTCAGTCAAAGGACACTAGCTTGAGAAAAGGTGCCTTAAACCTGTATGTTTCTGATGGCAACATAGATGGTCATTTTCAGTTTTGTGGGAAGGGAATCAGTGGCCAACATCTTCTGCAAGAATTCCTGTCTTACAGCTGGAAGCCAGCATGGTCGCTGCTGATATTTAGGAAGCTACTAAAGTTCTGATTTTTCCCAAGGAGCATTTGAGACCAAGAAAAGGAAAAGAGATGGTTGGTGCTGTTAGTATGAGCATAACCTATTGATCCTTCATGGGTTTTATATTATTTTAAGAGTGGCTGTACATGCCCGTTGCTCTGATGATGTTTTCATTTTATGATTTGGGCTATAAGAATGGCAGTTGGGCATGAAAAAAAAAACAGGCCGATTACTAGATCAATTTATCTGAGGAACGTTCAACTGAGCCCCTTCGTTCTTTCATTTTGGAAAGAAAGAGACTGCCCAATATATGTTATTTATGTCTGCTTCAGTAAGGTTTTTTTTTCCAATCTTTAGATGTTAAAGGGGGGCACCATGGCTCAGCGGTTAAAGACGCTGAGCTTGTCAGCTGGAATGTTAACAGCCTGGGTTCCAGACCCGAGCACCACATGATGGAGTGAGCTCCCATGCCTTGCCCCATCTCCTGTTCACCTAGCAGTTTGAAAGCATTATAATAATAATAATAATAATAATAATAATAATAATAATAATAATAAACGTTATTGTCATTGTATGTGTATACACAGTATACACATACAACGAAATTTATGTGACACCCAAAAACCAGGTCCCACACACATAATCCCCAAACACACTCCCACCCACCCCAATTCCCCACCCCTAAAACTACCCAAACATCCACCTAACAGACCAAGTAATGCTGTCCAACAGTTCACTGATGGTGGCCCTTTATTCATTATTAAGTGCAATTATAGCTCTGGGTTAAAAACTATTCAGAAAACGTGTAGTCCGAGTTTTAAATGTTCTATATCTTCTGCCAGAAGGCAACAATCCAAAGAGATTGTAAGCAGGATGGGAAGAGTCTCTGAGAATGTTATGCAACTTCCTCAAACAGTGAGATTCGAAGATGTTGTCCAGGGCTGGTAGCTGGAGTCCGATAATATACTAGGCAGTTTTAATAATTCTCTGTAGAGCTTTTTTGTCCACTACAGAGCTGCTCCCATATCATGCAAGAATGCCGTATGTCAGGATACTTTCAATGGTGCTGTGATAGTAGGACAGAAGTAGATGCTGAGATAGATTTATCTTCCTGAGCATTCTCAGGAAGTACATGCGAGCAGATAAATAGGTACAACTTCAATGGGAAGTTAATAGCATTTTCTGCACCTTTGGCGTAGAGCCATGCTGGTCACATGACCAAAGAAGTATCTTTGGACAATGCTGACTCCCTTCGCCAAGAAACGGAAGCGAACCTTAGAGTTGGCCATCAACTGGATAGAGAAACCTTTACTTTTAGATGTTGAATGTATGCAGGAGATTTCTGTTGCAAAGCAGGACCCAACTGATAACATATTTTCTCATTCCATATTACAGTGGTGGCCAGAATTGTGGAAATCTTTTAGGAAAAGTCTATTTTTGAGTTTTGATGGCTATTAACACCACTTTTTTTGGGGGGGGGCAGTACCATAATATTATATACCAATGGAAAGATAATTTAATCAAGAATGTAATGCAACGTAGTTTGTTCAATTATCTGTACTGTATTCTATGAAAAGTTATAGCCAAATAACCAGAAAAAGGAAGCACAACGTGCTTAGGTTGATCTCAGGTAGCTTTCCTTCATCTGATGGTAGCCAATGAGGGTGAGTGTTTAGAGAGCCAATCGGGTGTCATCTTGCTTTGGTCATGAGCCAATCAGATCACAGGAGGATTCAGTTATTGATGTCATGTATTGAAGCTGAGGGGAGGACACTTGTCAGTGTGTGATGTGATCGCTATCAAATTGGTTGGGTTTTTTTGTGTTCTTTCATTTAGCGAGCTTGTAAAACATAATAAAATTAAAGTCATGGTGCAAAGAGTTGACTGGTTGCCCAGAAAGCGATGTAAAATAGTATTATTAAGTGAACAAGGCTACAGTTGTAAAGAAATTGGAAGAAAAATTGGTGGAAACTTAACCAAAGGTGGCACTTCTACTGTACACTTTTCCCAAAAGGTTTCCACAATTTTGGCCACTACTGTATGGCATGGGGTAACTAAGCTCTTGACCATGTCTCAAGAGATTTCAAAGGCTGAGAAACAACTAGGACATTTTTGTGCCCAATGAGACCAAGATAGTAGCCACTACTAATATCTACACTGCTAGGAGAGGAATTTTCACCATATTCTACTGTTCGTTTGTCTAAATTTCATTTCAGATTCCTTTCTTGTTCAGTTGTGATGATTCCTGGGATCTAGAAATCTTTTCTTGGTCCATAGACCAAATTACGATCCTTGCCTGAGCTTCAAGCAGGCCTCAATTCTCTTAGCAATCTAAAAGTGATTCTAGACTTGCAATTACTCCTAAGCCTTGCTTTATAATACTTTCACCAAGGATTCTGAAAGAGATTTTGTTCAGCCAGAAGCAATGCTACCAGGCCTGATCTTAAAGACACGCAAGGTCAATCTTTTGAGCATGTTGCTAGGTGATCAATTAAACCTTGCAGTGCTATAATTCTCCCCACGTTTCCTAATTTATGTTTTTAAAAGGGTTTTTTTTCCCCTGAAGTCTGGCAGTCAGCTGAAAGACAGGATAAGTGTATCAGAATGAGGAAAAAAGAGTTGAGTTGTCAAGCTCCACCTGTTATGTTAATGTTATGACATCACAATTCATTACTATTATTAAAGGGCAGTAATAAGGTTGTGCCTTTCATTTCATCATTTGCCCATCTGACTCTCTTGTGGGTGCCCATGTGAATGCAAATGGAAGCAAAGAGGTTATTTTAAATGTCAGCCAGCATATTATTATTATTATTATTATTATTATTATTATTGATCATCACACAGTCAGCCAGGTGTTCAGACTGGATTTGGCACTTTTGTCTACCTATCGAGTCCTTACCAAGGACCTGGGATAGGCAGATGTGGGTGTTTGATGGTATTACAGATCTCGTCACAGGATGAAAGCAGTTCCTAGTAAGGCTGCCTTTTGCAATTGACTAATAGCGAATTTGTCAATGCCGATGGTGTCCAAGTGGTGCTCCAGTTGTTTTGGGATTGCACCCAAGGCACCTATTACTATTGATACTACCCTTGCTTGCCATTGCCATTATTGTTGTTGTTGTTGTTATTGTTACTGTTACTGTTATTTTGAAATCTCATAAGGGTCTGCTGTTGGTTAGCATCAACGAGTAACAAAAAAAGAGATATAATGGCTGAATTCAAACACTAAGGTTATCTAAGACAGCCATGGGGATCAAGCTTTTTCTTCTCTCAACTATATTCTAGAAATATTAAATAATATTAAAGCTCCTGAAGTTAAAACATTGAATTGAGTAGCATTAAATAGCAGAGACAAAAAAGAGTTTCCATTTTGAAAGGATGGAACAATATATTTTTTTCCCTCCTTTGAAGAATCTAGTTCCTACAAGTTGCCCATAAAATAAAGATAAGCTTACTTTCTCTGGGAAATCATTAAAATTCATTGTTAACCCTTTTAACCCATGAAAGAGAAGGCCCAGGCTGCCAACATTTTGGCAATCAGCTAAAATTCTCCTGGAAGGACAGCTTAAAAACAACAGCAGCCCTTACTGGAGTCCTCACCATGGTCTGTTCTTGCTCAATTCAATTTCTGGATTGATCCAGTGGATTATAACAATCTTGGCCTTCTTTTTGCTTCCCAGGATGGTGGTGGAAAGCTCCGTGGGGATCACAAGGTGTTTTCCGCCACAACTACCATCACAATCAATGTTGAAGATGTTCAAGACACGCCACCAAATTTTGTGGGCACGCCCTACTATGGATACGTGTATGAGGACACACTGGTGGTGAGTATCACAGGGATCCTCTTTACCCTATTCAAACGGTATGGATTCTGTGGGTCCTCGGTGCTCTCTGAGGTTGTTGTTTTTTCCTCACAGACATTTCATTACCAAACTAGGTAACAACATCAATGCTAGAGGGGAGTGGGGTAGAGGAAACAAAGACTGATCAACTGAGACAAACAAACTAACGGTAAACAACAGCCTAATCAAGGAACTGGCAAGACTACTCCCATCAAGCCACTTTTACACAAACAGAGAGTAAACCCCACTCCTTACTAGTACTGATAATGTTACCTAGCTGGGTAATGAAACATCTGCAAGAAAACAGCCAAGCTCAGAGAACACCAAGGACCCTATGGTTCAACCCTGAGCTACTAATATCCACTTCTGTCAGTATGGATTCTGCAAGGGGAACTCAAAACACAAAGGCAGAGAGGTAAAGAGCTTTATATTTGCAGAATGCTTGCTGATGTCTTTTTTTCTCCCATAATTTCCTTTTAGCCTGCTATTTCAGCAGATCTTAAGAAACAACAAAAGAGCACAGGTAGATTCTGGTAGAATGGAAGATGGAAAAAAATCATTGAGCCATTGTATTGCAATTTAGAAATGAGCTTGATATGAAAGAACCATTGGAGAGGGACTTGGGAAGCGATTATATAATCCATGGTTGTCACAAGCATGAAACAGAAACAAACAGAATATTCCTTGCTTGAGCAGGAGACCCTATACCATTCTGGACAAATGGCTGTCCAATCTCTTCTTAAAAACCTGTAGTGATGGAGCACCCACAACTTCTGGAGGCACGCCATTCCACTGGTTAATTGTTCTCACTGTTAGGAAGTTTCTCCTTACTTCTAGACTGCTTCTCCCATTGATTAGTTTCCATCCATTGCTTCTTGTCTTGCCTTCAGGTGGCTTTGGAGAATAGCTTGACTCCCTCTTATTTGTGGCAGCCCCTGAGATATTGGAAAACTGCCATCATGTCACTCTCACTCCTAGTCCTTCTTTTCTCTAGACTAGTCCTATCCAAATCTTGCAACTGTTCTTCCTAGGTTTTTACCTCCAGACCCCCTAATCCTCTTTGTTGCTCTGCTCTGTCCTCTTACCAAAGTCTCAACATCTTTTTTTATAACTGGTTGCAGTATTCCAAGTGTGGTCTTACTAAGGTTTTAATGCTGTCTGGGAAATTCTGGGAGTTGAAGTCTTAAACTTGCCAAGTTTGAAAAACAAGCAATGGAAACAGAAAGGAGAGGATTAAAAATAGTATTTAAAACGTTGCCTCTTTCTACAATGAATTCACAATGTTCTCATACACATGATACACGGGTGTGATGCAAGAGGCCAGAATGTAACTTCATTTTTACTTCCATGCTACTTCAATCTGCCAAGCTGGGAAAGAGAACGAATAACACAGGCCAACTCCAGGATTTCGTCGTAGCAGAGATCCAACTCCTATTTATCGCCGCGTACGAGATTTTGGTTAATCCCATTTTAATTTGCAAGACTACAAATGGATTCAAAATAAACCAAGAGTCAGTTGTGTGAGTTTGCCATGCAGCTTTTATTTATAGCCGATTCCTCTTCCTACTTTCTCTTATCTTGTATCGCAGTCACTTCAATTTTGTGGCACCCTATTTCACACTGTGCATATTGCGGTAGTTTTGAAAATCAGATGGCAGATTTCTGGGAATCCTGGCGGTGTTTTTCTTCCACTTTGTAATCTGTGGTCATAAAGTGTTGAAAGATAATAATTAACTTAATGTAACTATTAACCAGTGATCTGGAAAAACCCTAATAAAGAAGTACTTTAATAGAAATCACCAAAGAAAACAATGCAATTAAGCGTCAATGACCTCTGGGAGGAAATATTCTTATACTCTATTGATAAGATGTGAATACTGGGGTGCTGATACCTCCAGCCACGTGTTCTTCAGAAACAGATAAGCCATCATCATGTGTGTAATGAGGAGCAAGTAATCAGATGCAGGCTGAATATATGAGAATCAAGGATTGACTCTTTAGAAAATGACACCCCCTAAACAACACACCCTTTTCAGTGTTGACCTCTTCTTTATTGAAGAACAATGTTCACCCGGCAGTGTGGCCTTTAGATAAATCTGATCTCCAGCCCAGGCAGAAGGACTAAACCTTCTTCAGTTTCCAATTAAATATTGGATAGTTTCAATATCTAAAAAAATAATCAGGCAAGGAGATACAAGAAGCCATCATTTTCCTTTTAGATAAATGTTGTTGTTGTTAGTTGCAAAGTCATGTCTGACCCATCACAACCCCATGGACCACATTCCTCCAGGCCTTCCTGTCCTCTACCATCTTCTGGAGTCCATTTAAGCTCACGCCTCCTGCTTCAGTGACTCCATCCAGCCACCTCATTCTTTGTCATCCCCTTCTTCTCTTGCCCTCCATCTTTCCCAGCATCAGGCTCTTCTCCAGTGAGTCCTTCCTTCTCATTAGATGGCCAAAGTCCTTGAGTTTCAACTTCAGGATCTGGCCTTCTAAAGAGCAGTCAGGGTTGATCTCCTCTAGGACTGACCAGTTTGATCACCTTGCAGTCCAGGGGACTCGCAGGAGTCTTCTCCAGCACCATAGTTCAAAGGCCTCCATTCTTTGGCCCTCAGCCTTTCTTATGGTCCAACTTTCGCAGCCATACATTGCAACTAGGAAAATCTTTAGATAAATAGAAAAGTAATTTAGTTGCCTAAGTGTTTTAGGAAACTTATGTTTTCCAGGATCTCATAGCTAGGTCTCCAAGACAAAACAAAGGAGACATTTTATGTCCACATGGACACTTCTACATGATCCTGGACCTCCAGGTGGCAACTGGGATTCCATCTCATGTAGAATCTGATGATCCCATATTGGACTAAACATTGAAAGCTAACATCTCAACGGCATTAAAAGTAGCATACAAATATATAGAAATAGTGATAGTTATCTTGAAACCCAAAGATCAGTACATGGATCTTTGGATTTCACTACAACACAACTCAGAAAGCTCAGATCGCCCAAGAATCTGCTGATACAATTCTACAGAGGAATTGTTGAGCCTGTCATTTGTACCTCTATAACTGTCTAGTTTGGCACAGCAACCAAATAGGACAGACACAGGCTTCAATGGATAGTTAGGACTGCAGAACAAACTATCACAACCAGCCTGCCTTCCACTGAGGACCTGTATACTGCATGAGTCAGAAACAGAGCTGAGAAAAAATCTACAGACCCTTCACATCCTGCACGTAGACTGTTTCAACTCCTTCCCTTCAGGATGCCACTATAGGTAGGGTGTTGCATTCCAAACTACCAGATACAAACGTAGCTTTTCCCTCCGTGCCATCACTCTGCTGAACACCCAATTCCCACAGAACTGTCTTATGCCTAAGGGCATTTAAACATGTCGCAGGCTGTATTGTTATTATCCTTGTCATCTTTTCATCTTTCTCACCTTCTCATCTTTCCCACTACCTTCTTCTACTGGTATCGTATGATTTATCACTTGTTGTTTGTATCTTATGATCTATGACTTATCATTTGTTGGTTCTATGTACACTGAGAGCTTGTGCACCAGAGACAAATTCCTTGTGTGTCTATTCTATTCTATTCTATTCTATTCTATTCTATTCTATTCTATTCTATTCTATTCTATTCCTTTTTTCTATTCTATTCTGTTCTATTCTATTCTATTCTATTTATTCTATTCTATTCTATTCCTTTTTTCTATTCTATTCTATTCTGTTCTGTTCTATTCTATTCTATCCCATTATTCTATTCTATTCTATATTCTATTCTATTCTTATTTTAATTCTATTCTATTCTATTCCTTTTTTCTATTCTATTTATTCTATTCTATTCTATTCCTTTTTTCTATTCTATTTATTCTATTCTATTCTATTCCTTTTTTCTATTCTATTCTATTCTATTCTATTTATTCTATTCTATTCTTTCTATTCCTTTTTTCTATTCTATTCTATTCTATTTATTCTATTCTATTCTATTCTATTCTATTCCTTTTTTCTATTCTATTCTATCTCATTATTCTATTCTATTCTATATTCTGTTCTATTCTTATTTTAATTCTATTCTATTCCTTTTTTCTATTCTATTCTATTCTATTCTATTCTATTCTATTCTATTCTATTCTATTCTATCCCATTATTCTGTTCTATATTCTATTCTTATTTTAATTCTATTCTATTCTATCCCATAATTCTATTCTATATTCTATTCTATTCTTATTTTAATTCTATTCTATTCTATCATTACATCACATCACATCACATTACATTACATTATATTACCCACTTCATTACATTCTGCATTCCGCATTCCACATTCCACATTCCACATTCCGTATTCTACTCTATTCTACTCTACTCTATCTACTATGCTATGCTATGCTATGCTATGCTATGCTATGCTATGCTATGCTATACTCTATTCCTATTCCTACTCCTATTCCATTCCATTTTTATTCCCATTTCCTATTATAGTATAGTCTGGTGTGGTCTGGTGTGGTCTGGTCTGGTCTAGTCTAGTCTAGTCTAGTCTAGTGTTGTAGAGAACATGTCTATCTGCTCCAGAATAGCTTCAGTCCAGCTTATGCCAAACTGAGAATCCTCTATTCTGTTCTGTACTGTTCTATTCTATTCTATTCTATTCTATTCTATTCTATTCTATTCTATTCTATGCCATTCCATTCCATTCCATTCTCCTCCCCAAAAATTGCAAGTTTTCTCTGCTACTATGATGTCCCATCTCATCTCTTTAGAGTAACACTTCACAATCCTTTTACTTCACTAGGCCTCTTGATACAGAGTTTTTTTCTTCCCTTTTCTCCCTAGGGATCAGAAGTTATAACTGTGGTTGCCATTGATGGAGATAGGGGAAAACCTAATGACATATATTACAGCATTGTGAATGGTAAGTGGTTGGTGAAACTGGAAAGGCATAACTAAGCTAAGTAGAGGAAGGAAGAGACAATCCTATCAGAATTATTTCCCAGGGAAACTGCTGTAAAACATTCTGAAAATGTTTATGTAGGCCAATTTGCACTTGCCCAATATTGGACCTCATAGGACTCACCAAATCTCCTGCATTGGTGTGTTGTGTTGCTTTAGGCTTGTTGTTGAATCCGAAACTCAGCCATCAGCCCGGAAATACAAATTCACTTGCTCCTAAAACTAACTGTTGTTTGTCAAGAAGATTTAACATTCTGACTCATATCCCTTCACAGGTTGGCTGGGGTTCTTTTTTGGGGGGGAGGTGGGTTATAAGGCATTCATGCTTATCATGAGGATAAGTTGTTGCACAAAAGTGTGAGAGAGTGTGTGTTTTCCCCCTTCCAGAAATGTGCCTCAGAAATGAAACTTGTGAAAGTTAAATCTTCTCACGTCTCTTTATGAGAGATGTTCTCATACTTGGGAGATATAATTATACATCTGCTAATTAAAAATGTTCTCTCTTTTTTAACCAGCTTATGCTTTACATAGCCAATACTTTGACATTCAAAAAATGAGGGTGTGGATCCTTAGGGTGGGTTTAGAGAAAGAGAGATCCAGGACAGTTTTGTACACAAATTTATTTTAGGCTTCTGTTATTATTGTTCAGGAGAAGCAAGTCATTTGTGATTTTTTTTTTCCTCCTTAGGCCAAAATTGGACAATCTTCAATGCTAGGAATACAGTAGTGGCCAAAATTGTGGAAACCTTTTGGGAAAAGTGTATTTTTGAGGCTGGATGGCTAATAACACCACTTTTGGGGGGAAGTAGAATCCATAAAATTATATATCAGTGGAAAGATAATTTAATCAAGAATGTAATGCAACAAAGTTTGTTCAATTATCTGCACTGTATTCTATGAAAAGTTATAGCCAAATAACCAGAAAAAGGAAGCACAGCTTGCTTAGGTTGATATTAGGTAGCTTTCCTTCATCTGATGGTAACCAATGAGTGTGAGTGTTTAGAGAGCCAATCGGGTGTCATCTTGTTTTGGCAATGAGCCAATCAGATCACAGTAGGATTCAGTTATTGATGTCCTGTATTGAAGCTGAGAGGAGGACATTTGTCAGTGTGTTATGCGATGGCTATCGTTGGTTGGTTTTTTTTTTGTGTTCTTTCATTGAGTGAGCTTGTAAAACATAATAAAATTAAAGTAATGATTCAAAGAGTTAACTGGTCACCCAGAAAGCGATGTAAAATAGTATTATGAAGTGAACAAGGCTACAGCTGTAAAGAAATGAGAAAAAAATGGGTGGAAACTTAACCAAAGGTGGCATTTCTACTGAACACTTTTCCCAAACGGTTTCCACAGTTTTGGCCACTACTGTATGTCTAATTTTCACACTTCAAGAAAGTGCAGCTCTCAGAAAGCTTGCCACTGAGAGTCACCGTTCCTGAAAACCATCAGTGTAGTTTCTCACCTTTTTAAGCATGACGCACCAGAAAAATATGTTTCCTATCAAAATGAGCTTAACATCATCAATATAACAACCACTCCCCAACCCCAGCCACAACTAAAGGGGGGAATGGAAAATCACAGCTCTTCCTATGTGTGAATCAGTCAAGCTTATTTTGTCTCATCCCTGTAAACCTCTTATTTTCCCAAAATAGTTAATTCAGTCTCTGTCCATCAGACTGCCGATTCTTTTGGGACTCTGCTAGGCACAAAAGTACATGTCCCAATTCTCCTCCAAACACAGTGGCATGTTTTCTATCCAGTAGTTCAGAGGTGTCAAACTGCCGGCCCACGGGCTGGATGCGTCATGGCAAAACCGCATCCACCCCAATTCCGGCAATGGAAAAAAAGTTGAGATACGTCCCATGATGATGCAAGTGTGACACCCCTGCTGTAGTTGATGCTACATTACCTCCTTATTACCAATTTGCATGAGAAGGTAAAAAACAGCTATGTCTAGTTTAATGAAAAGAAGTGACATGATAGCAGTGTTCCAATATCTGAGGGGCTGCCACAAGGAATAGGGGGTCAACCCATTCTCTAAAGCAGTGGTTCTTAACCTTTTTGAATGAATCGCCCCCTTGAGCCAATGAGGAAGTTGTCATCGCCCCCCTCCCCCAACATAACCTCTCAATCACCACATAGGAAATAATTCTTCAATTTATGCAAACACTTGTTTTGTTTTCTTTCAAATTGTCATCAGGACATATCGATGCAAATGGTTTATTTCCAATCTTTTTCCCATATCTCAACTGTGTGAAAAATTTTGGTGCCACCCGTCACTTTATTCCCAAACTTTCTGATACATGTATTTCATTATGATCTTATTTACCCAAGACACTTAAATGTAATGACCACTGAAAACAAAATTCAGTTGCAAGAAAATGAAATGCCCGAAAAGAAAAACAGTAACATTTAATGATTGAATTACAAGTGAAATTTAAGACGCAAAAAGAAATATAAAAAGGGTAGAGGCTGCTGCGCAATGCGCATGAAGATAAGCGATGCGTATTCACATAGGTACGGCGTTCTGTACTGAAGCTAGCGGGAGGAACATTTGAAAACACAATTCAGTCCACTAATAGTGAGCGATCTGATCTTTTTGTACGACAGATATACTGCGATTCCCTGTATGAAAAAGTCTCAAAAGTGTCCCCAAAACCTCTCGCTCCATCGCCCCCATATCGCCCCCTTTTCGTTCCATCGCCCCCCTGAAAAATGAAATCGCCCCCTGGGGGGGCAATATTGCCTAGGTTAAGAACCACTACTCTAAAGCATTGGAGGGCAGGACAAGAAGCAACAGAGGGGAACTAATCAAGGAGAGAAGCAACCTAGATCTAAAGAGAAATTGCCTAACAGTGAGAACAATTGATCAGTAGAACAACGTGCCTCAAGGAGCGCCAATACTGCAGGTTTTTAGGAAAAGATTGGAAACCATTTGTCCGAAATGATGTAAGGTCTCCTCCTTGAGCAATGGGTTGGATTTAGAAGGCGTCAAAGATCCCTTCCTCTTATTCTGTTATTTGGGCCTTTTTCTGGGAGAAATAAGAAAATGCCTTGATTTTTCCCTTCTGAGCAAAAGCCACTGCCTATCTCTCATATAGGGCCTGATCCATCTCCCCCACCCCAATTGAAGCTGTCCGAGAGAGAAAAGAATAGAGTTTGTTATTCATAGTCTCTATTTCACTTGAGAAAAAGTATATCTTTCCTAAATTAGGTTTTTAGAGACGGTTTTGCTTATTGCTCTCCAGGGTCCTGAAATCCCTTCCCTTCGGCTTAGTGAAATTTAAAATGTATATTTTCAAAATACACATATCTTCTGCTTTTCCCAGAAAGACATTGATATATATATACATATATATATATGTATATGTATATGTAGGTCTTTGGTGAACTACCTGAACTACTTCAGAAAACGTATATGTATATGTATATATATTGCTGTATGTTACACCCTGTTGACCCAAATATGGGAGAGAGAAATCTTTTGCCTTGTATCAGCTCAAACTAGAGCCATCCACAGGCAGCAGTCACAACTGTGACATCATATACATTTCTAAAATTTGGATTGCTAGCAAAGAATTAAGGGAGAACTGGAATAGCTATTTCGAACTCTTTAGTTCTTTTCAACCAGACATACCCTTCTGAGATTTGAACCTGGGCTGTCTGCATGTTAGGCAGCAGTATTAACCTCTAGGCCACAGGCTCTGTCTCACTTTTGCCAGTTGTGTTAGGGAGGGAAGAAACAGGGGAGGAGTTATCTAGAATGCTGTATGTTACACCCTGTTGACCCAAATATGGGAGAGAGAAATCTTTTGCCTTGTATCAGCTCAAACTAGAGCCATCCACAGGCACATATATATATGTCTTTGGTTATTCGGGTTTTCTCCTGCGTAAAATTGGAAATGTCTTGGCGATGTTTTGACGAAGTCCCATTCATCATCTTCAGGCTGGTGTTTTCTGCTTTATGCTACAATCACACATTGCTCCTAGAAGCATGAAGCCGAAAACACCAGCCTGAAGATGACGAATGGGACTTCGTCGAAACGTCACCAAGACACTTCCAATTTGACGCGGGAGAAAACTCGAATAACCAAAGACCTACGTGTGTGTGTGTGTGTGTGTGTGTGTGTGTGTGTGTGTGTGTGTGTTTGAAAGAAGAAGGAATGGAAGCCATGTCCATTCCATCACAATAAGGTGAATGAGGATGCAATTACGTTTAGCACGGGCTGAAAGGAACACAAGCTAGTTCATTCATAGCTACCTTAAATCCTACTGATTTCAGCAGATCTAGCTCAAGTGGTCTCTATTTTAAGTTCAAACCAATAGTTCTTAAAAGTAAAGAGGTAATCTAAGACTGCTTTCATGCCCATCTTCAGAAGCAAGAAGAATTTATCCGAGTGCAGATTACCCCTTGGATTCTGGTCCCCTTTCAGATTTAATGGAGAGACGATCTTCTCCCTTGACATGGACAACTTCTGAGATCCCTTCCAATTCTCCAAACAGGAAATCCCAGTTATTGTTCTGTGGTATGACCCCATCCAAGATCATTACCTGCTGTGCTTAACTAGTTGCATCATGACAACAGGATTGGGTGACTCTTCTTTCTAGAGAACTAAAATTTCCATAGGGCTAACCTTGCATATCTCTGTTTTCCACAGGAAGTGAAGGCTCATTTGAAATAAATAATACAACAGGAGCTATTTCTGTTGTTAAAAACCCAGCTCAACTGAAGAAAGAAGTGTACGAACTGAAAGTCCAGGTATTTGGTCTTACTTTCTCACCATAAACTTCCAGCCTTGCCATGATTGTGATGGGTTTATATTGCACAGAATTTAAAACATCTGTAAAGATTAGCACACGCTTTCCCCCAGAGAACTGAAGCATCAAAAACATTCGTCCATGTTGCATCTACCCAAAAGATCATGGATACAACAAAACGCCAATCTTATTTCATCATGAGCTCAGATATTACGGAATAAAATAGCTAAATTTCTTCATGTGCATCTAAAGTAGGTCAGGAAAGTGTTACAGCTAGGTTTTGGGAAGCAGCACAAGCCCTCCCCCCCCAAAAAAATCACACAGCCTGTTAAAGATGATGAGATCAGTCCAGGACAAGCAAAATAAATAAATAAATAAATCCCTATTCTTCAAGACCCGAGTTCTAAAGGAATGTGTGTCACAGCACAAGTTGAGCCAATGAGATACCTACTTTGCAAGTTTAACCACTTGCAACTTAAGCATCCTGACTGATTCTGAATTAAAAGAAGAGGAAAGAACATGAAAGAGGCTTTTTGTGTGAAACAGAAAATAATGATGGGTTTGATTATTAGAAAAAACAGTAGACGATAGGATGGAGTGATGGAGAACCTTTTAGAGACCGAGTGCCCAAACTGCAACCCAAAACCCACATGCATCGTCGAGTGCCAGGTGGGTGTGGCCCATTGGGTCGGCATGGCTGCCATGGTAAGGGCAGACTGGTTGGGACTAAAAATTTCAATCAATCAATTCCATCTTTGCAAGATCTTTTTTTTCTGCAAGAAGTTGAAATTGACTGATTGAACCTTTTTTTTTTTTTTTTTGCACATGGCGGCGGAAGCCTAAAGCAAAAAGGTTTTATAAAACCCAGCTGAAGGCCTAGGACTGGGGCGACGGCACACGTGCCCACAGAGAGGGCTCTGAGTGCTGCCTCTGGCACCCGTGCCATAGGTTCGCCACCACTGCGATAGGGAAAAAAATGAAAGTTATCTTCTAACCGTAGTGTAAGAGGACAAATTAAATTTTTACTTGCAATGTTGTAAAAGAAAACTGGAAGTCGTTTATCTATTTTTTTCCCTCCATTTTTGGCTTCCTTCCTTCCTTTCTCCCTCCCTCCTTTCTCTATCCCTTCCTTCCTCCTTTCTTCCCTCCCTCCCTCCCTCCTCCCCTCCTCTCTTTCTTATCTTAATTATTACTCCATAGATGTTATCTTTCTGGATTAAAATTTTAATAAGTATCAAAAAAGAAATAATTAATCAAAAGCAGAAGAAAGATCTCATTACGCTAAAGGTTTCAGCAAAGAACGATTTCACCTCACATCACTTGTTTGAACCTTAGAGCTTTATTTATATATATATATATATATATATATATATATATATATATATATATATATATATATATATATATATATATATATATATATATATTCTCTTCCAAACGTATCTGGTTTCATGACGTCTGCAAGGAGCAGAAAGCAATCTTTATTTATTTATTAAATTCAAATGCCTCGTGTCTCACTATCCAATCTTATACATTTTATGACACAATTGCCAAAATAGCAACAGCACCTAGACTTATATGACACTTCACAGTGTTTTGCAGTCCTATCTAAGCGATTTACAAAGTTGGCATGTTGCCCCCAACAATCGGGGTCCTCATTTTACCCACCTCGGAAGGATGGAAGGCTGAGTCAACCTTGAGCCGGTCAGAATCAAACTCACTGGAATGAGCAGTGAGTTAGTAAGCAGTGAGTTAGCCTGCAGTACTGCAGTGTAACCACTGCGCCACCACAGCTCTACTTTTTCTAAGTCACGGAAGTGAGGCAGAAGCAATAGCATCCACAAGGCAACACAAAACCATAAGGGAAGTTGAGTTGGCAAGATTCCTTATCCTTTTTCTTTCCTGTTTGTCGTAGGCTTCTGAAATCAGTTCAGAAGACAACGAGACTGCTCACGCGTCCACCACAGTCATCATCAGAGTGGTAGACCTTAACAATCACCCACCGACCTTTTATGGAGAAAGTGGACCACAGAACCAATTTGAGCTCACCATCTATGAGCACCCACTGGAAGGGGAAACCTTGAGAGGCCTCAGAATTACGGTCAGCGATTCAGATCAGGTCAGTAGGCATCCAACTTCTACCTTCCGCCTCTTGATATAAGGACTGGGTTCACACAACTTGTCATATGCTAAAACCTGGTTTAGCATAGGATCCCATAACCATGCAATGGCTGAACATAATACTATGGTTCATATAGTCCTAAGATACTATCCGGGGCCAAAAGCACAAGAACATAAGTCAAACAAACAGATCAGTCATGCAGCATCTGAAACGATCAAAAACATTTTGGCCATTGTAGAGCATGTTGACAAAAAAATCTAACTTGAAAAAAAAAACATATCACTATAAATACATCACTGTTTGAGGCCATTGCTTGCTTTCCAAGCATGACCATTGATGGGATGAGAGTCAGGTTACTAAATACACATTATGTTCCACCCCTTGCATGTTTCCATGGCAATGTCACAGGCTAACGTATGGAGTAACAGAATAACCGAGATGGAAAGGACCATTGGAGGTCTTCTAGTCCAACCCCCTGCTCAAACAGGACACCCTATACCATTTCAGACAAATGGTTGTCCAATCTCTTCTGAAAAACCTTCAGTGATGGAGCATCCACAACTTCTAGAGGCAACTCATTCCTCTGATTAATTGTTCTAATTATTAGGAAATTTCTCGTTAGGTCTAGATTGGTTGTCTCCTTGATTAGTTTCCACCCTTTGCTTCTTGTCCTGCCTTCAGGCACTTTGGAGAATAGGTTGCCCCTCTATTGATTCCATCAGGATGTTGCCATGCACATTTGGTCTTGGGGACGAAATTTGAGAGTTCTATGGATTTCTGTGTTTCTAGCTTGGGTTTTGGAAAGAAACTGGACTAGACAATGTCCAGCAAGCCTTGTGGCCATTCTTTGGGTAGAGATTTGGCCTCTCTTGATGACAGTATCACTAATTTGCTTCATCGCTTGATGAAATATATGCCCTAGCTCGTTCCTTCTTTCATTTTCTTTTCCAAATCCTTCTGCAGGTAAGCTATCCCAGATTGTGACTTTGAAAAATAATCATACAGGACTGTTTTCTTTAAGCAGAGCAATGGGATTCATTTACATGATAATTTACTCAAGACCTCCCAGTGCTCCCCCTAGAAAAAGTGATAAGGGTTGCCATGGAAACCTCCAAGAAAAGGTTCAACCTGAGCTAACCCAAGACGAAAACTTCAGATACGTTTATTTAAGATACATGTACTCTTTGCAGCGATTGAAAATAAAATCTAGTCTATGGACAAGGAGATCTTAATTAAAAATTGAGCCAACATGACTGCATTATTTATTTACTAGGCTTACGTTCTCTCTTTATTTTGGACAACTCAGAATAACTCAACCTATGTCTCCTGGTAATAACCCTGTGGTGGGTTGGGCTGAGAGAGAGGGGGGACAAGCCCTAAGGCCCCCAACTATCTTCCATACCTAAAGGAGGAGTAGAACTCACAGCTTCTAGCCCAATACTTTATTTTTTTTTCAACAATCTTTTCTATTAATTTTTTTTCCATCAACATATGTTAATTTTTCCAATCAAACAAGTTGTCTGGTGTTTGCTAAGCTAATACATGTTCACTTCCTAATCCTTCATTCTTTTCTCTAACCAAGAATAGAATAAATTCCAAATTTTATAATAGTCCGTGTCTTCTTGTCTTTCAGCCTCATAGTTAGTCTGTCCATCTCTGCACATTCCAATATTTTTGTGATTATTTCTTCTTCTGATGGCAATCCTTCATTCTTCCAGTACTGTGCAAAAATTATTCTTGCTGCTGTAGTAATATGTAGAATTAAATATAATTTCTGCTCATTAATCTTTTCAGGCATAATGACTAGTAAAAAAAGTTCAGGTTTAAAATCCACTTGTTCGCCCAATATTTTTTCTAACCACATATGTATGCTTTTCCAATAGGCCTTTGCCTTCCCACATGTCCACCAAATATGGTAATACGTGCCTATATTGTGTTTACATTTCCAACATCTATCTGACATATTTTTAAACATTTTTGCTAATCTTGCTGGTGGAAGGTGCCATCTCTAGCCGAATACTTTAACCACTATGCCAACTGGCTATCTATAATCTCCATTATTTTACTGTATGCCACTTAGAATCACCCTCATGAGACACAAAACATAGTATCCTTCCTGAAATGAAAAACCAGAACTTTTGAGACAGAATCTCACAGCTGTTATTGTAAGGTGCCCAGAGTTACCCTGTGGTAAGACAGTGGCCAGTAAATTTGATAAATAAATAAATACATTTAATAAATAAAGAATTGGTGCTCCTGTGACAAAAAGCAGCCCAGTGAACAGAGAACTGCGTCTTGAAGCGGAGGTCTGCAAAACATCATTATTCTTGGTGCATTTTGGCCTGATTTGCTTATTTGCTTATTGTTGTTTTGCTGAGGATGTTCTCATCCTGCACCCTATAAAAAAAAAACAAGGTTGTGCAGTGCTTTGGGTTCAGTCTGGAAAAGGTACTTCAGAGTGTGCAAAATTATTTAGTATTTGACTGTGTCGCTTTAGCACTGATGATGTTATCTAACTTGGTAACGAAATGTCTGCAAGAAAACCACCAAGCTCAAAGAGCACCAAAGATGCCATAGTATCTATCTATCTATCTATCTATCTATCTATCTATCTATCTATCTATCTATCTATCTATCTATCTATCTATCTTTCTTTCTTTCTTTCTTTCTTTCTTTCTTCTTTCTCTTTCTTTCTTTCTTTCTTTCTTTCTTTCCTTTCCTTCTTATTCTTCTTCTTCTTCTTCTCCTTCTCCTTCTCCTTCTTCTTCTACTCCTCCTCCTCCTCCTCCTCTCTGCAAACTCCATTCCCTTGTAGCATTGATGATGCTACCTAGTTGGGTAATTAAACATCTGCAAGAAAATCATCAAGCTCAGAGAACAGCAAGGACCCTACTGTATCACTTTAAAAATAGCTGCATTATTTCCTGGAATCGTACAGGAATCCTGATTGGAAAGAAATTTGGGTGAGGTGGCTGTTGCACGTGGGAATAAAATATAAAGAGAAGACCTTGTTTATGGACATATATTGGATGAGAAGTGGAGCAAAGCTGTTTCACACCACCCTAGACAGAGCTAATTTGTTTTCACACTTTTTCTTCACAGGGAGCAAATGCTAAATTTAACCTCCACCTTGTTGGGCCGGATGGAATTCTCCGTGTTGTCCCCCAAACAGTCCTAAATGAAGCCCAAGTCACAATAATAGTGGAAAATTCTGTGGCCATTGATTACGAAAAGTTCCAGGAGTTAACCTTCAAGGTATTTACTTTCTTCAATTCAAGGTTGAATTAAAAAGAGGGAATGGACTCTGTTTTTGCTCTCCTGGGTTCATGGAGATTCCCAATCATCCAGGTCATGGTTGTCTCAAAGTTGCTTTCCAAAAGGCAACCGGACTTCCTTGAGTTTTTCCTTGAAAATGTTTCGCTTCTCATCTATCTTCTTCAGTTCTGAAGCTCCTTGGATAAGAAGTGAAACATTTTTAAGGAAAAACCAAAAGCTTTTTTTTTTATTGAAAAGTTTTATAAAAAATTACAGTATACACCCCAAAACCCACCCACCCTAAACCCCCCCTCTCCCTCCCCCACTTCCCAGAGCTAAGTACAGGGTTACAAATATAATAATCAAACTCTAACTAACATTAACCAACTATATAAATAACCAAGTCCTTAATGTGTTTTAACTCACCTTTAACGTAGGTATAAACAAATTAAAAATGAACATAATAATATAAACAAGTCAATATTATTAAACAATACAATATCCAAATTTTTAAACAATACTAATACTAAAAATAATAATAAAACTAATAAAAATTTTACTATAATAAACTATTAATAATAATAATACTCTAAAATTTACTCATAAACTAGATGGAACTTTTTAGTCCCATATTTATTCTGAATATAATCTATCCATCTTCTCCAGACCAAAATGTATCTTTCTTGTGAGTGATCCTTCAAGTAAGCAGAAATTTTCGCCATTTCTGCTAAATTTGACACTTTAAGCATCCATTCTACTATAGTAGGCAAACAATCCTTCTTCCAATATTGCCCTACCAATAACCTGGCAGCTGTTATCAAATTCAACGTCAAGTCAATTTCTTTAGCATCACAATCTACAATAACACTCCGTAAAAATAAACCAAAAGCTTTTTTGGAAAGCATTTTTGAGACTCCCTTTAGCTCAGAACTTCAAATCTTTCGGAGACCCCGAGATGCTTTTTCACGAGGCAACTGGACTTTCTTGTTTTTCTCTGAAGAGATTTTGCTCCTCATCCAAGAAGCTTCTTCAGCTCTGACTCCGAGGTTTCTTGGATATCTTCAAAGAAAAATCAGAAAGTCCAGTTGCCTCATGGAAAAGCATCTTTGGGATAACTACGACCTGGATGACTGAGAATCTCCACAAAGTTGCAGAAACAGGAGAAATAAAGATGAAACACATGAAAGGTTCTGAAGCTGAAATGGTCACTGACCAGATCCCCATGTTAAATTTTATACACAAACTATGGATAGCTCTGTTTGAAATGGCGGGACCTCGTATTTCTAATACCCTTAACCTGTAGTTTTCATGAGAGAATATCAAGATACTTCATGGCTGGATTCTTAGAGAGAAACTATTGCAAGGACATTTTAATCTGGATTTCTCTGAGGAAAGAACTCTGAGTCACAGTCATTTTTCAAGAAGAATTTATTTGTGGTCAGCTGAGAGGGCAAACTTCCCAAATACAGTATTGGCCAAAATTGTGGAAAACTTTTGAGAAAAGTGTACAGTAGAAATGCCACCTTTGGTTAAGTTTCCACCAATTTTTCTTTTAATTTCTTTATAACTGTAGCCTTGTTCACTTAATAATACTCTTTTACATCGTTTTCTCGGCAACCAGTCAACTCTTTCCACCATGACGTATTACGTTTTACAAGCTCACTCAATGAAAGAACACAAAAAAACCCAACCAACTTGATAGCCATCACATAACACACTGACAAATGTCCTCCTCTCAGCTTCAAGACATGACATCAATCACTGGATCCTACGTGATCTGATTGGCTCATTGCCAAAACAAGAGGACACCCGACTGGCTCTCTAAACACTCACGCTCATTGGCTACCATCAGATGAAGGAAAGCTACCGATATCAACCTAAGCAAGTTGTGCTTCCTTTTCCTGGTTATTTGGCTATAACTTTTCATAGAATACAGTACAGATAATTGAACAAACTTTGTTGCATTAAATTCTTGATTAAATTATCTTTCCATTGATATATAATTTTATGGTACTACTCCAAAAAAAAGTGGTGTTTTAGCCATCAAACCTCAAAAATACACTTTTCCCAAAAGGTTTCCACAATTTTGGCCACTACTATAGAGGTAGGCTAACCATCTAGTGACTTTTTATGCATCTTTACATGCTACTACACACATGCACTTACAAGCCTCTTTTTTTAATAACTCTTAGAAACATTTCTTTATCAGTTTCTTTTACCATATACACGATGGTGTTTAAAAGAAATATTTTTTGACATATTTTCAATATTTCTGCATAAATCTGGCCTACAGTACGATATGTTTTGCACACAAGTTCTACAACTAGATAAAGGGATCCCAGTATGAGTCAAAAACATTATACAGGTCTTTTAATTTATGGAGGAAAATAATCCAAATCCACCTATAATGCATGATAACACCAATGTTAATCTGTTAGAAAGGAAACCCTTTCATATATTATTTAAAATAGCAAATTCTCACTTCCCTCTTTACTGCCTTAGCTTCTTGCAGTAGAAGTGAACACACCTGAGAAGTTTAGTTCAACAGCTGATATTGTGATTCATCTATTGGACACCAATGATAACGTCCCCCATTTTTCATCTGATTACTATGTCGCCAAGATCCCAGAGAATTCCCCCGGGGGCTCTAATGTTGTTGCTGTAACTGTAAGTAAACTTCATTCTTTAAAAGCCTTACACCTTTCTTAATAGTCAACCTATTAATACATGATACAGAATAGATGTTAAGATCATGTGAAGTCTTAATACCACTTTACAACGCCTTGGTAAGACCACACGTGGAAAACTGCATCCAGTTTTGATCACCGTGATGTAAAAAAGATGTTGAGACTCTAGAAAGAGTGCAAAGAAGAGCAACAAAGATGATTAGGAGGACTGGAGGCTAAAACATATAAAGAACGGTTGCTGGAATTGGGCATGTCTAGTTTAATGAAGAGAAGGATGAGGGGAGATGATAACAGCCTTCCAATCTCTCAGGGGCTGCCCCAAAGAAGAGGGAGTCAAGCTATTCTCCAAAGTGCCTGAAGGTAGGACAAGAAGCAAAGGATGGAAACTAATCAAGGAGACAACCAATCTAGACCTAAGGAGAAATTTCCTGATAATTAGAACAATTAATCAGTGGAACAACTTGCCTCCAGAAGCGGTGAATGTTCCAACACTGGAAGTTTTTAAGAAGAGACTGGACAGCCATTTGTCCGAAATGGTATAGGGTCTCCTGCCTGAGCAGGGGGTTGGACTAGAAGACCTCCAAGGTCCCTTCCAACTTTATTATTATTATTATTATTACATCCTAGAAAGCATGCATAGAAGACCAATAAAGATGATAAGGGGTCTGGAGGCCAAACCATATAATGAACAATTGAAGGAACTAGGTATGTCTAGTCTAACATAAAGAAGGGCGAGGGATGGCATAATAGCAATCTTCCAATATTTGAGGAGCTATCACAGAGAACAAAGAAGGCAAAACAAGAAATAATGTGTGGAAGATTATTAAAGAGAGAGCCAACTCTCCTGGCGGTGAGAACAATTAATCAGTAGAATGGCTTACATATAGAAGTCATGGGTGCTCCATCTCTGGAGGTTTTTAAATTAGAGATTGGACAGCCATTTGCCTGAATTGATATAGGGTTTCCTGCATGAGCAGGGGGTTGGACTAGAAGACCTCCAAGGTCCCTTCCCAGCCTATCATTTTGTGTTCTAACCAAATAGTGTAGCTATTTGGCCTCATTCCCTTCAAAAGTATCCTCCTTTGTTACATTTATTGACAAATCTAAATCAATGGACATAGACATTAATCAGATCTAGTACCTCCTGTATTGTAGAAGGCATGGTAATCTTCCCAAAAATTGCAAAAAGAAGCAGATACATAAAAACTCCTCCTTTTAGATTAGATTATAGTGACCGTTTGGGTTGAAGAAGTAGCAGAAAGAAAAGTTTCTACCCCAAAATTGTTCATTCCCCTGAAAATTAAGCCGTTCCAATAACTTACTATATACACTTACATGTAAACTGAGGTTGAATCTTTAGCATGATTTGTTGTACGGCGAAGGTATGCAACAATTTCTCAGAACTGCATAATAATATGAATCTTGTGAATTTCCCATTGTAGTCATTTTATTTTCTTCCATAGGCAATTGATCCAGACTCAGGCCTTTGGGGAGAATTAAAATACTCAATTTACGGAACAGGAGCAGATTTGTAAGTGTGCAATGTGACCAATTGCAAGCCTATGCTCATATATCCAATTTTAATATAAATGGAATATTTTGAGGAAAAACGCAGGAATGCATATGTGAGGAGTAATAATGGGAAGGAAAATTGCTCATCCTATTCAAGCAGGATAATTTTGCATTCCTGTTTCTTTCCAACCTTATTCTAATTAGGGCAAGGAACAAGGAAGGAGCACAGTTCTTCTTGGTTCCTTTCTTCTGCTCAAATCAAATGTCTATAGGAAAGTCTATTATAAATCTATTATTTGAAATGGAAGAGGGACTGATAGTTTTTTCTGAACCACTGTCTCCAGAGTGGAGCAGATATGGATGAGACAGCCTGAAAGACATTAAATGCAAAACCTGCCATTTCAATTCTATAGGATAGCAATCAGTAAGAAATAGTCTTCACCCTTTCCTACTGTAATCTGTAGATCTGATGAACTGCGTGCTGCATACTGCAATTCTCAGTCTTTCTTGCTACTATTCTGAAGGACTCCATTTGGAGTATTGAAAGAAAAAAATTCTCTTTAACATTCAACTCAAGATGTGTTCATTGTGGGAAGATTTACTTTTACATGAAGTTTCTGTGACAATGTTGCTTCCTATCAACTATCCCATCAAGATAGATGATAGTAGATAGATAGATAGATAGATAGATAGATAGATAGATAGATAGATAGATAGATAGATAGATAGATAGATAGAGACAGACAGACAGACAGACAGACACATATATAGTTACCTAGATATAGAAGATAGATAAGTAGATAGAATAGAGTATATAGAGTAGAGTAGAACAGAACAGAATAAAATAGAAATTAATAGAGAAGAACAGAACAGAATAGAACAGAATAGAAATTAATAGAGTAGAGTAGAACAGAACAGAATAGTAATTAGTAGAATTGAATAGTAATAGAACAGTAATTAATAGAATAGAATAGAGAATAGAGTAGAGTACAGTAGAGTAGAGTAGAATAGAATAGAATAGAATAGAATAGAATAGAATAGAATAGAATAGAATAGAATAGAATAGAATAGAATAGAATGATGCTAGTTATTCAATCCAGGATCATACTATCTAATTAGTAACCAAATCTGATTAGTTTATGGACTAACTTGTCTCTGTGGTTCTTCCCTACTCTCCCATGTTATGAAATTCTTCTTCCCAAGTCAGTCAACTCAGCAATTCTACTAATTGTCTTGTGTCTTTACGTTTTAAAAATGGCCTATGTCATTGTTAAAAAACCTCAATGAGTTTCAAATCTGAAAGACTAACTTTATTACAATAATTCTGAAGGCTTTGAAGAATAGGAGATTATGTAAAATTTTTAACTTTCTGTTGCTTTGAATGTGCTGCAAAATGATTAAAGGGATATGTAACTAAATCAGTCAGTAGATCATTTCTAATCTCTAATAATTTTGACAACAATGATTCTGAGCTATAGGGTGCGTCTTTTTCTGAATATGTCACCAGCATAATCCTCACCAATTTATTTCCTTACCAGTTTTCTGATTCATCCATCTACTGGGATTATCTACACTCAACCATGGGCCATCTAGATGCAGAAATCAACTCTAAGTACCATTTTTTTGTGAAGGCAGAAGATATAGAAGGAAAACATAGCTTGGCTGAAGTCTTCGTCACAGTCCTGGATGTCAACGATCACTCTCCAGAGTTCAGTGAGAATATTCAGGAAAAAACCATGATTATTGGATCCCCAGTAAAAGTTGAGGTGGGTCAAATTATTGTTGCTCTCTGAAATGTGATGGTTCATGATAAAAATAAGCTTAAAAGCTAAATAATAGGGGCTGTGTAGTGTTTTGGATTCATCTCCAGAAAGGAGAACATGACAACATGAAAGTAGTATGTCATGGTTCTGACGGATGAAACTCTTCAAAAGAACTTTAAGGCATTGTTTACCTAAAGAATCTTTATTTTGAGTAGCATAACTTCAGCACTGCATAATTGAAGCCAAAAATTGAATTCTCCTCCCCTGAGCACATAGTATCAAAGCACAATTCCCTCCTCCAATTAACAGTCTTAAATCACATTCCCTAATTAGCTTGAAGCATGGGTCTCCTCTCCAGTTCTCCAGCCGCCAATTTCTTATCAGCTCTGGTTATAATAACCTTGTTTCTCATGCTAGGTTTAGTGCTGTTGTGTCTAGCTGGACGCTCGTTCACATCCCCCCTCCCAGCCTCATCTAACTCTAAAAGCAAAAGGTAAAAGATGGCTACATTTCACTTTGTTGTCAATGCAAAAACATCCGATGTTAGCAGCGTTGACATAACACTTGTCTGCAACTCTTGAAAGCAGCTACATCTTCTTCCAGGATCACGGTTTCTCTGTGATCCTGAGGAAAAAAATGAAGTGACTTTCAAAGGCATTTTTCGGGAAATGAATCCAAAGCACTCCACAGCTCAGCTAAATGTTATCATATTTCGAAAGGGCAATATTAATTTTTATGCTACAGAATTAGGTGGATGAGAATGAAAGTCGCCCTTCTCTGTGAGTTGTGTCAGCAAGAGCACTGACCAAGTGTCACTTACTTCAAAGGATATTTCGTACTTTTGTATAGATGTGAATAAATGGGAAAGGCTTATGAAAGCAGAAAACACTCATCGTGCAGGTGGGAAAAAAAACAATAAAAGACCCTCTCTCTAGAAAAGAGTGCAGAAAGATTTTTAAAAGATCCTTTCTAGAAAGGAGTGAAAGACATAGTTGCATTGAGAAAGTTCTCCAACTGAAAAATGAAAAAAGAAATAGTTGAGAAATATCTCTCTTTCTCTCTTAGAATTTTGAGATATATCTGGTGGGCCTTATTTGGTGGGATTGGCTTATCGTGAAATATAAATCAAATAATATTTATTTTTGAAAGCTTTGGGTTCCTTCCAATTCCCTCCCCCACCACCACCACCACCACCATCTCCTCAAATTTATAATGAGGGAATGGTTCCATTTCAACATTATGATTCTTCACTCTTGTCATCACTGTCCAATTTTGCAAACCGACAAAGAAAAAATTGGCAGGAATACAGTAGCCAAGTTTTAATAAGAAAATGTGATTTCAAAATTCTAATAGTTAAGCGTACATCCAGAAACCAATCTGATTCCATTCTATCATCTGTATTATACTATATTCCACTGTATAATCTGAAAATGGATGTGTAATCCAGGGCCCATATTGGGGATCCAGTAAATAGTCATTTAGTGATTTTTTCTTGCCTTCTTTATTTATCAAATAATGATTTTTCATCAATCTGAAAAAACCCAAAACAGGCAATAGACGAAGATGCAGAAGAACCCAATAACATTGTGGACTATGCCATTATGCAGACTGATCCAGCCAATGTGTTTGATATTGATCAAAGCTCTGGAGAAATTAAACTGAAATCTTACATCCGATCCATGGATGTCATCCACAACATCACTAAGAACAAAGATTGCATTTGGTCAGTGATCATCCAAGCGAAGGATCGAGGGTCTCCATCTTTTAGCACCACAGCTGTTCTGAAACTTGACATCAGAGAAGAGGTAAGAGGAGGAAAAATTGATGAGAAAAGTGCACAGGGCAGATGGCTGAAAAACAACAGAGAATTGCAGTGTCTATTAACTGTATTAAATTGTGGTTGGATAACACCTTGGAGTATGATCCAACGGAAACTTTCTGTAGGAGATGACCAGGCTGAGCCTGAGGGAGGGGGTCAAACACATCATCAGTCATGAGTCCCTTCGCATCCACAAGAGATCTAAGTCCAGCCCACCTTGAATTCCTTTTATTCCCGCTCATTTCCCTTGACCGTTAGTAGGTCAGATTTTTATAGAGTGCTTAAGCTTGCAACAGACCTTTATGCTCATTTAAACTGCCTACACCTAATGTTTACCCCTAATTAAAAATTCTACTCATTAGTACTTCTATGATGGCCTTTAAAACCCTAAAACATTGTGAATCCAAAATAACTTAAAAACTGATTTCCTTTAAGCCAGCCCATTGAAAAAGGCAGGGGAAACCAAAACAACTTTCATTGCAATTTGAAAGAAGGCTGAAGACTAAAACTATGATGGTCACTGAGAACTAGAAATTCCCTCTTTTGAAGATCAGCCATCCTCTTCTCTTTCCTCACTAATTCTGGAGTAAAAGTACACACTCCAAACGTGAGGTTTGGAGATTGGTTAAGAATTTACTTTCTATCTGAATCAAACTTCTTTCTATACCCTGATTCAGTTTACTGATTTTTAGAGATGGTTCTCTTTTACTAATTTTTGTTTCCCTTTTCTCCATTTATTCAGTATTACATTTTTCTCATCTTTAATAGTTTTTTTTAATTGAAGAAGCAGCTTATTAATCTTATAAACCAACACATGAATGTGGACAAAATAGGATAATTACAACATAGTCAAGGATTTTGAATGGACGCCAAAAGGACTAAGTAATATACGGGCCTTTATTAAAATGCATTTAAGTTATATATAAGTTTCCATCCTGTATGGAATCAATAGGGCATGCTTTCTCTGTGGTGGGTAAAAAGCTGTCAGTTTTCTTGAAAATTTGTTGACAGGGCAAATGTGAAGGTGCCTTAGAAGATCTTTCTCATAGATCTGCAGTCTGACATCCACAACATCCAAAGCAATGAAGATAAATGACGGAGAACATTTTAAAGACATTTCATAGGAAGGGATCACCTGTCTATCTGATCCTTGGTTTATACAAAATGGCCTTCTCATTCCTCCTAGCAGAAAACATATAAAATTGTCCGTATTTATAACAAGAACGCTCCTGTCTTCCATTCCATGGGCTAGAGGCTATTACTATATATTCCATTTATTACCTACAGTATAGGTTGACACCAGGTTGGTGTGGCGTCAGCAACCGAGAAGCTGACAGCGTTTTCTAAGATAGCAAATCTGATTTAACAAATGAGCAATAAAACAGGCTTTCCCCTTAATCATTAGCTGTTTATAATCCATGGACTGAGCTGATGCATCCGTCACCTTACCTTTTTCTGCTCTTTTGCGATAACATCAAAATCTTTGCTTCCATATTTTTATGGGTTGGGCGAAGTCTCAATGGTGGGAAAGTATGTCATAAACATTTGTTCATTATGCCAGAGGAATTTGGCAGCATTGTTATCAAAAGAGAGGAAGCTAGGGGCCCTTAAACATTATTTGGGGCCTGTCTGGGGCTGGGAACCTTCAATCTTTCTCTCCACCATTGTTGATCAGGCTTTATTTGTTCCCTTGTTTATATCCTCATTTTAATGATGAGACTTTATCTCATTGTCAATGTACTCCCTCATTATGCCCAGAGTTTATGCACTGAATCATCTTACAGGTAAAACTCAACTTAGTATTTGAAGCTTCTTGTTGTTAGTTGCGAAGTCGTGTCTGATCCATCGCGACCCCATGGACAACGTTCCTCCAGGCCTTCCTGTCCTCTACCATCTTCTGGAGTCCATTGAAGTTCACACCTCCTGCTTCAGTGACTCCATCCAGCCACCTCATTCTCTGTCATCCTCTTCTTCTCTTGTCCTCAATCTTTCCCAGCATCAGGCTCTTCTCCAGTGAGTCCTTCCTTCTCATTAGGTGGCCAAAGTACTTGAGTTTCAACTTCAGGATCTGGCCTTCTAAAGAGCAATCAGGTTGATCTCCTCTAGGACTGACTGGTTTGATCGCCTTGCAGTCCAGGGGACTCGCAGGAGTCTTCTCCAGCACCGTAGTTCAAAGGCCTCCATTCTTTGGCACTCAGCCTTTCTTATGGTCCAACTTTCACATTGCAACTGGGGAACCATGGCCTTGACTATACGTACTTTTGTTGGCAGAGTGATGTCTCTGCTTTTTAGTATGCTGTCTAGATTTCCCATAGCTTTCCTCCCCAGGAGCAAGTATCTTTTAATTTCTTGGCTGTAGTCCCCATCTGCAGTGATCTTGGAGCCCAGGAAGATAAAATCTGTCACTACCTCCATTTCTTCCCTATCTATTTGCCAGGACTACAATGGCACTGAAAAAAGTAATTTATGACCATTTTTCACACTTATGACCATTGTAGCATCCCCAGGGTCATGTCATCAAAATTCAGATGCTTGACAACCAACTCATGTATGAGTTCCTTTTTACCATTTTTTCAACCATGGTGAACTCTGCTGTCATGTACTGGAAAAATCTGAAAATATCCAAGCTTCATCCTATGAGTAAAATCCAGGAAAATATTTGGAGAGCACCACAACATTCCCTGTGTTAAATTGCTAAGCAAACTGTTCATTCCTTTGTCTTTAATACGGTACCTTGAAGAGACCACATTGCACATTACTTGACTTGGGTATTTGTCATAGATAAAAAAAAAACTGTCTCTTCAGCTAAAATGGATTATCTCAGTGCTGAGGTGATTTGTTTTATTTTTTTGTCCTTGTCTGTAAAAGGCTACTAGAAAAACAGAACACACTCAATTTCAGCCACTGAAAATTGATTCGGCAGCCTCAAAGATATGGAAAATTCAGCAATATGCTTAGCAAATCCTCTTCACTGTTGTGTCATGGTTCCGACAAATGGAACTCTTCAAAAGAACTTCGAGGCATTGTTTACCTTAAAGAATCTTTTATTCGAGTAGCATAATAGCTGCACTTACATAATCGAAGCCAAAAACTGAAGCGCAGGCTTCCTCTCCAGCTCTCCAGCCCGCCAATTCTTTATCATGTCTGATTTCAACAACCTTGATTCTCATGCTAGGCTCAGTGTTGTTATGTCTAGCTGGACTCCCGTTCACATCCCCCCTCCCCAGCATCATCTGACTCTAAAAGCGAAAGGAAGAAAATGGCTACATCTCCATCTGTTGTCAATGCACAAACATCTGATGTTAGCAGCGTTGACATGTTGCTCTAAAACCATAGTTTTGTTTTCTGGTGATTTAGAAATCAAAAGAGGATAAGTACTTTCTATGTACATGAAATTATCTCAGTCTGAATCTGGTTTGTGGTGGAATTCCACAGAGAGTCCAAGGAAATATAATCTACTGATATTGAACAATTATTGTGGAATAGCATTCTCCTGCCTCTCAAAACTCCAGGTTCTTTGGGCTAATTTGTAAAGTACTATAGGTACTCATGTGGCCACCCTTTTCAACAATTTTCCCGGAATATTTCCATTTGCATTTAACAAAATCTCCCGGCATTGCATAGCAAAGATCAGAGTCCTACATCTGCATCCCGGGTGAATTGCTTTATTATGTAATTGCCACCCTAATGCTGCCATGATTTTCTTTAAGCTTGTGGGAAGTTTTATATCAAAATACATTTTACTCTTTATATGTTTCCATCTTCCCTTAAAACATGAACAGAATCCCCTATGGATGAGAATCAATGTCTCCATTACATAGTTGACAGTCAAACCAAGTTAATCAAGTAAATGGAGGAAATTATTTTACTCAAACTTCCTCAGACCCCCCCCCCCAATAAGTTACCCAGAACTAATCCACATATCAAAATATAAGGTCTTGTAAACACAAATAGAGTTCATTAAATTAGGTCTCCCAGTGGAACTGCATTTTCACAAGAATAAACATCATAGATGACATACCTTCCTGACCTACCCGCCCCTCAGGTGTCACTCTAGAATCACGCCCCCCCCCACACACACACACACTTCCACATTCAGGGCACGTTCCCCTATAAAACAGTGTCTGTGTACCCATTTTCTTTGCCGCTGGCCCTAAATGCAAACTCTTTGCTTTGGGGAATAAATATTTCTCCTTTCCTCACAGCTGTCTGGGTTTCATTCTTATTTTTTCCAGCTCAAATTATTCTTCTGACAGGCTCGATGATCTTTAAATCTGAGTGCCAAAACTCAAAACGGTGTCGATCCATTCTAGTTGTCATGTTTGGGACCAATGAAAGTGTAATCTCTGCCCTGTTCCTTTTGTGCCCTTTCACAGACTCTTCACACAGGCCCAATGGGTGCCTTTCTGATGCAGACTAAAGATAACCCAATGAAAGCCTTAGGAGTCCTTGCTGGCATCATCGGGTTTATGGTGATGATCATCCTTTTGATCTCCACTGTCACGTTCTGGCGGAATAAAAGGTCTCCGAAGATCGTACCGGCCCGACGGATCATCAAAAAAAGGCAGAATTATCAACCTCGGACCATCAAGATGGAGTGGTTGAGTTTCAAGAAGTCCTGCAGCAACGTGGCAGAGAAATTTACCATCAAGGAGGACACCGTCAGCTTGCAAAATGAGAACAGCAATAACAGCTCCCAGATGCCGACTCTGCCACCTCCACCGCCATCAGCGCCAATCCCATTACATGCCCCGGTCTTCAAGATCCAGGAGCCCACCTGGAAACTGTCCACGGTTTCAGGATCTCTCAGCCCTAAGTTGGTAAACAAGCAGTCCAGGAAAAAAGGAGCTCTCTCCGCACAGGACACAGCTCTGGTGTCCGAGCTCAAGCAGAGATTTGAGATAAGGAATTCAGCAATCGGTCAACCTCACATCTAACGCAAAGCAACGTAGGGCGTACAACTCTGTGTGTTATTCCAAGACCAGGGTGTGAGCTGTTATTTTGCATTTTGTACTGTTTTCCCATTGTCCCGGAAGCTCTAAGCCTTTGTGATCTCTTATCAATGTTTCACCTGGATCTGACTGGATTGCATGCCATGCCTTTTCCTCTTTGCTTTGCCATTGTTTCTCCTTTAAGATTGTGATGGTGTCTCACGCAGTTCTGTTACCTTTTTCAATCCAAATTACTCAGCCAAAAAAAAAAATAATAATGGTGTTTAGTTTTTTTGTTGTTGTTGTTGCACCCAGAAATATGGGCAGATTCTGGTCAATCTTGTTTAGGGTTTTCCAGTGATGTAAAAAAAAAAAAAATCAGTTTGAAAGATGCATAAAAACCAATTTCATGTTAGGAATTTCCCTGCGTGTCCCCAAAACTTAACAAGATGTAAAAGCTTCAGCGGACTCCTTGCGTGTTAGATGGCTTCTTCTGAAATTTGATGGGTCCTGAGTCCACTCGACAGATTGGCCTGCCCCAACCAGACTGGGCCTTGATTTGACCCTATCCATAATTAGGTGCATGTCAAGAAATATACAAACATACATCATACATATATTTGCTCTGTTCACACAATTCTCAGAGACTGCTGGAAAAGACCCTGAAGTTTTCTTAACAAGATTTTTCAGAAGTGATTCACCATTGCCTGCTTCCTAGGGCTGAGAGAAAGTGACTGGCCCAAGGTCACCCATGTGGCTTCGTGTCTTAAGACCGAACTTCAACTCTTTCTCTCTCTCTCTTTCTCTCTCTCTCTCTCTCTCTCTCTCTCTCTCTCTCTCTCTCTCTCTCTCTCTCTCTCTCTCTTTTTCTTTCTCCCTCTCTCTCTCCCTCCCCCCTCGCTTTCTTTCTTTCTCTTTCTTTCTCTTTCTCTCTCTTTCTTTCTTTCTTTCTTTCTCTTTCTCTCTCTCCCTCCCTCTCTCTTTCTCTCTCTTTCTCTCCCTCTCTGTCTCTCTCTCCCTCTATCTCTTTCTCTCTCCCTCTCTCTCTTTCTCTCTCTCTCTCTCTCTCTTTCTCCCTCTCTTTTTCTCTCTCTCTCCACCCTTACTCCATGGAAAGGAGAAAGACAGGGACTTGTTATTCATGGGTAGAAGTAGTATACTCTGTACATTCTCAGAGATCTCCTCAGTTTTGCTACCACCACAAATTGGCCAATTTTCAGCACAGGCTCTGACCTGCAGAGTCCTTAGCCACGTGTTCATAAACAACGCTATTTATTGTTTATTAAATTTATATGCCCATCTCCCTGATAAGGTGACACTGGGCAACTTACAGATTATTGCCAAAGAAAATTCGGTTTTGGCTGATGTACTCCAAGCATTTCAGTACAGACTCGCTTCTATACATAGTGTTGCTCCAAGCAAGTGATATAAAGTGTTTTCAAAACCAAATTCTCTGCTTTTATTTTTATTTTTTAAATTGTTCTTTCCGGCTATATATCAGCAAATGGTATCCACAAGGGAGATTATAGCCCAAACCACTGAACTTCAGCAGTCGTTCCATTTTTCTTTTCTTTTTTTTTTAACTTCCTAGCCACAAAAACAGTTTTTTTTATAAAAATCCTAATTGGGGAAGTGATTCAATTTATTTCGTTAATTGGGCCTGGAAGATACAAATTTAAACTAAGCAACAAAAATGATCAGGGGACTGGAGGCTAAAACATATAAGGAGCGGTTGCTGGAACTGGGTATGTCTAGTTTAATGAAGAGAAGGACGAGGGGGGACATGATAGCAGTGTTCCAGTATCTCAGGGGCTGCCCCAAAGAAGAGGGAGTCAAGCTATTCTCCAAAGCACCTGAAGGCAGGACAAGAAGCAACAGATGGAAACTCATCAAGGAGAGAAGCAACCTTGAACTAAGGAGAAAATTCCTGACAGTGAGAACAATTAACCAGGGGAACAACCTGCCTCCAGAAGCGGTGAATGCTCCAAAGCTGGAAGTCTTTAAGAAGAAAGTGGACAGCCATTTGTCTGAAATGGTATAGGGTTTCCTGCCTGAGCAGGGGGTTGGACTAGATGACCTCCAAGGTCCCTTCCAACTTCTTATTATTATTATTATTATTATTATTATTATTATTATTATTATTATTATTATTATTATGGATCATCGCACAGTCAGCCAGATGTTCAGACTGGATTTGGCATTTTGTCTACCTATCGAGTCCTTACCCAGGACCTGGGATAGGCAGATGTGGATGTTTGATGGTATTACAGATATCGTCGCAGGATGGAAGCAGTTCCTAATAAGGCCGCCTTTTGCAATTGACTAATAGCGAATTTGTCAATGCCAATGGTGTTCAAGTGGTGCTCCAGTTGTTTTGGGATTGCACCCAAGGAGCCTATGACTATTGGTACTACCCTTGCTTGCTTTTGCCACAGTCTTTCTATTTCTATTTGTAGGTCTTTGTATTTTGTTATCTTCTCCAGTTCTTTCTCTTCTATTCTGCTATCTCCAGGCACTGCCACGTCCACTATCCAGACTTTTTTGTCTTTCTTATCGACAATTGTTAAGTCTGGGGTGTTATGTTGCAGGTGCTTGTCTGTTTGAATTCTGAAGTCCCAGAGCAGTTTAATTTTATCATTTTCTATGACTTTCTCTATTTTATGATCCCACCAGTTTTTGCTTACAGGCAAATGATATTTTTTGCAGATCTTCCAATGCACCATTGTTGCTACTTTGTCATGCCGCTGCTTGTAATCAGTCTGTGCAATCTTCTTGCAACAGCTTACCAAGTGGTCCACTGTTTCTTCAGCTTCTTTGCATAGGCGGCACTTACTGTCTGTTGCTGTCTTCTCAATTTTGACTTTGTATGCATTTGTCCTTAAGGCTTGGTCTTGTGCAGCCAGAATTAGTCCCTCGGTCTCTTTCTTCAATTTTCCTGCTCTTAGCCATTGCCAGGTTTTATTATTATCTGCTTTCCCAGCTATTTTTTTCATGTATTGGCCATGTAGTGCTTTGTCTTCCCATGCCTCTATTCTGTCCTTCATTTGGTCTTTCTTGTAGGCCAGTTTGGTCTCTCCAGTAGTTAGTAAGCCTTCCTGATATACTAATTTCAGTGCATCTTCATCATTATTATTATTATTATTATTATTATTATTATTATTATTATTATTTTACAGAAAGGGCTCAAAAATTTCTCTAACTACAAATGGGCAGTTCTGTAGGGAAAGCATGGGTAGAAATAGTTGAGTTAAAGTGGAGCCTTACATTACAGAAGAGCATAGTTGGAAGAAACCATGGAAGTCTTTTTTTATGTAAATATTTTATTAATTTTCTAATTTTAAAATCGTAAGTACTTAATAAGCAACATGTTGTCTGGGTCTATTAGTAATTCAGTGGTACATATTAACTTTCTCAGTCTAGTGTCCAATACTACACCATCCAGTGCTTTCTTGATTCTGTCTTCTTCCTGTGCTATGCATTTTTTCCACACTGGGCAAATACAATTCTTGTTACTGTTAATACATATACAATTAAATACAGACATCTTCATCACATTTTTCTGGCATTCTACGTAATATCGATAGTATCCATTTATAATATCTTTTCTAGCCAAAATATATCTCAATTGCATTTGCACTTAACATCACAATTTCTATGTGTTGTTCTTTTCAACGTAAGTGGGTGAAAAGTTTCAGATTTAATTCAAGATGGCATTTGATACAGAGGCAGCAAATCTGCCTGGAGATCAGGTATATATATATATATAGAAATGTACAAAAGAATTGTGTACAAAGATATTTTGGGGAGAGACCCAGAAGACTGCACAGAAATTGCTTCTATAGTCTCAAACTCAAAAAAAAAAAAGCATCCTATTTTTAGACATGCTTCTGACATCTGCTCTCTTGCTGTTTGGATGTAAGGGTTAGAGATGTACTCTTCTGTTGCAAATTTCTTCTAGGTTGGGCCAAAAAGCTGGTTTTCTGTGTAGAAAGATTTATGCCCCCTAACAATGGCTTAATGTAGACATAAAGCAAAGGATCTGTTTCCTCCAATTATTTATTTTTTACTTATGCATGGAGCAAAATGATTATGAATTGGGTGGCCAAACCTTTGCAGAACTTTCCACTATCCAAACTTTTTGTTTTTCTTATAAACAGTTGTTAAATCTGGAATGTTATGTCTCCCCCTCCTCTCCTTCTCCTCCTCCTCCTCCTCCTCCTCCTCTTTCTTCTCCTTCTCTTTCTCCTTCTCCTTTTTTCCCTTCTCCTTCTCCTCCTCCTCCTCCTCCTTCTGTTCCTCCATCTCCTTTTCCTGCTGCTTCATGATTGAGGAGGCATACAAGTTAAATTGATCAATCAGTCAATCAGTCTTACTATCTATCTACTGATTCATCTGGATGGAATGCTTCTGTTCCTCCTCCTAGTGGGGGCACGGACGGATACATAGCTAATAGAGATCAGCACTGCTCTGACCCTCAGCTGTCTGCTTCTTTGCTTTCTCCTTCTCCTTGTTTTCCTTCCTCTCCATCTGGTCATCGCTGGAGTCTCGGCGGCACAGTCCCTCTTCACTGCCTCCTGGCAAACTATCAAATTTGCTTTTCGTATGAGCGCTTTGGATGTCCGTGCCCCATTTCTTGGTACAGCAGCTGGCCCATTTGTCTTTGCAGTTGCAGCTGGCCTCCGAGGTGCACAGGTACATCCCGGCAGGGACCGCCAATACCATGCCACATATAACCACGATGATATGGATCATCTGCTCCCTCTGCTCCAGTTCACTGACGTCACTTCCTGTCACAAACACAATGCACTGGCTCTTTGGGGGCACCTGCTTCCTCAGACTTACGCACACTTCGTACTTGGTAGCTGGGAGCAAATCATTAATGGCGTACGTGTTGATCCCGGGCCCAATATAAACGGTGTCTTTCTTAGCATCTTCATATTTGCCAAAATGGAGGGTATGCCATGTTTCTTTTGGATTTTCAGTCAAGGTGTGCCATTGCAGAGTAACCCCGTAGATTGTCTGCTTGGCAATCTGCACATCAATGTAGGCCGCCTCATCTACGATGGAGGAAGAATAAGAGGACGTCGCCAGTTCAGGAGCCAAAATATCCAGCACTGTGGTAGCTGAGGCATTGCCAAGGAAGTTGGCAGCCGTACATGTATAATTCCCCTCATCCATAAGATGGGCCGAAGGAATCACCAGTTCTGATTTGAAAGACTCTTCGCTCAGGGGAGTATTAGAAACTAGAGAAAGAAAGACAGAAAGAAAACAGGAACAAGCAACTTAATTTTTACGTTCAACTATAACAACCCTACGGAATGCATGACACCCAACTTCAAAATAGACCGGGGCAAATGGACCCAGAAAACACATTATTTACTAAGCACATATGATTTGTAATAATAGAAAAAAATTTAAAAATGTGTTTTTTAAAAAAAAAATGGTTTGGGCTTGGAAAAAGCATCATCTTGGAGGTATTTGAGAGGTCCTTGGTGCTCTCTGAGCTTGGCTCTTTACTTGCAGATGTTTCATTACCCAAACTAGGTAGCATCATCAGTCTTAAATGAAGATGTTTATTTTCCAGGTACAGTAGTGGCCAAAATTGTGGAAACTTTTTGGGAAAAGTATACAGTAGAAATGTCACCTTTGGTTAAGTTTCCACCCATTTTTCTTCTAATTTCTTTATAACTGTAGCCTCGTTCACTTGATAATACTATTTTACATCGCTTTTGGGTGACCAGTCAACTCTTTGCGCCATTACTTTAATTTTATTATGTTTTACAAGCTCACTCAATGAAAGAACACAAAAAACCCCAACCAACTTGATAGCCATCACATAACACCCTGACAAATGTCCTCCTCTCGGCTCCAATACATGACATCAATCACTGAATCCTACTGTGATCTGATTGGCTCATGGCCAAAACAAGATGACACCTGATTGGCTCTTTAACCTGCTCATTGGCTACAATCAGAAGAAAGAAAGCTATCTGATATCAACCTAAGCAAGTTGTGCTTCCTTTTTCTGGTTATTTGGCTATAACATTTCATAGAATACAGTACAGATAATTGAACAAATTTTGTTGCATTACATTCTTGATTAAATTATCTTTCCATTGATATATAATTTTATGGTATTACTCCAACAAAAAAGTGGTGTTATTAGACATCAAACCTCAAAAATACACTTTTCCCAAAAGATTTCCACAATTTTGGCACTACTGTATGTTAGATGTTTTTTACTATTGTAAAAAAAAAAATCCATTTTTGAAAGTCACATTGCTTGATAGAGAGAGGGCTGGCATACAAATGTAATAAATAAATAAATGAACAATAAACAAAGGAAAGAAAAAAAAACCTCAAACATAGCCTTTTCAGAGATTGGTGCGCCTTGCTGGAGATCTTTTTGTGAAAAAGGAGGATTTCTTGATTTGTTCGGTTCTAACATCTCTACGCTACTCTTTTCCAACCAAATCTGACTGGTGTACTTCGTCGACAAGGATTAAAAAGAACAGAAAAAGCTACATCAGTTATAACAGAATTACACTCTGAGGGAGATGGGCAGTTTCTAAATAGTATATATAAATGTTAAAAAACGATGCTACCGTTCAGAAGCAGACACCCCCAAAAGCTCTCTTCCAGAATCAGATTTTCACATCTCTGCAGAAATACATGACGATCATCTATATGTCTATGAGGGGGAACCATCACTTGGCTACAAACGCCATACAGCTAGGACTCTCTTGAAAAATTGGTTCCCAGGTAGGCCATCTCTTCCAAGCTTTATTGGATGGACAGATTCTTTTCTAAGCTAACAGTCTTGAAAACAACCAGACCTTGATAGGAGATGGTTGTTCCCAAATTTAGTTGACCATACAAGTTCTATTCAATGTCAAAGCTGCTGATATTTCTACGTACAGTAATTAAACATGTCCCTTATTGGGTTTTTTTTGCCAACTAAATTTTTCTTCTTGCTCACCAATGAGGTTTGTGTGCCAATCTATTATATCTGCTTATTTCAGCAGTCCCCCATTTTTTTAAAAAAAATCCAAATGGGTTACAGTTAATGGTTTGGGTTATTGACTGATGGTTCACAGTTGGGTGTGTGAATGTATGTATCTACATCATAATCATCCACACCCGTAACTGGGCATGGTGGCTTAGTGGCTTAATGACTCTGGAGATGGTCTCAGCTCCAGCAGTTTGAGTCCAGGCAACTGCATGTCAGGTTGAGTTCCTGTCCCTTAACTCAGCTGCTGAACATGAAAGCATGTTCTGTGAGAGTAGGTAGATAGGTACCACTTTGTTGGGGAGGCGAGCTGGTGTTCTGTGCAGGCAGGCAGATTGCCGATGACTCTGAACTTTCCTGGTTGCATGTCCATGGAGATCCTCAGTCATCCAGGTCATGGTTGTCCCAAAGATGCTGTTTCAGGAGGTAACTGGACTTTCTCGTTTTTCTTTGGAGACATTTCACATCTCATCCAAGAAACTTCCAAGAACAACAAGAAAGTCAAGTTGCCTCGCGAAAAAGAATCTTTGGGTTTCCTAGTTGCAGTGCCCGCTTGCAAGGCTTTGGGTGACACTGCAGGAAGAACAGTTCATCTTTCTGTCTGATCTGAAGCCAGCTTACCCTCCTGTGGCTCACCTGACATGTAGACATGTCCTATAACAGGGCTGGTAGCTTGGCAAGCCAAACTACTGCTCTCTAATATCATCGGGGTCTCCTGGCTACTGTAACAGTGCTGTGAACTAATAATCAACATCATAAGGTTAATATCCAATCAAGATCACATAAAGTATTAATACCACTTTACAATGCCTTGGTAAGGCCACACTTGGAATACTGCATCCAGTTTTGGTCACCACGATGTAAAAAAGATGTTGAGACCCTAGAAAGAATACAGAGAAAAGCAACAAAGATGATCAGGGGACTGGAGGCTAAAACATATAAGGAATGGTGGCTGGAATTGGGTATGTCTAGTTTAATGAAGAGAAGGATGAGGGGGAAATGATAGCAGTCTTCCAGTATCTCAGGGGCTGCCCCAAAGAAGAGGGAGTCAAGCTATTCTCCAAAGCGCCTGAAGGCAGGACAAGAAGCAACGGATGGAAACTAATCAAAGAGAGAAGCAACCTAGAACTAAGGAGAAACTTCCTGAGAGTGAGAACAATTAACCAGTGGAACAACCTGCCTCCAGAAGCAGTGAATGCTCCAACACTGGAAGTTTTTAAGAAGAGACTGGACAGCCATTTGTCCGAAATGGTATATAGGGTTTCCTGCCTGAGCAGGGGGGTTGTTCTAGATGACCTCCAAAGTCCCTTCCAACATTATATTATTATTAGTATTATTATTATTGATCATCGCACAGTCAACCAGATGTTCAGACTGGATTTGGCATTTTGTCTACCTATCGAGTCATTATTATTATTATTATTATTATTATTATTATTATTATTATGGATCATCGCATAGTCAGCCAGATGTTCAGACTGGATTTGGTATTTTGTCTACCTATCGAGTCATTATTATTATTATTATTATTATTATTATTATTATTATTAACTATGCCCATGTTGGGTGGACATGAGGTTTTAACACTAGTGGTGGTCAAACAAGGAACAAACCCCTCAAATTTCCTCACACGGTGCCCTGACCCAGTCACTAACAGGCAATATCTGAACGAGTGGCTTGATTCTAATTTGACCCTCAAATACGTAAAGATGAATAATGTAATATTGCCTAATACATCCGTATCTGCCTTTCAGCTTTCGATTACGTTAAACAGGACAGATATGTTTTGAAAAGACACGAGTCCTCATGAAGGATGCTGAAGAAAGGAGAACTGGATTTAAGTGTTACTCAGCTAGGTCAAATTAATTTCAGTTGGAGGTAATCATGATTTTCTTTGCTCAGTGACAGCAGCTCAATGCTGTTAAGAATGCTTCGTTGCTGTGATACGTATTCTGTACTGGATGGCGGCTGATGTACAGGTCAGACTTCAAAATAAATAAAATAAAGTAAGAAAACAGATAATATACTGCATATCGACTGTCTACCACAGTGATCAATGGTTCATCAACATTGAAAAAATCCAATTCAATCCAATCAGGGGTCCTCTTAATTTGTCTTTTTTATCCCCAACAACATTTACAAAAATACAAGTTGTCAAACTAAACTTACTGATTTAGAAAGTAACCTGATAAAAGAAGAAGATTAGAGTTGGAGTTAAGAGATGCGATTCAACTTATCAGATGGAATATTATATGATTAAACGCTTGTTTGAATACGGTTGATATATATATATATGTTTTCTGAGGTTTTCGTGGGTGTTTGTATGTAGGTCTTTGGTTATTCGGGTTTTCTCCCACGTAAAATTGGAAGTGTCTTGGCGACGTTTCAACAAAGTCTCATTCATCATCTTCAGGCTGGTGTTTTCGGCTTCGTGCTTCTAGGAGCAATGTGTGATTGTAGCTGTTTCCTCCTTTTAACTGCCAGTGGGGGTATGAACTGATTGGATGAGAGCTTGGCTGTGTTCTGATTGGATGGGGGTGTATTCTGATTGGTTAGGAGCTTTGCTGTGCTCTGATTGGCTGGGGGGTTGGCTGTGCTCTGATTGGCTGGGGGGTTGGCTGTGCTCTGATTGGCTGGGGAGTGTTCTGTTTGGGTGGGGGTCTTTGTTCGCCAAAACACTTCCAATTTTACATGGGAGAAAACCCGAATAACCAAAGACCTACATATATATATATATATATATATATATATATATATATATATATATATATATTATATTCTCTGAGGTTTTTCGCAGGTATTTTTGTGTAGTTCTTTTGTTATTCGGGAGCACGAAGCCAAAAGCACCAGCCTGAAGATGACGAATGAGACTTCGTCGAAACGTCGCCAAGACACTTCCAATTTTACGTGGGAGAAAACCCGAATAACCAAAGACATACATATATATATATATATATATATATATATATATATATATATATATATATATATATATATATATATATATAAAGTTTGGTAATAAAGAGGCCCTATAGTAAGATTATTAGATGGTGTACTATATGATTAAATATTTGTTTGAATATGGTCAAAAGAACAGACAAAGCTTGGACCTAAAGAGGCCCTATAGTAAGAGGGATAAGATATATAAGTAGTATAATACTTTTATAATATATGAAATGTAAAAATATTGAGACGGTGTATTTGAATGAAAAGTTTGGATATTCTAAGGTAATGAATTTTGAGAAAATTATGACTGATAATGGTTTGAATACTGAGGGGAAATTAAGCTTCAATAAGAATCTTGAAAACAGGACATATAACGACTTAATAAGATGACCTTTATAAATACAATTGAAACTGATTAGAAGCTGATTAATATATATATATATTATATGTTGATGTTATTATTATATGTACAAATATTAAAAAATGTTTCTACTCAGCTTGGCATGTATGGAAAGTATTAAGAATTATATTTGTTTAATCTAGACAAAAGATTAAATCTAGACAAAAGATAAAAGATTCCTGTAAGAAGAGAGGATCAAGGAAATACATTATTAACCAACATATTGATTCATTTTAGAAATTCATTATTATTGATTGTTTTTAAATATACGAACCCAGACAACACACTGCTCACGAAACACTAAAGATTGTTGTTGTAAAAATTAATAAAATATATCACACAAAAAGAGGAAAAGGCAATGTGCCAGTTTAAGAACTCCTTCATGGATTACTGCCTTGTTGTGGCGAAGATGCTTGTGTAACGCAGTGAAGCTATGAACTATGCCGTGCAGGGCCACCCAAGATGGACAGGTCATAGCAGAGAGTTCTGACAAAATGTGATCCACTGGAGAAGGAAGTGGCAACCCACTCCAGTATCTTTGCCATGAAAACCCCATGGACAGTATCAAAAGGCAAACAGATCCTAAAGTGGAAACTCAAGTACTTTGGCCACCTAATGAGAAGGAAGGACTCACCGGAGAAGAGCCTAATGCTGGGAAAGATGGAGGGCAAGAGAAGAAGGGGACGACAGAGGATGAGGTGGCTGGATGGAGTCACTGAAGCAGTAGGCGTGAGCTTTAATGGACTCCAGAAGATGGCAGAGGACAGGAAGGCCTGGAGGAACGTTGTCCATGGGGTTGTGATGGGTCGTACACGACTTTGCAACTAACAACAACAAAGTTTAAGAAAAATTGGAAAGGCAGGGTATGTTATGAGACCCAGTGTTTAAGGATCTACAACTGCTGGGACCATGAAAAGGGGCCTTCTTGGGGATGGCTCCTCTATGAAACATAATTCATCCCAAAGAACAAATGAATCCTCATATTCCTACTTTTTCAAAAGACCCTTTAAAACCTGATTCAGTCAGCAGGGCTGGGCCTCATAAATGAACATGGAGCTAATCAAATGGTTGAGTTGATTGTATAGTTACTGCCATTGGAGGATGGGGTAGGGTTATGGTTTTTTTTATGTGCTGGATTTTTAAATGCTGTAAGCTGCTTGCAGTCACCTATATGTCAGTTGGGCATCTATATAAATTTGTTTAATAAATAATAAACAAATAAAAACAAAAAGATCCTGATAAAAAAATATCTGATACCTCTCCCCTAATTCTGAGAGCAGATTTAAGGTGACTTTTACTTGTATGAAAATGGATTGAGTCTTCGGTAAGCTTTGTGTTGAAGCACTGACAACTCAGTATACCGATGAAGTAGAATAATTGATCTTCTCCCATTAATGAGATAAACAAACCAGCGTAATCGATATAGAGACCAATCACTGATCAGAAGAACTTCCAAGAAGAGGGAGGAAAAAAAATAACTTGCCAAATATTTACCATTGTTATAAAAGAAGAATATTTTACGTTAAATGTTTTAGCTTGGGATCACACTCACCATTAAACCCCCGCAAATGTTTTAATGGATAGTTCCACCAAATTTTTGGAAAAGGATTAGCTTTTACCAAACAAGTCAACGTTGAATTTCTTCCAAGAAATACAGTAATGTTTGGTTTGGAAGATGTCACAGAAGGTCTCCTGCAGCTGTTCAGCTCCACTTCATGGAAGTATTTGCCTGCTTTAGATTTAGGACTTGAGCATGTTAAATAGGAATTTATGAGAACCATGGGCGGGCCTATAGAATTGATGAACTGGACAAACCCTCGCAGACGGCAGTCACAAATCCACGGGTTATCATGCAAAGACAAGACGGTACTAGAAACGGTTTGTGCTTTCTTCTCCAGCCGCTGGAGTTTTTGGTAGACAGGCCAATTATAGAACACTTCTTTGGAGATGACAGTAAGCTCATTGCAAGATAAGTCTAAGTAGGTCAGCCTCGAAAGGTAGCGTAAAGCATGCTCTGGTAGGACATCAATCTCGTTGCACTTAAGATCAAGAATTTCTAGAACTGGTGTCTCTCGGAATGCTGTCCATGGTACTGAACGCAACCGGTTCCCTTGAATTCTCAGCTCCTTCAGCTCATTCAGGTGCTCAAGACTTCTTAGATCCATCACTGTGATGTTATTAAAATTAAGCCAGAGATATTCCAAGGTGCTAACGTTAGCGAAGGTGCCACGAAACAATTCGGTTAGCAGAGAATTTTCGATTCTGATTTTTTTGATATCTTGAGGGATCTCATCTGGGATCTTCCTCAAAAACGTCGAGACGCAAAACAAACTCCTAAAAATTCAATCAGAAAATGGAACACGGTTGGGGTGGGTAGCTTGCATTCATTTTTAATTCCCTCTGTGTTGTGTCATACGACACAGGGGCTTCCCCCTTCCCTCCCTCACTCAGGAGCCCTAACAGTGATAATGGTTATTCTTCGTTTCCAAGTTATAAAACACAAATCATTATTTGTATAATATCCCATATCTCAATATTACAGGAATAAATTACATAAATATAGTTCAAGCATATAATAATATACATATATAATATAGGGACTCCTGTTTGAGCAGGGGGCTGGACTTGAAGACCTCCAAGGTCCCTTCCAGCTCTACTCTGATTATTATTATTACATCTGGGTTGAATCTAGCTGTTGGCAAGCAAACATTTCCGCTGAAAACCAAGGAATGCTGTACGCTGATCTATCAGATCCAAGTTTATTCAATTTCCTGTCTTCTATATTGAAATCTGGATAAGCCATCAGCCTCGATATTTATTAATATATTCATTTCATGATAAGCCTTGGCTGAGTTTTCCCATAGGAAGCTATTCAATATTATGCTGTTGTCAAATATTCTTACCTTCCAAACGTATCATTGAAACAGGAGCAGCCGGTGACACAATCCGAAGTTGCTAGATGTATCCCAGAGAAGTAAAAAAGCAAAATAAGGGGAAACATGTGACTGGTGAGTTCCATCTTCTTCCTCAGTAAATAAATATGGTTTGCTTTTGCAACAGAGAGAAAGAGCTTCCCAAATCCTATTAGGTCTAATCTTTCTAAGCAGTAGGGCAAAACTAACCTGTTAAGGTTAGGTAATTTACTGCAATGCTAAAAGGAGAATATATTCTATTCAAAAAGAAATTGAAATGAGTCGCTAGCCAAGACATTCGTGGCAGTTAAGACAGAACAGGATAACAGAGTTGAAAGGAATCTTAGAGGTCTTCTAGTCCAACCACTTGCTCAAGCAGGAGACCCTAGACTGATAAATCTCAATTAATCAGAGAGTTCTCTGTGCAGCCATGCTGGTTTCTTTTGAAGTCTCTTGTTTTTCTTCTTTTCTTCTTGTGCTAGACTGGGCTTTTATAATATCACTTTTCAAAGTTTACCAAACTTCTTGGGTTATTTTCCCCTTGAGGATTTTCATCCATGGAATCTTTCCCAAGCTCTAGATTTATTGAAATCAGTTCTCTTAAAGCCCATAGTTTGATTTTTTTTCCCCTATTCCTTGTGCTTTGCATAGTGTTGAATTGTAATATTGGATGATCATTCTCACACACATCCTCAAAAGGTTCCTATAATTTGAATGCCTCTTATTATTTCATCTCTGTTAATGAGAATTAAGTCCTCTCTAGTTCCTTTCTCTACCTTTAGGGAGACAAATTTGTCTGCTAGGTTTGTCATAAATCTATTTGATGTTCCACTACTATAGGTGCAGTTTGACTCCCAGTTGATGTTGGGGTACTTAAATTCCCCTTTACTGTTTTGATGTGCTTCTTAAATACTTTAGTTAACTGGTTCAAAAAGTTCATTTATTTCTTCTGTTTGGTTGAGTGGCCTGTGGTATGCTATTTCCCTGAAAATAAGGCCCAACTGGAAAATAAACCCTAGCATGATTTTTAAGGATGCTCGTACCCCCAAAATAAGCCCCAGTTAAGATCGTCAGCCAGACGGACACATTTAGTACCGTGCTTCCCCAAATATAAGACCTGACACAAATTAATATAAAACCCAGACTTGTTTGTTGACTGTACACTGCCCATAATCGCAGTTGCCCAAGATGGGCAGCAGTATAGGGTACAATAAATCTGATTGCTCGTTATCCTCCTGACACATAGTTCATCATGCAAAAAACAGTCTCTCTCTGCAATTTGGTCTAATTGACAAAGAATCATTGCTGAGACTAGGCAGGGTATTTTATTGTGTGTGAAAAATCTCTTCCAAATCTGTCTGCTGTCTCATTAAGCAAAATACCTTCTGTATATATTTCATCAGCTCATACATCTATTAAACCCTTAATGCGGCAGTTCATTGAGAATATTGATGTCGTCTATGGAGATTCTCAATCATCCAGCTCACGGCTGTCCAAAGGTGCTTTTTATTTTCCCAAAAGCAACTGGATCCTCTTGATTTTTTTCCCTTTGAAAATGCTTCACTTCTCATCCAAGAAGCTTCTCCTGTTCTAACATTAGTTCTAAGTTTAGTTAGAATGGAAGTTAGAACTGGAGAAGCTTCTTGGATGAAATGTTTTCAAAAGGAAAAACAGAGAAAGTTCAGTTGATTTTTTGGAACAAAAAACACCTTTAGGATGTTGCTGATAGCAATAGCATTTAGACTTATAGACTGCTTCACAGTGCTTTACCTCTGTAAGTGGTTTACAGAGTCAACATATTTCCCAGAACAATCTGGGTCCTCATTTTACCCACCTCAGAAGGATGGAAGGGTGAATCAAGCTTGAGCTTGTCAGGATCAAACCGCTGACAGTTGGCAGAGTTAGCCTGTAGTACTGCATTCTAACCACTGGTCTTCCATAGCTGATAGATAGATAGATAGATAGATAGATAGATAGATAGATAGATAGATAGATAGATAGATAGATAGATAGATATGGATGGATGATAGATAGATAGATAGATAGATAGATAGATAGATAGATAGATAGATAGATAGATAGATAGATAGATAGATAGATATAGATGGATGAGATAGAGATAGATAGATAGATAGATAGATAGATAGATAGATAGATAGATAGATAGATAAATAGATAGAGATGGATGGATGGATGGATGGATGGATTGAGGTAGGTAGGTAGGTAGGTAGGTAGGTAGGTAGATAGATAGATAGATAGATAGATAGATAGATAGATAGATAGATAGATAGATAGATAGATAGATAGATAGATAGATATAGATGGATGGATAGATATAGATAGATAGATAGATAGATAGATAGATAGATAGATAGATAGATAACAATAGCACTTAGACTTATATACTGCTTCACAATGCTTTATAACCCTCTCTAAGGGGTTTGCAAAGTCAGCCTATTGCCCCCCACAATTTGAGGATTTCATTTTACCAACCTCAGAAGGATGGAAGGCTGAGTCAACCTTCAGCTGGTCAGAATTGAACTACTGGCAGTGGGTAGAATTAGCCTGCAATAGTGCATTGTAACCACTGTGCCACCACGGCAATAGAAGAAATAGAAATAATAGAAATAATAGAAATAGAAATTGCCTTGCTTGTTAGCATAAGATATCAAATGTGTTATGAAATTTTGAATATGTCAATGCAGGGCTAGCTGGCACATCTCAAAAGGAAAAACCCTTAATTATCTAATGACATCTAGAGACAGCAGCTATTATGAGCACCATATTTGAAATTCTTTTTTATAATATGTAAGCTGTGGGGGGGTTTGAAAGTAAGTATTTACAAAAAAAACCATTTCATTGCGGCAGAAAATATGAGCAATAACAAAAATGTTATTAAAATAATCCAAAGCCCAAAATATATATTATACCAGTGGTAAAACTGCGTCTCTCGGAAAAGAAATTGAAAACAAGCCTGAACTTCTTAACCCGCAAAAAAAAAATATTGATATAAAGTAGGATACTTCAGGGGGGAAAATCTCCATGGTTTTGCTGCCCTCTACTGTCTTTTAGTTAATCTTCTCGGAAAAAGCAACATTGATAAAGGGAAAAGATTAACCAACCTTGTTCCAAACTCAATGGGAATCAGAGCTGTTGTCTAAACCTGCTTTACTACCACCCTACGGGACAAGAAAGTTAGTTAGTTAGTTAGTTAGTGTCATGCCTCCGTGGGAGCCTGAATCTGCGGAGGAAAATGAACTGGAACAATGGGGGACCCTATAATATAATATCAATCCTTAAACTGTGAGGCCCCATAGTCAATGAATACTAAAATGCAAAAACAAAAAAAAAAATAACGCAAAAGGATTTGCTACATTAGTTGTGTAAAATTGCTGTGGTGGATTAAGCACACGTTTCCGACGAATCCCCAGTGCTGCTGTGCAGAATCTAGCCACCTTCACTGTAATCACAGTCTGTTCGTCCTTAAGTAGCCAATGGAGATAAACAATGTCGGAACAGCCAGGATACCTATCAATTGCTGGGAGGATATGTGGTTTTTTTTCGAATATCTCTATCGAAAGAGCATCAAAGGTGTATGTGTCCATGGTCTCCACCTCCAATGGGTACCTCCACAGCAATCTTTTTATGAGAGAATCTCTGATGCTTACCCAGAACTTCAAATGTATCTGTTGTGTTTCCTCGCCAGCCCATGGATCCGGCAGCTGAGTCTAAGGACTCAGAGGAGGAGGAGGGGCCTGGAGTGACATCAGAGTCAGAGGAAGGCTCTGAGGAGCTCCAAGACTTATAGTCTGACAAGGACCCTGGCCCCTCTACTCGTGCTCAGGCTGAGACACAGCTGTGCTGGGAGTCTGAGTTGGACAGTGATGAAGAACAGCTGGGACAAATCCAGGATGCTTATAAATGCCAGCAGAAAAAGAGAGCATGACAAAGGAATGCAGTGGGGCAGCTCCAAAGGCAAAGGAGCAGGTGTTAGGAAGCCACGCCTTGGCTGCATAATAAAAGGGAAGGTGTGGGAGGTGCTGGTTGCTGAAGGCAACCGTTCGCGTGAACTGTGTTTGATTCAGGTCTGTGAATTAAAAAAGGGAGCTGGATTTTTCCTGCTGTTTCTGCCTGCTTGATTGGAAGAGGGGTTTCTCCTTGTGAGCATAGCAAGGACTCACGTGGGCTTGGACAGAACAGTATCCACCAGCCAAGGTCCTGTACATTAGAACTGTCTACCATAAATTCTCTACCTATTCATAACAAAGTGCTGACATTCATAAGAAATTCAGTCATGCCATGAGCAAAATCTTAAAGGGGTATCACTGTTTCATAAAAGGTCAGCTAGAATTCCAATTTCGTAAGCCGTTTTTATTACAAGGTATATGCGCCAGATTCAGTGAAACTCCATGTTCTATTTAATTTCTTTTTCTAAAAAAAATGTTCTTATATTATTCCATCACTCGTCAATTAGTAAAGGAAAACCACATGCATAAATAGAGCTAATCAAATAGTAGTGCATCAAAATGATACAATAGCGTTCCAAGCCTTCTGTCCACACTGCTAACATTGGATGTGCTTGCTTTGACAACATATGGAGATGCAGCCTTTTTCTTTCTTATGCTTTACTCTTAGAATTAGATGATAGTGAGGGAGGAGGAGGAATGTGATGGGAGTTAGTTAGACAACAATATTGTAATAGTGCGTGAACTCAGGATTCTTGAAATAAGAGCTGATAAGAAATGGCAGGTTGGAGTATAGGAGGGAAAGCCTGCATTTCGAACTAATTGGAGAATGTGATTTATGACTGTTAATTAGAGGAGGGAATTGTGCTTTGATACTACGTGCTAAGGGGAGGGGAATCGAATTTTGGCTTCGACTATGTACGTGCCAAAGCTATGCCACTCGAATAAAGATTCTTTAAGGTAAACAATGCCTTGAAGTTCTTTGAAGAGTTTCATCTGTCGGAACCATGACACCTTCAAAAGAAGGGGAGCACACCAGGGAGCGAGCAATGTCATCCATCCCAGTGAATGGTTGCAATGTTTCGTTAACAAAAACCAAGGTTGGTCGATGTTGTCAAGGAAGCCAACGAACATTCTTTAGCTAGACCAAAATGATGTCTGCCCAAGAACCAGAGGAATGTTTTCCTTTACCACTGACAGATAAATTGTTGAACAGGGTATGTCGAAGCAGAGCCACAAGAGATATGGCTGCTTGATCTCTCATCTTCCCTGAGGGATTGATAAGGCACTCAATTTTTTTATCGTTATTCTTATTTTCAGGTCGGAAACAGCCAACATGTCCATGAATCCTGGTGTAAAAGAAGAAGCAAATGGCCCTGAAGGACATCAAGAAGAACCATTACCAAGCTGTGATAAACAGGCTGGTCTGAGGACATATCTCAGATGGGACCTATCCAACTTTACACCAAAATCAAGCAAGGAAGAGAGGGAAGCACGTTGGGATTAGCAAGGTTCTGTTATTGTAGTTATGACAATATAAGTATTTTTCAACTAGATGGCATTGGATTCTTACTCTGGTCTATTTAATAGGGGTGACACCTGGTTTATAAGAAAGAAAATAAACTGAGTTGTCTAAATTTTGGCCTCGTCTTTAGACATCTTGGCTCGGTAACATCATCAGTGCATTAACCAATCTGGTAACAACCATCTGTTGGAAAATATTTTTTTGATTTATCTATGGAGATTCTCAACCATCCAGGTCATGGTTATTCCAAAGCTGCTTTTTCAAAAGTCTCCTGGACTTTCTTCTTGTTTTTTTTTCTTTTGTCTTCTTTTGCTTCTCATCATTTGCTTCTTGGATGAGGAGCAAAATGTGTTCAAAGGAAAAGAAGAAGGAAGTCCAGTTGCCTTTTGGAAAAACACCTCTGGGACAATTTTGGGTTTCTTTCTCTTTTTTTTGTCTTTAATATTTTGGTTTTGACCTCTTTGATTGTCATATTTTTATTGGGTATACCTGGGGTTTTATCTCTCGGTTGTGAGAAGTCCAAAGTTTGGTGCAAGAAGGGTGGCTATAAATAAACAGTTTCTGGAACACCTAGATCCAAAAGTTCATGTCTGAGCTAAAGAGATTCTCTACTGTCATGTAATGGACTTCAAAACTGGGCAAGGACGGGACACCACAATATACATCAGCATCATCATATATATGATCTGAATTTATTTTGTCAAAAGAAAAAAAAATCAGTCTAAGATGCCTGATGGGTACATATGATATTTCACTTCGTTCCCTCTGATCTTTTAGTTTACAAATCCCTTTTAAGCAACACACAACATTTAGAAACTGGTAGAGATAAAACAATTTGAGGCTGTGGAGGAGAACTTGAATTTACATCAGACCTCCAGTCCTAAAAATGCCATTAGTATATCACACAAAAGTAACTCCCTTCTATCCTCCAATGCAGCTCTACTCAGCCTTCGGGCCCTTAAGGCTTTGATTTAAAATCTATTTCCATCCTGAAATTTACAGAAAATATAAACAAGGACCTGTTCTTTCATAGAATATTAATGGAGCCATTATTGGATTATTGAAATCTCAGAACCAAAGGGGGGGGGGAAAAGTCCCAGGAAAGTTGCTCATCATATATTTACAGTATTGAGAGTTTAACTTAAAAAAAGAACTTCAGCAAAGCTATACATTGTATTTTTTGTACGAAACATGCATGTATGGCATGAGAGATCTCAGGCAAAAGAGGGATTGCCAAAGATAGAATTACATTTGTCAAGTTGTAAGGAAAGCAGTATCAGCAGAAGTACTCATTCAGCTGTCCATCTGCCTTTGTAACTGCTTCAGAGTCCACGCTGGACCTTGAAGACAGTAACCGATTGCACTCGTCAGGTATGTGGTGGGTCAAGTATTCTCCTTCTGTCTCCCTCGTTCTGGTTCCTGGAGAGAGGGCTTCAAAAGTGACGTAAGAGTCCTGAATGTCCTTGGGTTTCTGAACCAAGTACTTTTTGCAGCGTCTTTTTAGGGCCCCACAGCAGACCACCAGGGTGAGAGGGACAGCAATGACACAGGCCACGCTGATGACCACCACATTGATCAGTTTTTGGATTCCACCAGCGCTGGCAACTTCATCTGTGGAGAAAATGATGCATTGTTCCTTCTTGGGTATGAGTCCTTTCACGCAAATGCACGCGATGTACTTGGTCTTGGGCATTAAGCCGTTGATGGTGGCCCTCGTCTTCTTCGGCTCCACGTTGATTCTGCGCATGTCCCTTTCTCCAAAGATGGCATAAAGGATGCTGAACACAGTGCTAGTGTTGGCTTGAGGAGCTTTCCAAGCTAAGGAGACACTATGATCACTATCTCCAATTACTCGGACCGACCTGACTAGGCATTGGGATTCTTGATTAGTAGTGGGCAGACTTTCTAAGATAATTTTGGGGTCGCTTTTCATATTTAGGGCCTGATCCCGAAGCACCAGATTCCTCTCTGTGTTGGCCTGACCTGAAATGATACGCAAAGTCGGGAAAGTTGAAGTTGTCATGCTGTGTCCTCCGAGCAAATTGTCCTTGTAAGCTGCTGTTTCTATCCCCTTGATGTGTCCTTTCCACACTCCTTTCAGATCTGCCCCAGGGCCATCTATGCTCTTAGAATCGGTGACAATCAAAGAGATAAAAGCTTCCATGGCTCCAAGGAAGTTTGCAGCCTTGCAGATGTATTCTCCAGAATCAAAGTAAGAGACCACCGATAATTCTAAAATAGACCACCTTATTCCATCACTGGAAATTTCTTGATGGACTAGAGAGAGAAGAAATAAAAACAAAGCAGATAAAAGTTTGCAAAAAATAAACTGTTGAGAAATATTGTATTTGATGGCTTACATTTCTAACGGATTTATTTTTAATGGCATTTGTATTTTTAATGTTTTTGTTTCAGGGGATTGTTTCAATTCATTAGGGGCTAACTGATTCAAATAATTCTAATGGTGTGGTTTGGAAAAATGCAATCAATTAAGAACAGAAGTGCTTTTTCAAGGTCTACTAGTTTAATCTATTATATTTATATTGTTACGGAAAGGGACAAGAAGAGATAGTATAGAAAATAAGATGGTGACGCATCTCGGATTCAAAGTCAAAAAGGTGCTTTGGAACAAAATAGATATACCTGTGTAATGTTGACCTGCATTTCTTTAAAGCAAATGCATGTTTTTGTGGAATGGATTTGCAACTAATGTTCCCTTTCCTGGAAAAAGATGCAACTGCTTCAAAGAGTTGCAGACCAATCCTTGGAGCATGTCATCACATGTGACAGCCCCCTTCTCATAATCCTTGACACATTTTTAAAACATATTTTAGAAAGTTGTTTCAACATCCAGAATTTGTCAGGGACATGCAGGTAGTCCTCAACTTATGCCAATTTGTTTAATGATGGTTTAAAGTTACGACAGGCTCAGAAAAAAGTGTTTCGTGAGCTGTGTTCATTGCCAGCCCTGCAGCCACATGACTGCAATTTGGGCACTTGGCAATCAGGAGGCATTTACAATCGGTTGCAGCATCCTGAAGTCACATGATTTTGATTGGAATCTCTCTTTTTTTGCTGGTTTCCAGCAAAATGTATATGTATATGTGTTGGGTGAAGCACCCGGTCTAACAAATATAGGACAAAGCAATCTGCTATTGTGTTTTGTTCCAGTCTAGGAGCATTTTTTGCAGGCAGACGTCACTACTGTGAAAACTGTAAATTCAAAATGTTGTAGCTGACAAAGAGTTAAAGGGAGACTAGTATAGCTATTTCGAGCTCTTTAGCTCTCATCAGCTAACTTGCAAGCTGCCCAGGTTCAACCAGCCAATCAACCAGCCCAAAACCAGACCATGACTCAGAAACATCCAGACAAATAAAATCCATACCAATTTACATCACACAAAAAGGTATTTAAAGGCCAGTGTTCCAACAGGCAAGCACAACTGAAAATCCATCGGGGAAGCTGGATTTTCCTTAATGACTGTGTGGTTAACTTGATAACTGTGGTGATTCACTTTATAACCACTGTAAAATGATTGTAAATGTCATGTCCAGTCATGCGGTGACTCAGTGTACAACTGCACCAATGTGTTACCAAAATTCCAATCCCATTTGTGGTCATGAATGGAGGAGTATCTGCATTCATTTTGTCCTATGCCCAAGCATTATAATTGCTTCCCTCTGTCCTTAACTCAGGCAGATATGATGGAAGGGAAGAACCAACCTGTGCCATTGAACAGTTTTCCATCAGCTCTTCTCCAGCTCAGCTCTGGAACGGGCACCCCTGTGGTCCCACACCGCAGCAGAACTGTGCTGCCTAGGATACTCTTTACTTTAGCCACCGAGGTGTGCACAACTGGGCTCTGGCACTTCCTTAGTTCCACTTGACTGAAGAAGAGTCTAGTCTGCTTTTCAGGGTTAAAGCATCTCAGCTTTGGCTCAATGAAGGCTATGTTGGGGGACTGGAAGTTGAGGAAATGAGACATTTCATAGACGCTGCAGTCACATGTCCATGGGTTGTCCTGTAGGCCTGGGAAGAAAAGCCATTGGAAGGGTCAACCATTACATTATCAAAAGTGTTCCTCAATGGTTGCAGGAGACCTGTGAACATTCAAGTGGGGCTTCTATTTAGCTCATCTTTTTCCTTCATCTTGAACAGTACTATTCAGCATTTGCAGATGTACAACAAAAAGATTTTCTATTCAATTATTCAAAAATGGCTTGATCCTTCCACACAGAGGCCATGGGGAATGACCCTGGCTGCACAGCCTTTTCCATTGTGTCCCTGACCCTGTGGAACACTCTACCACTGGAGGTGAGAACTGCTCTGACCCTTTAGATACCATAAGGGTATCAAATCTTGGCTCTGCTAGTTGACTTTGAGCCCCAAGGGGGGCACTCACTATTGGAAGTGGTTGATGGGGGTAAGAAGACCTCATCCCCATGCTGTCCAACTTGGAGTCTTGATGTTTTTCTTTGTTTTAGAGCTTTAATTCTCATAGATTTAATATTACAATTTTTTTGTCTTTTTTATTATCTGTAAGCTACACAGACTTGCCTTATAGGGGAGATGATGAGATAAAAAGTAAGTAAATAAGAAGGGAAGGAAAGGAAAGGAAAGGGAAGGGAAGGGAAGGGAAGGGAAGGGAAGGGAAGGGAAGAAAGGAAGGAAGGAAGGAAGGAAGGAGAAAGGAAGGAAGGAGGAGGGAGAAAGGAAGGAAGGAAGGGAGGGAGAAAGAAAGAAAGGAAGGAAGGAAGGAAGGAAGGAAGAAAGAAAGAAAGAAAGAAAGAAAGAAAGAAAGAAAGAAAGAAAGAAAGAAAGAAAGAAAGAAAGAAAGAAAGAAAGAAGCTGGCTTAACAACCAAATCCTACTTAAATATTTTTAATAAAGCAGCATTTTTGACAGCATCCAAAACCAGCATGAGTTACAGAGTTTAGCAGCTAACCAATTCCCATCATTTACTACCCATCATCAACATCTGCTATGAAGACAGTTGCCTCAATATTAATATCAGGGTTGAATTGGATATCATCAATGAAATCTCACAGCTCCCATGGAACAAGACATTGATGGTTTCAACTGTCCAGTTGGCATTTCCAGAAAAAGAAACTCCTGGGGCATTGTCTTACCAAATAATACTTTACTGAAAATTTACATTGGCACAGAAGAAAGCAAAACCAGCTCTGGTTTTCCTGCTTGAAGGCTGCTTAGTTAAATGACAGTCTCCCTCACCCCCACCCACTAGGTGTTCACATTGTCCGATAGTCGTATTTCTGCACTGGCCTTGACTCTTGGTTGCCTAGACATCATTCCCCCCCCCCACACACACACACCTTTGCATTCTATTGTCAAGATTCGAGCAAAAGAGAAAATCTAGGTGAAAAGGTGAATCTTGAGAGATGGCCTTACAAGGAAAACAAATTCAACTAACTTCCTCTGGTCCAAACCCAAGGATCCATGAGTAGGCAGATGTCTTTTTCTTTTACTCATCCCCAGATGTCTTACCTAGGATGATCTTGGAGTTGTCATTCAGGAAGTATGGAACAGCCTGGAGATTCGACCACAGCACGATAAGTTCTTGAGGAAGCATCACCAGTTTATTGCTTGAGATGTCAAGATAAGTGATGTTCCGGATATACTGAGCAGCGTGAGAGGGTATGGAGGCAATCTGATTATTGTGCAAATCCAGCAGTCTCAACTGAGGCGTGTTGAGAAGAGTCTCCCACGGAAAAGAAGTCAGAACATTGCCAGCCAGTCTGAGCTCCTGAAGCTGGTCCAGGCCCCTAAAGTTAGTTACTCGGAGGCTTGTCAAGGCATTATAGGGCATCCAGAGGAACTCCAGGTTGTGAAGAGAATGGAAAGACTCCCCAGAAACTCTTCGGATTGCTGTTTTTTCTATCCTAAGTTTGAAAGTGTCTCCTGGGAAATTGACCGGCGTAAGGGTCATCTCCGGGTCATTGCACAAAATAGCCCTGCTGGGAAAAAAAAAAGATTTGTTGAAATTATACACGGAACATGCAGGAGATGACTAGGCTGAGTCCTAAGGGGAGGATCAAACATGTCATCAGCCTCGAGTCATTTCACACCCACAAAAGATCTAAGTCCTTGAATTCTGTTGACTTTTATCTATCACCTATTTACTTTGACTGTGAGGAGCAATGATTCATGTAGAGAGCATAAGCTCGCAATAAACCTTTATAATCATTGGATTGCTTGGATTTCCTGATTTTCACACAGATGACAGAACACTTTTAATCAGCAGTTTTAATTGTGGATGTATTTTGTTGTCTTTTCCTGACTATAAAACCTGGATCTCTCCTACAATTTTCCATAAATGAGTTCATAATCATTTAGTATGCTTCTATAGTAGTAGTAGTAGTAGTAGTAGTAGTAGTAGTAGTAGTAGTAGTAGTAATAATAATAATAATAATAATAATAATAATAATAATAATACGAAGAAGAAGAAGAAGAAGAAGAAGAAGAAGAAGAAGAAGAAGAAGAAGAAGAAGAAGAAGAAGAAGAAGAAGAAGAAGAAGAAGAAGAAGACCACATCTGCCTATTCCAGGTCCTTGGGAAGGACTCTATAGGTAGACAAAAATGCCAAATCCAGTCTGAACATCTGGCTGACTGTGCGATTAATAATAATAATAATAATAATAAAATTGGAAGGGACCTTGGAGGTCATCTAGTCCAACCCCCTGCTCAGGCAGGAAACCCTACACCATTTCAGACAAATTGCTCTCCAATCTCTTCTTAAAAACTTCCAGTATTGGAAGATTCACCACTTCTGGAGGCAGGTTGTTCCACGGTTAATTGTTCTAACTGTCAGGAAGTTTCCCCTTAGTTCTAGGTTGCTTCTCTCCTTGATTAGTTTCCATCCATTGCTTCTTGTCTTGCCTTCAGGCACTTTGGAGAAGAGCTTGACTCCCTCTTCTCTGGGGCAGCCCCTGAGATACTGGAACACGGCTATCCTGTCCCCCCTTGTCCTTGTCTTCATTAAACTAGACATACCCAATTCCAGCAGCCGTTCCTTATACGTTTTAGCCTCCAGTCCCCTAATCATCTTTGTTGCTCTTCTCTGTACTCTTTCTAGAGTCTCAACATTTTTTTTTACATCGTGGTGACCAAAACTGGATGCGGTATTCCACGTGCGGCCCTACCAAGGCATTGTAAAGTGGTATTAACACTTCACGTGAATCTTGATTCTACTCCTCTGTTAATGCAGCCCAGCACTGTGTTGACTGATCAGTCTTTGACTGAACTTCTGCTGTGTCAGTCTTGAAATGTCTTCCTTTTCAACCATGGCTTTCAGAGGTGTCCATAGGATGTCAAAAAAATTGAAAACACCCTACTCTCTTTAGCTTACTGGAATAGCCTGAAGAGCTGACTCTTACTCAAGCGCTAAACCAGGACATGAGTTGAGCCCAAAACCTATGTAATTGGTTAGAAACCTTGGCTGATTGAGGAATTCTGGGAGTTTGAAGGTCCATCTCACATCTCAAAGTGGCCATGTCTGAGAAACTCTAGACTAACCAATTTCTACAGCAGTAGTACATAACAAAAGCACATTTATATAACCTGCTGGCTTATCCGCAAAAGAGGTAAGGCCACAGTCCTGAATATTTTACAACAGCAGCTGCTTTTGAGTGGTCAAAGATTCTTACTGCATGTTAAGCGCCTGGAAATCTGTCCTTCATCTCATCTTTTTTTTTATTTTACTAGGAATGGGAGTATGTGTTTGTCTGGGTTTGCTGACATACTGTACATGTCGACAAAATCAGAAGGTGCAGAGGTGTGACAAGACTTGTGACGATTGTTTACATAAGCTGTTTTCAGTCGATCCTTGCCAAATCATGCCTCTTTCAAAAAAAAAAAGGATTTGACATACACAGGACCCAAACATTATATAAAACATACATGTCTCGCTCAGTTTAAGCAATATCTCTCTGTCTGTGAAGTCCTGCTGATGTGTGCGTATTATTGATGCTGTCAGAGACAACAAGTTTTATTTTGAAGTGCACTTTTAGTCAAACTCTACATGTAGCTTTTTCAAATAAACATAAACTTATCCAGTGCTTTTAATATGCTTGCCCCAGACAATTTCTCAGGGCTTGGAGTGAACTTTTATGCCATAGTTAACTTCCCAAAAAAACCAACCCCTCAACCAGCCAATAAACTAGTAGAATATATTGTCCATGTACACGGTTTTAAATTTTCTAAAATTCTGATGATTATTCTTTTCATATTTTAAATTATGTTTGGTTTTTTTACATGGTTCAGCATTGGTCGCTTTCCCCATAACATTGTGTAACATTGATTATATTGCTGCTGCCTTAGCGTGAGAGACCATCAAATGGCATTTCAGAAAATCAGATTATGCTGTACTCTCTTGTTAATCCCACAACACACAGAGCCCTTGTGCTGCCTGGAGCAATTGCGGAAATAACAACCCAAATGGCTGAAGTAGCTCTCTCTTCCACCAAGACGAATGGTGGATCAACCTGTCCAGAAAAACTTTCTTGGCACCCACCTCAAGAAAAAATTAGAGCAATTTTACCTGGCTCTCATCCTCTCACTGATGCTGTAGAACGAGCAGCTGCATTGAGAAGGGCAAAAACAGAGCATCCAAGGCAAACGTCCGAAGGTCAGGCAGCAAAGGAAGCTCACAGTGACCCACATCATGATCCAGTCGTGAGTAAGGCATCCAACTCCTGGTCAGAAAGAGCTGAGAGTTCCTCTCCGCTTACATCCAGGGAATCCTTCACATTGTCTTTCTTTCCTCGTCTGCAGTGATCTCCCAGCATCCTGCTGAAGTCACCAGATAAAATCGGATAGACAGAGGATTAAGAACAAGGCTACTTGCACAGAGATGCTTATGGCTTCCCGGAGCGATCAGCAGAAGGATATGCTTCCCTCCCCTCTCTGGATGGTTTCAAAACAACTGAGTAGGAGGTCCGCTTTTGCACATGGAGATTTCTCTTCTTCTTTTTTCACTGAGCAGAGTTTGAGTGATGTTTCAGCTTTTCCTCCAGAGCACTCAGCCTTCCTTGAAGTGACCTCTCTCAATGTCAAATGCCGGGAAGCATGAATTGGAAAAGATTATTAGGATACAGTAGATACAAACAAGATGCTGAGATCCTAGAAAATGTGCAGAGAAGAGCAATAAAGAGAACAATAACAATGACAATAGAGTTGGAAGGGTCCTTGGAGGTAATAATAATAATAAAGTTGGAAGGGACCTTGGAGGTCATCTAGTCCAACCCCCTGCTCAGGCAGGAAACCCTATACCATTTCAGACAAATGGCTGTCCAGTCTCTTCTTAAAAACTTCCAGTGTTGGAGCATTCACCACTTCTGGAGGCAGGTTGTTCCACTGGTTAATTGTTCTGACTGTTAGGAAGTTTCTCCTTAGTTCTAGGTTGCTTCTCTCCTTGATTAATTTCCATCCGTTGCTTCTTGTCCTGCCTTCAGGCGCTTTGGAAAAGAGCTTGACTCCCTCTTCTTTGGGGCAGCCCCTGAGATATTGGAAGGTTGCTATCATGTCCCCCCTCGTCCTTCTCTTCATTAAACTAGACATATCCAATTCCAGCAACCGTTCTTTATATGTTTTAGCCTCCAGTCCCCTAATCGTCTTTGTTGCTCTTCTCTATACTCTTTCTAGATTCTCAACATCTTTTTCACATCGTGGTGACCAAAACTGGATGCAGTATTCCAAGTGTGGCCTTACCAAGGCCTTGTAAAGTGGTATTAATACTTCACGTGATCTTGATTCTATCCCTCTGTTAATGCAACCTAACACTGTGTTGGCTTTTTTGGCAGCTGCAGCACACGGCTGACTCCTATTTAGGTGATTGTCCACTAGGACTCCGAGGTCCCTCTCACAGTTACTACTATTGACCAAGGAACCCTCTGTACTATACCTGTGCATTTGGTTTTTCTTGCCTAAATGTAGAACCTTACTTTTTTCACCACTGAATTTCATTTTGTTGCTCAGCCAGGAAACCGTGTATAGGCATATAGGGATCACCATCAGTGGCTATTGTTTCCATTGTCAAAGGAGGACCCTTCCTCATTGTTTGCAATCCTCTGTCTGCCAAGGCAGAAGCAGAACCACCTTATTCAGTAGAAGGAGTTTGGTAACACCTTTTCTGATTGATGTATTGCATTAACAGGCAACAGCTTTCTGATCAAGCTGCAGCTCCCTTCACCTTATTTACTGGTTTGAACTTCTTAATTCTCTTTTGCAGTTGATAATGAAAGAGTTCGTTACACAAGAGAAACGGAAGGATATTAGCCCATCAGGGATTAGATATTCTGGCCAGGAACGCCAGGAATGGAAAAAATGATTATTAATGATGTCCCTTGCCAAAAACACAAGCAGGAATCTGTTTAAATGGACAGCCATGTGCTGATTTGATATCATTTGTGAGTCAACATTAAAAACGCATCTTGCTGGTAAAGTAACAAGTCCAATGCTTTAATTGGGCTCTCCTCTGCTAATTAATGATAGCAATTCCTAGTTTTGTTGTACAAACACTTGGCTAGTGGATGAGTCTGTGCACAATCAAAGGAAACAATTCAGTCATCAAGTTCAGTTGATCACAGAAAAGAAAATAGATCTTCTTTTCAAGAGAAAAGAATAGGAGGATGAATCGGTTCATATATTAGTAAAGTAGTGAAAAAGGAAGTTTGTCACTCCTGTTTCTTCTCTTATTCTTCTTATGAACAACATAAGAAGACAAACTAGAAATGACAGAGCAACTCAAACTTGTTCCCCACATGATGTCCTTATTATATGTGTGTGTGTGTGTGTGTGTGTGTGTGTGTGTGTGTGTGTGTGTGTTTGTGTGTGTAGGTCTTTGGTTATTCGGGTTTTCTCCCGCATAAAATTGGAAGTGTCTTGGCGACGTTTCGACGAAGTCCCATTCGTCATCTTCAGGCTGGTGTTTTCGGCTTCGTGCTTTTAGGAGCATTCTAGGAACATTGCTCCTAGAAGCATGAAGCCGAAAACACCAGCCTGAAGATGACGAATGGGACTTTGTCGAAACATCGCCAAGATACTTCCAATTTTACACGGGAGAAAACCCGAATAACCAAAGACCTACATAAAACACCCGTGAAAACCTCAGAAAACATATATATATATATAAAACCAGTGGAACGGAAGTTGCCTTCAGAAGTTATGGGAGCTCCATCACTGGAGGCTTTTAAGAAGAGATTGGACAGCCATTTGTCTGAAATGGTATAGGGTCTCCTGGTTGTGCAAGGGGTTGGACTAGATGATCTCCAAGGTCCCTTCCAACTCTGCTATTCTGTTATAACTTGTGGGACTTGTGGATTACCTTATAAGAAACATTGTAGATATTGGTGGAGGAGACTCATGTAATAATCATAATCATAATCATAACCATAATCATAATCATAATAATAAAGTTGGAGGTCTTCTAGTCCAACCATCTGCTCAGGCAGGAAACCCTATACCAGTGATGGTGAACCTTTTAGAGACTAAGTGCCTAAAACCCTCCCTGCCCTGCCCCTCTTCTGCCCCCACCCCAACTCCATCCCACCCACCCACAGGGAGATCTACCACCTCCACGGCCCACCACAGCAAATTGCCTAGGTGGTTCTGCAGCACCATGGCGGCCATATCCTCCGCCCGCACCCCGCAGCATCATCTGCGCACGATGGGGCTCAAGGGAGGAGTCTTGTCCCTGCTGCCCGGCTGCCATGTCCTTGGCTGTGCTGCTCCACGTGGGCTGCGCCCGGGGGTGACTCTCCTCTGGGGGGGCTGCTGGTGTGGGGACCACAGAGGGAGGCGGGGCTGGGGCGATGGCGCACGTGCCCACACAGAGGGCTCTGAGTGCCGCTTCTGGCACGTCCGCCATAGGTTCGCCACCACTGCCCTATACCATTGGTAGCTAAATGGTGGTAGCTAAAAACTAGGAGGAGTCTGGAAGCATCTTTTCAGACTAACACATTTTATTCATGAGCATGAGCTTTCTGTAGGGAAGATTTTGCAAAGGAATTGGAGAACATTTCCCAAGGCGCCAAGACGCTCACCAACCTCCCTATCCCGGGCATTTCTCATAGACCTTCTCAGAAAATTGGTTTCAGCTATTCCTGGAAATGAGCCTAGCACAGGACTTTTATCTGTGATGACCTTTTATTTTTCTCTCTGGATTTCCCTGCTAGGAAGGTCTCAAAAATTGGGAGTTATCTCCCTTTTGCAGCCCGTGTGACATTTTCACTTCACATTCCATTCTCTTTCAGCAGCTTTGAGCACTAAGAAGCTTACATGGATTGACAGAGTGGCTCACATCACATGCTCTGACTTTTGCTAGCGTAAGAATTTTGTGCAAAAAATAAAGTGACTGCGCCAGCTGTGGACTTGATGATGATGCTTCTATTGCTCTCTGGCTACAACATTTTATTTTATTTTATTCTTCTAGTCTCTGCCAGGCAGTCTTCCTTGAGAAGAAAGAAGAATGATAATAATAATCACTTGGAATAGCTTAGATCCTGCGACAAAGCCTTTAACACCATCAAACAACCACATCTGCCTATCCCAGATCTTTGGGGAGGACTCGACAGGTAGACAAAAATGCTAAATCCAATCTAAACATCTGGCTGATCATGCAACCAAACCTTATAATAATAGAACTATTAGGACCACAAAATAGACAACGTTACAGTAAAGACTGCATTAACAGAGGGATAGAATCAAGACCACTTGAAGTGTTCAACCAACTTTATCATCCCACACTTGGAACACTGCATCCAGTTTTGGTTGCCATGATATAAATAAAAAAAAACCAATGTTGAGACTCTGGAAAGAGTGCAGAGAAGAGCAACAAAGATGATCTCAAACATATGAAGAATGGTTGCAGGAATTGGGTATGTCTAGTTTAATTAGAAGAAGGACACAATAGCAGTATTCCAGTATTTGAGAGGCCGCCAAAAGGAAGCGAGGGTCAACCTGGAGGCAGGACAAGAAGTAATGGATGGAAACTATTCATGGAGAGAACCAATCTATAAAACTAAGGAGACATTTCCTGACAGAACAATTAATCAGTGGAACGACTTGCCTCCAGAAGTTGTGGAAGCTCCAACACTGGAGGTTTTCAAGAGTAGACTGGACAATCGTTTGTCCAGAATGTAATAGTCTTCTTCTCGAGTAGATGGTTGGATTAGAAGACCGCCAAGGTTCCTTTCAACTCTGTTATTCTGCTAAGAAGAAAACAACACCTCTACCAACACTAGGGAAAGCTACTGCATATAAACAAGGATCATATTCCACATGCAACAAGTACTGATGATGTTATCTACTTGGGTGATGAAAGGTCTCCAAGCAAACAATCAAGCTCAGAGAGTACCAAAGACTCCAAAGCATTTTTTTTTTTGCTTTGTGTCACATTAGGAAAGGAATGTCTTCACCCCCATTCCTTTTTCTCCTTTGTTCCCCAGATTAGTGATTTAATCATGTTTGTTTATTTCCGGTGTCTCCCTGATTACATAGTATTTGCTTTGGCTGCCATTCCTGTATTCTTTAGTTCTTTTTTTTTTTCTAGAATTAGCAGTGTCCATTTTTAAAAACTGTCTCTACAAAAGGCTTCGTGAGATCGCACAGAATATTCCCTTTTGCTTTTATGCAGTTCCAGGCATGGGAGGGATGTGAGGAAGAATTTTGCAGGGATTGTTGGGTTAGGATTAATACATAAAGCTTTTCTGTAAGGATTTCCACGTGGCCAGGCCCTTTAAGAAGGTGAGATTTGTAGGTGACTGGGCAGAAGAAAGAAAATTCAGGACAAAGAATTGACCAGGGCAGACAGCTGGAACAGTTGGAAAATCCAGACATTGGGGGAGGCTGGGGGCCTTTGCCTTTTTCATTGCAAACATGGTTAATTCGGCATATCCTATTCCTGGTGGTTTCACCGAAATTGAAGTCTTCGCCATTGGCACAATCCTGCTGGTTGAAGGTAAGATGGGCTGCTTTAAAGAGTCAGGTTTTAAGAATGTAAGGAGGAAGAATTTAAGACAGAAGGTACATACATTCTTTGACTATGTCTCTACTTCCAAGCCTTCTGCTTAAGGACAACCCTGGTCGGTTCTGAGCTTAATTTTAGTACAGGTGTTCAAGGCTCAAAAAACTATTGAGCAAAGTATCTGAAGAAGCATCTCTTCCTACTCAGAACTGCTCAAAGTATTTGTGATACGTTGCGGTATCAACGAAGAGAGGGGTGTCATTCTTCTTGTAACTCTTAATAATAATAATAAAGTTGGAAGGGACCTTGGAGGTATCTAGTCCGACCCCCTGCTCAGGCAGGAAATCCGATACATTTCAGACAAATGGCTGTCCAGTCTCTTCTTAAAAACTTCCAGTGTTGGAGCATTCACCACTTCTGGAGGCAGGTTGTTCCACTGGTTAATTATTCTAACTGTCAGGAAATTTCTTCTTAGTTCTAGGTTGCTTCTCTCCTTGATGAGTTTCCATCCGTTGCTTCTTGTCCTGCCTTCAGGCGCTTTGGAGAATAGCTTGACTCCCTCTTCTTTATGGCAGCCCCTGAGATATTGGAAGACTGCTATCATGTCCCCCCTCGTCCTTCTCTTCATTAAACTAAACATACCCAATTCCAGCCACTGTTCCTTATATGTTTTAGCCTCCAGTCCCCTGATCCTCTTTGTTGCTCTTCTCTGTACTCTTTCTAGAATCTCAACAACTTTTTTACATTGATTGTGGAACCTTCACCATCTCTGCCTCCCATGCATGCAAATACATTAAATAGCACTAAGTAGCACAGTACAGGAGGCTAAACCGTACAATGAACTATTCAGAGAACAGAGTATGTCTAATCTAATGAAGAGAAAGTCTAAGAGTGATATGATAGGTGTCTTCCAGTCCTTGAGAGCCTGTCAGGGAGAAAAGGGGATCAACCTGCTCTGCAAAGCACCTGAGAGTAGTAGATGAAGCAACGGGTGGAAGATTATCAAAGAGAGAAGCAACCTAGAAGTAAGGAGAAATATCCTGACAGTGAGATCAATTAATCAGTGGAATGGGTTGCCTCTGGAAGTTGTGGGTGCTCCATCACTGGAGGCTTTCAAGAAGAGACTGGACAGCCACTTGTCTGAAATGGCATAGGATCACCTACTTGAGCAGGGAGCTGGACTAAAAGATCTGCCCCAAAGAAGAGGGAGTCAAGCTATTCTCCAAAGCACCTGAAGGCAGAACAAGAAGCAATGGATGGAAACTAATCAAGAAGAGAAGCAACCTGGAATTAAGGAGAAACTTCCTGACAGTTAGAACAATTAACCAGTGGAACAACCTGCCTCCAGAAGCGGTGAATGCTCCAAGACTGGAAGTTTTTAAGAAGAGACTGGAAAGCCATTTGTTTGAAATGGTGTAGGGTTTCCTGCCTGAGCAGGGGGTTGGACTCGATGACCTCCATTTTGTTGTTGTTGTTCTTGTTGTTCTTGTTCTTGTTACTTCCAAGGTCCCCTCCAGCTCTATTCTATTCTATTCTATTCTATTCTATTCTATTCTATTCTATTCTATTCTATTCTATATTCTATTCTATTCTATTCTATTCTATTCTATTCTATTATTTCACTCCATATTCTATTCTATTCTATTCTATTCCTATTTTCTATTCTATTCCTATTTTCTATTCTATTCTATTCTATTCTATTCTATTCTATTCTATTCTATTCTATTCTATTATTTCACTCCATATTCTATTCTATTCTATTCTATTCCTATTTTCTATTCTATTCTATTCTATTCTATTCTATACTATACTAAATAATCTCAACTATGTTATTTCTACTTTCCTTAACAATAATTTTCCTTTCCTTTTGCTAACAAGCAACTCGACCTGTCTACTTCTGTCCAAGCCATTAAAGGTGTTCTCTCTGTGAATTCATAGAGGAGATATTAAGTGGTGCAGCAACAACAAAAATCCAATTTCTGAACAGATTTTCCCCGAAGGCAGAGAAAAAAGTACATGAAACAGAAATAGTTCAACTGACGGCAAAGGAATATTAGAGCATCGTTGACTTGTGTAAAAGCATTTAGGTTGGGGGGGGGTTCTGAAAATGAAATAAAGAGATATTTCTGTCTAAGACATATAAATCCTGAAGGTTATACTTGACCTATCCTGCCTTGTGCCTGTATATGTTGCATATAAAAATTATTTGTTTATACCGCATGTTTATTTACCAAAGCTTTATTCCAGTGTATTATCTGAAGATTGCTGATGGTCTATAATGAAAATCTTCTTTGTTCTTTCTGTATCTGCAGTCAAAGTAGCAGCCTAAGCTACTTGGGTGAAATATTCAGAAACAGGTTTGAAACCTGTAGTAAGCTACCCTAAATCCTAGAAAACTGTCAACGCTGCTAACATCGGATGTTCTTGCTTTGACAATATATGAAAATGCAGCCATTTCCCTCTTAACTTGTGTGTTACTTTTAGAGTTAGAATTAGATGATGCTGGGGGGGGAGAAGGAAGAATGTGCATGGGAATTAGTTAGACATAACCTCGTAGTAGAGTGTTTTTTCGAGGCTGTTTGAAATAAGAGATGAAAAGGAATGGTGGGTTGAAGAACTGGAGGGAAGGTCGGGGTTTCAAACTAATTGGAGAATGTGATTTATGCCTGTTAATTAGAGGAGGGAATTGTGCTTTGATATTATGTGTTTAGGGGAGGAGAATTCAGATTTTGGCTTCGACCATGTACGTGCCAATGCCATGCAACTTGAATAAAGATTCTTTAAGGTAAACAATGCCTCAAAGTTCTTTGAAGAGTTTCATTTGTCGGAACCATGACAAAAACATGCTAAACCACAGAACTTTGCATTATACTGTACAAAACAGTCCTTTATTTTGAAGCTTGCTTGAAGGCAGTCTTCCTTTTGTCTGGCATCTAATTCCTAGAATCACAGGGCTGAAAGGGACCTTGGAGGTCCTCTAGTCCAACCCTCTCTCCAAAGGGAGCTTTAAAGCCACAATACTTAGAACGGGGGAGGGCAGTCAGAGAAATATACACCTGGATAGCAAACTGAGCAATTCACTCTTGCTCTAGTGAGATGCATTATTTTTAATGTTAAGCTATAAAGATTTTCAATTTAAATATCATGTAAATTAACACCTGTTCTTTTTTAACATAGATATGACCTTTGTGGTTCATCTCTTTCATCTCTTTGGTCTATTCTAACGCCCTATAGAAGGGTTTTTTTTTCCTTTTAACAGAAACGTTGCATGATATATCAGATGCAGTTTTTGAAATTCAGATGGCAACCTTTGGCTGATCTTGTCGATCTCAGAAATTAAGGAAGGTTGTCCTGAATGGGGAACCATTGAAATCCCAGGGTCTTGACCAGGCCTGGAAGTCAGGAAATTAATTCCCAAGAGCACAAATTACTTTTATAAGACTGGCAAGAAAAATGTATGGAATCAGTAAAGTTGTGTTTCATTCAAGAAATCTTTCTTTCGAAGTCCAAACTCATGCTCAAAAATATTTTACCCCTAATAGGATGTTGAAGGAAAAGTCTTCATTGTGGTTCAATCCAAACCAGGAATAAACAACATGGCGACTGCTTTAGAAAGAAAGTTATAGTTTATTGAAGAGGAGAGCCAGACAGAAAGATGGCTCTGGAAGAAAAGAGAGCGAGCACATGTAGGGAGTGGGTTTTTATACCCTCTGGAGCCTTTTGTTTGGAGTTGTTCCTGTGGCATGAACTTTGATTCGGGGCTATTAAGAAAACTGGGCATGCTTTTCTGCCTCTTTAAGTTCCTTTGAGGAAATACATTTTTCTGCCCTTTTAATATTTCCTTCTCTGTGGAGGGGCTGAATTCTCACAAGGGGAAAAATGCTGTTCAATAAACAGTGAAACATACAGATGAGATCTTCTTCTGTATCCCCTTTCTTTTCAAACAAACCACTCAAAGATGTGATCAAAAAGACACGCGTCTACATCCATGTCAGAAATACCTTTCTGAAATGAAGTGATTCTGTGACTCAGTCACACCGTGCTTGTTTCAGATCATCCAAGCTGTTTTTCTCTCTTTCTGACATTCTTTTTTTTCGTGAAATGATAGACACTGGAGGAGTGAAGGCAGACATATAGTTGCTGCTGCTGCTTTTCAGGAGAGCTAAATTTGGCACTGGCCAGACACTTTAAGAAGGCAATTGTCTTGGGCTTTTGAAGAGCAGAAAGGCAAAGAGAAGGGAGGGGAGGAGGGGAGGGAGAAAGAGAGAGGAAGAGAGAGAAACAGAGAGGGAGGGAGGGAGGGAGAGAAAGAGGGAGGGAGGGAGGGAGAGAGAGAGAGAGAGAGAGAGAGAGAGAGAGAGAGAGAGAGAGAGAGAGAGAGAGAGAGAGAGAGAGAGAGAGAGAGAGAGAGATAACATCAACAGAGAAGATACAGTCTAGGTTAGTCTGGTTTTGCAGCTCCAAAGATGTCGGCACCTGATTCTCTTCCGGAAGGATTTACTGAGTTTGAAATGATTAGTTTTGGCACAATGATGCTGGCTGAAGGTAAGTTGGGATTGTTATGCAACCAAGATCAAGCTGGATCAGGTCTTCTTCTTGAGATGACATGGCTTCAGAAATTTTTTTAAAAAAACTTTCAGAAGTCTGACAATTGGACTTCACAGAATTTATAGTAAGGACTTCATCTACTGTAGTCATGCAGCCTGGATTATTATTATTGTTGTTGTTGTTGTTGTTGTTGTTGTTATTATTATTATTAAGAACTTGACCAGATGGAGAATTCATAAAAGGTTCGTGAGGATAGTGACAGAAAAATGTATATTTTCCATACTGTTTTGCCTATTTAATCTGTAGAAGATATCCAAGTTGTTGTGGGTTTTTTTGAATAAATAAAGCGGCAGTGTTTTACACCTTTGTTGTCACTTGAATATGTGATCATCAACCTTTTGTGAGGGTCTGAGACAACATGATAAATCGCCATAAAATGATTCTCTTTCGTGTTTTAGCTTTGTTTGGGTTCTCCCTGAATGTGTTGACCATCGTTGCATTCTGGAAGGTCAAGGAGATTCAAACACCTGGCAACTTTCTGATATTCAACCTCGCCTTGTCTGATTGTGGCATTTGCATCAATGCTTTCATCGCTGCTTTCTCTAGTTTCTTAAGGTAGGTTTTATTTACTTGTCCTTCCGCTTAAAAATAGCACTGAAAGCAAAAAGAAGAAAGCTGAACGCCCTCTGGGCATACACACTGTCTCCCGACCTATGCTCACTCAGAAAAGCAGAGAATAATTTTCACTACCTAACTTCTCATTCATGGCACCTTTCATGCAAATATAGGTCTTTGGCCATTCTAATTGGAAGATATGTACTTCCTGTCTGGGGCAGAAGGCAGGTAGGAAGGTCAGAGTAGAGCAGCTCTATTGACAAGGAGAAGTCACCACCAGAAAGGGCTTGCTTAGTCTTAAAAATGCTAAGCACCAGGAAATATGTAGATGGGGGATCGCCAGAAAGAATGGTGAAGTGGAAAACCAAAATATACCCAAAGAAGGCAAAAAAGCGAATGATCTCCATGTTGAAATGAGAAGGAAAAAAATAGAAGAAACAATATCGACAGAAATGGAATATGCCTCAAGAGAGTCATGCTCTACCCAACCCTAAAACCACGCTTTATAAAGCCTTAGTAAGGCCACACCTGGAATACTGCATCCAGGTATGGTCACCACATTACAAAAAAGATGTTGAGACTTTGGAAAAAGTGCAGAGAAGAACAACTAGGATGATTAAAGACCTGGAGAGTAAAACATATGAAGAACGGTTGCAGATTTGGGAATGACCAGTCTAAAGAAAAGAAGGACTGGGGGAGGGGACATAATAGCAGTGTTCCAGTATTTGAGGGGCTGCCACAAAGAGGAGGGGGTCAACTTATTCTCCAAAGCACCAAAAGGCAAGACAAGAAACAAAGGATGGAAACAAATCAAGGAGAGAAGCAACCTAGAACTAAGGAGAAACTTCCTAACAGTGAGGACAATTAACCAGTGGAACAGTTTGCCATCAGAAGTTGTGGGTGCTTCATCACTGGAGGTTTTTAAGAAGAGACTGGACAACCACTTGTCTGAAATGGTATAGGGTCTCCTGCTTGAGCAGGGGGTTGGACTAGAAGACCACCAAGGTCCCTTCCAGCTCTATTCTGATTGATCTCCTTCAATAGCACATTCAGACATTCAAGCGTGGCTCAAGGGAAGTAAACAGAACTGGCAGGAAGCAGCATTTGCAAAGGAGAAGATGGAGGTAGCGAAAAGAGTTAAGGACCCTTTCTTGTGAAGTGCCTTACATGTCTCAGGTTAGGAGGCATCTCAGAACCTTCCAATAAAGGAGCTCTGACTTTGTCTCTTGGTTCCTATGTGTAGAACATGCTTCCTAACGCTCAGAAAGAGAGAAAATCATTGACCCGTTTTCACATTACCTTATATAATTCATGACTCTCTTCGTTTTAGCAGCGCCAGCTGTGAATTTTGGATGCTGTCATCTGAAAGTCATCCAACACGGCCAGGAGCAATCTTTAGAGTGTCCATTTTGATAACATTTAAAAAAAAACAAATGCTCAAGTCCTTCTTCTGACATGTTTTCCCACCGTGTCATTGCTTCCTTTTTCAGATATTGGCCCTATGGCTCTGACGGCTGCCAAATTCATGGGTTTCAAGGATTTTTAACGGCCCTAACAAGCATTAACTGTGCAGCTGCAATTGCGTGGGACCGATACCATCAGTATTGCTCCAGTAAGTCCTCTGGGTGGTTATTATTATTATTATTATTATAATTATTATTATTTAAAATGTATTAGTTGCATAATTTAGGGATAGCTTCACCTAAAGAAAATGAGAACTGTGACCAAAAGGAACCCATATATTAAATGATAGAATAGAATAGAATAGAATAGAATATGGAATGAAAGAATAGAATAGAATATGGAATGAAAGAATAGAATAGAATATGGAATGAAAGAATAGAATAGAATAGAATAGAATAGAATAGAATAGAATAGAATAGAATAGAATAGAATAGAATAGAATAGAACAGAGTAGAGTAGAATAGAGTAGAATAGATTAGAGTAGAATAGAAAAGAAAATGAGTAGAATATAATAGAATAGAGTAGAATAGAGTAGAGTAGAGTAGAGTAGAGTAGAGTGGAATGGAATGGAATGGAATGGAATGGAATGGAATGGAATAGAATAGAATAGAATAGAATAGAATAGAATAGAATAGAATAGAATAGAATAGAATATGGAATGAAAGAATAGAATAGAATATGGAATGAAAGAATAGAATAGAACAGAACAGAACAGAATAGAATAGAATATGAAATGAAATTAGAATAGAATAGAATAGAATAGAATAGAATAGAATAGAATAGAATAGAATAGAATAGAATAGAATAGAATAGAATATGGAATGAAAGAATAGAATAGAATATGGAATGAAAGAATAGAACAGAACAGAACAGAACAGAACAGAATAGAATAGAATATGGAATGAAAGAACAGAACAGAACAGAACAGAACAGAATAGAGTAGAGTAGAGTAGAATAGAATAGAACAGAACAGAACAGAACAGAACAGAATAGAATAGAATAGAATTTCTTCTCTCCCAATTTGCAGCTCTACTCTACTCTACTCTTGAGGGAAATCTGGAGAGGCTGTCCTTCTATCTTGCATGGTAATCCCACTGCAAGTTGGTTGAACATCATGTCAATATCCAGTTCGAGAATCCAACTAAAACTCCAGATTAATTCTGTTTCTGGAATTCTTTCTGGTTACTGAATACACCGCATGGTTTTGTCGAAGCAAAACTAGCTCTGAGGTTTCCACACCAATTCATAGACTTAAACAATAAGTTTAAGACCCCCAACGTCTTACATAATCCCCATCAACAAGTCCACTTTGTTATGGGAACTGTCTGCTTCAAATCCACACCTGTTTTGGTATCCTTGACAAGGCTTCAGGCTCCCACCATCTGTAGCTGAATCAAAGTTTCATTTCTCCATCTACCCACTTAAAAGTAAAACCTCCCCCCTCTCCCTTTATCTAAAGGCAAGTTGAAATGCAGAGGCAAGTAGCTGTCAGAGTTTCATCTTGACACTTCAATTTTCTCTTGTAGGACGAAAATTGCAGTGGAATTCTGTGTTCTTCATGGGACTGTTTGCCTGGTGTTTTGCTGGCTTTTGGTCCGCAATGCCCCTTTTGGGATGGGGGGCATATGATTATGAGCCTCTGAGGACCTGTTGCACTTTGGACTATACCAAAGGAGATAGGTAAGTGCTCCTGAGGCCTAATTATAGGTTCAGGGCTCTTTGGGAAGGGAGGTTGAACCAGCTCAAATGAAAAACAAGTTCTTATGGTCTTCCTACTCTTTTCGATAGAAGATTCTTCGCATGACAAGGAGAGTTGGGTTGTGTGTTTTAACGGTAGAGTCAATGCAGGGCTGGAACATTTTCCATTCCTATATATTCATTCTGCCCTCACATCACCTGCCATGAACAGTCTTTGGGTCACATTATTTTTTGTCAGGGCAAAACAGTCACTGGGAGTTTCTAACGGATGCTGCTCCAACTAAGTTTCCATTCTTTTACTTTACCATTCAGAGTAGTAACTGCGAGAGAAATCTTGGGATCTTAGTGAACAGTCACTTGAATATCAGCCAGCATTGTGCTGCAGCTGCCAAAAAAGCCAATGCAGTTAGGCTGCATTAACAAAGGGATAGAATCAAGATCACGTGAAGTGTTAATACCACTTTAGAATGCCTTGGTAAGGCCACACTTGGAATACTGCATCCAGTTCTGGTCACCATAATATTAAAAAGATGTTGAGACTCTAGAAAGAGTACAGAGAAGAGCAACAAAGATGATTAGGGGACTGGAGGCTAAAACATATAAGGAACAATTGCTGGAATTGGGTATGTCTAGTTGAACGAAGAGAAGGACGAGGGCGGACATGATAGCAGTACTCCAATATCTCAGGGGCTGCCACAAAGAAGAGGGAGTCAAGCTATTTTCCAAAGCGCCTGAAGGCAGGACAAGAAGCAATGGATGGGAACTTAAATCTAACCTAGAACTAAGAAGAAATTTCCTGACACTGAGAACAATTAATCAATGGAACAATTTGCCTCCAGAAGCGGCAAATGCTCCAACACTGGAGGTTTTTAAGAAGAGATTGGACAGCCATTTATCTGAAATGGTATCAAGTCTCCTGCTTGAGCAGGGGGTTAGACTAGTAAGTCTCCAAGGTCCCTTCCAACTGTTATTCTCTTGAAAGAATAAGACAAGACCTTTGCCTTCACCATTTCAATCAATGGCTATACATCACCTTTGGGGTAGTTGGGAAGAACACCCTCATTACCATCAACTGCTATGGACGTCAAGGTGCTGTTCCCTACCTCAAAAGCCAACATGGCAAATGATCTGGATAACCTAACTTGAAGGGCTAACCTCCAGTGTGACATCCTTTGTATCTAGATAGCTGAAAGCTCTTTTCCTGCCCATTTGCACTTAAGAGACAGAGACACAATGAAGCAGATGAGCATGTCTCAACCTTTTCTTTACACAGACCCCTTTTAGATATATTTTGTGGCCAAGGACCATGACCACAGAACCCCAAAACTTAAGATTTAAGCCATAACATTTCTTCAAGCCTTTGTAGGCCCCCTGTGATGACATCACAGACCCCCCAGGGGTCTGCAGACCACAGGCTGAGAACCACCAGATCATCAATCGGGGTTTGGCACCATACAAGGAAGCTTTTGACCAAATCATTTGATGCAGCTTTCATTGACCACAGCCCCCAATGGAGGTTTTAGTTTTTTGCTATCTGTTTATATTCTGAATATTGACTATATCAGCATTCATCCAATAGAATAATTCACCACCAACTGTTTTTCTCCCTCCCCCCCCCCCACCAGGAATTACATCACATTTCTGATTCCTCTGGTGCTATTCAATTTTGTGATCCCGATTTTCATCATATTAATGTCCTATCAATCCATTGATAGCAAATTCAGGAAAACAGCCCAGCTGAAGGTAAGAAAACATCCTAACGTGGAATTGTTTCCAGCAAAACAAAGCTGCATCTTTTTCAATTTGAGTTTTCTGATTTTCATAGTGTTTGTACAGTGTCTATCCTGTACAATGTGGCATTTTCAGTTATATCAAGCATAAGGAGACAGTAATGCAATTGGTTTTATCCTTATTGAGAATCGTCAGAAGTAGGTAGATGGATCCTATTCTACACGTCTATGGAGATTCTCGGTTATCCAGGTCATGGTTATCGCAAATATGGTTTTTCACGAGACAACTGGACTTTCTTGTTTTTCTTTGAAGACGTTTCGCTTCTCATCAAAGAAGCTTCTTCAGCTCTGACTGGATGGTGGGGAATGGAAGGATTTATACTCCTGGCAGACAGCTGGTCATTTAGTCCAAAATAATGCAGATGACCAGCTGTCTGCGAGGAGTATAAATCCTTCCATTCCGCACCATCCCGTCAGAGCTGAAGAAGCTTCTTGATTGAGACACGAAACATCTCCAAAGAAAAACAAGAAAGCCCACTTGCCTCGTGAAAAAGCATCTTATTCTATAGGATGTCTACAGAGATTCTCAATTATCTAGGTCATGGTTGTGCCAAAGGCACTTTCCAAAAGACAATTTGACTTTCTTGGGTTTTTTTTTTTCTTTGAAAACATTTTGCTTCTCATCCAGAGGACCGGAAAGTCCAGTGGCCTTTTGGAAAAGGCACTTTTGGGATATTCTGTGGGATCCAAACATTCTGTGAGGAATTGATTTGGTAGACCGTTGAATTGGACATTGAACTTTAAATGAGCATTTTTGTTAAATTAGGAGCTATTGAGGACCTGATACTCAGCCATGCTAAAATGAGTACAAAAATGAGTTTTTGATGATCAGGAATTTTGCTCTCCAGATACGATGATATGGATTTCTATAACCCAGTCGGGCATCTACAAGCAGGCTGGACAGAATATGATCATTGAAGAGACACCTGTCTGTTTTGGAAAGCCCTGGAAAAAGAGACTCGTGTCTTAGCAAAAAAAAAAAAAGCTTGTTTTAAATATATTGGTGGAAAAGGGTAAAACCATGGCACAGTAAATGAAGGAAGCCAGGATGTGGATATAGAGCAGTGTTTCTCAACCTTGACAATTTTAAGGCATGTGGACTTTAACTCCCAGAATTCCACAGCCAGCAATGCTGGCTGTGGAATTCTGGGAGCTGAAGTCCATATGCCTTAAAATTGTCAAGGTTGAGAAACACTGATATAGAGAAAGTGCTTTTGAAAAAGTGTTTTATGGCTTACATGATGAGTCATTTAGGGCCAATGTGGTAGAGGGAGCAATGTCAGTTTGAAGGTCTTGAGAACCTCAGTTTACTAATCCCTAGGGTGGGAGATCAGATACATCCCACCCACAGTAGTTTCCCTTACTATACATACATTAGTTGACTTTCTCCAGGGGGAAAGCTCTGAAAAGTCCCAAGTGAAGAGTGTCCAACCCTCACCCCTGTATAAGAATTTTTTTTTTAAAAATGGCACCTATAGGAAGAATTAGGACTTAATTCTTAACTCTTCAGAACTGGAAGGGCAACCAGAAACACAGTGACGATCCATCTAAAATCCCATTTTGCTTTTTTACAGCTGACTTAATTTTTTCGATGTTGACCACGGTTCATAGACTACTCTAATCTTTGTTCTTTTCCCAGTTTAACACTGGTTTACCAGTGAAATCTTTGGTCTTTTGCTGGGGTCCGTACTCACTTTTAAGTATGTATGCTGCAGTTGAAAACGTGGCACTCGTTTCGCCCAAAATCCTAATGGTAAGTAAGAAAACATATGAGGTCCCATCACACGGACATCTCTCCTGAAGCTGAAAGAGAATCCGTTCCCTCTAAAGTGTGTCCCTTTTACAGTTGCCTTCAAATTTGCTTTGTTGGTGTGATTTGGGATTTCCATTTTTGGTAGGAGAGAGCACAGGGTGTCCCAAGTGTTCTTATTTATTTATTTATTTCTAACATTACCTGCTTCTCCATCTCTTTAGAGCACCCTCTCAGCCCACCTTGGGAATGCCTTTTTCTGAGGTTTTACTGAAAGGGCTAAAATGGTGCCTGGACAAGAAGGAGGGCTGCCAGACCTGCAGTTTTGATATGAAATTGATGGTGGTGGTGGTGGTGGTGGTGGTGGTGGTGATCAGGAGGATCAGGAGCATGAGCAGTATGATCGTGATAATGATGATGGTGATGATGATGATGATGATTGATGAGGATGATGGTTAGGATGGTGGTAAGAAGGTGGTGGTGGTGAGGATGATGATGATGGTGATCAGAAGGATGATCAGGATGACCGTGATAATGATAATGGTGATGATTGGTGAGGATGGTGGTGAGAATGGTGGTGAGGAGGAGGATGGTGGTGATGGTGAAGATGATGATGATAATGAGGGTGATTATGGTGATCAGGAGGATGATCAGGATAATCATGATAATGATGATGGTGATTGATGATGGTGAGGATGATGGTGAGGAGGAGGATGGTGGTGGTGAGGATGATGATGATGATGATGATGATGATGATAGTGAGGATGATGATCATGATGATAATGATTGATTGATGAGGAGGAGGAGGGTGGTGGTGGTGAGGATGATGATGATGAGGATGATAATAGTAATGGTGATGTTGATGATTGATGAGGAGGAGGAAGATGGTGAGGATGATGGTGATGATGAGGATGAAGATAGATAATGATTCAGGAGGAGGAAGATGGTGAGGGTGATGGTGAGGATGATGATATGAAGATGATAATGATAATGATGATTGATGATTGATGATGATGATGATGATTGATGAGGAGGAGGAAGATGGTGAGGGTGAGGATGATGGTGAGGATGAGCATGATGAAGATGATAATGATGATTGATGATGATTGATGAGGAGGAGGAAGATGATGATGATGATGATGATGATGATGATGATGATGATGATGATGATGATATGACTTTCTCACAGATTCCTGCTCTTGTTGCCAAGACTTCACCAACCGTGAATGCCCTCATTTACGCCTTGGGGAATGAGAACTACCGAGGAGGGCTGTGGCAGTTTCTCACAGGAGAAAAAATGGAGAAACCCAAAACTGATGACAAAATTAACTAATTCATGTTCCGCACATGGATTGGAGGTGTGGAGGTCAGGCCCGACCTTCAAAATGTCACCTGTGACAAAGAGAGCTGGACGCCTCAACATCCCAAGGAGAGCCAGAATTGGCTCCTGCTCCCTCTGGTCTATCAAATACGGACATCTCACTACATAATGTGTCATGTGATCCTTCATTGAGAACCCCCCAATACAGGTAGTCCTCAACGTACGACCACAATTGAGCCCAAAATATCCGCCGCTAAATGAGATACTTGTTAAGTGAATTTTGCCCCATTGTATGGCCTTTCTCACCACACTGCAGCTGTTCAGTTAGCATCACACTTGTTACGTGAATTCTGGCTTCCCCACTAACTTGGCTTGACAGAAGGTCAAAGGGGAACACACGACCCTGTGCAATGTGGGTCGGTCTGGAAAATGACCCTCAGTCGCTTTTTTTTCATGTAACTTCATTGTAACTTCCCACTATCACCAAGTGGGCTGTTGTCAGGACCAGCGGTCGCTTGGCACCACAAACAAGGGCAACCTCACCAAAACAGGATCCACAAACAGGCCACCCACATTTTCCCCATTGTCTGCTACGTTGTTAAAAGAGTTGCGTGGTGCAGATGCTCCTTCCGGCGCTTGTCACTCAACCTGTATGTCACCACCCTCTGCAGCTGCCTTTCCGTCCATCTGTCGCTGCAAATAAATGGCAACCTGTCAACAGTCTGGCTGCCTTCTTTCTATGGATGATGGGTCTCAGTTCAGAAAGAGGAAGGCAAATTACTGGAAGGGAGGAAGGGAGACAGCTGGGCAAGGCTAGATTTCCCTTTGTGGTTTTTTTTTTCTAGGTTATTCAAGAGATTAAAATAGTATCGGCTAGGGCAGTCATGTCAAACACAAGGCCCAGGGGCCGAACTGGTTTAATGTGGCCCACGAAGCCATCCTGGAAACAGTGAGGGAACGGCCCTCACTTGCTTGGCCCAGGCCGGCCGGGAGCCGATATACAATTTTGTGGTGGCCATCTATGCTGAAATGCATTCAGTCTTAGCTCCACAAGGCCGTCCGGAAACAGCGAGGAACCAGCCCCTGCCGCGTTGGCCCCAATCCCTGGGTGCATGCTGGGGAGGTGTCTCCCTTTGTGAGGAATGAAGAAATGGACCATGCCTTGGTGCTTGCCCCGGTCCCACCCCCTTCTGCCAGAGACCCCCAGATCTGTCCCACTCCTGCCCAGGCCCCCACAGGCACCCTTGACGCGAACGATGTAGAGCTGGCCATGCCCACTCAGTAGGCCACACCCACTCCATCCACACCCACCCAGTAGGCCGCACCCACCCTGGCCACACACCCCGCCCACCCCCGCCCCTGAGGGCAACTGCAATGCTGATGTGGCCTTCAATGAAATTGAGTTTGACACCCCTGGGCTAGGGCTAACGCATAAAGTAGAAATAGGGGTGACATGATAGCAATATTCCAGTATTTGAGGGGCTGCCACAAAGAAGTGGGGGCCAAGTTGTTCACCAAAGCACCAGAAGGAAGGATGAGAAACAATGGACGAAACCTGACCAAAGAGAGAAGCAAACTGGAATTAAGGAGAAAGTTCCTCACAGTGAGGACAATTAACCAGTGGAACAGCTTGCCACCAGAAATCCTGGTCGCTCCATCACTGGGGGTTTTTAAGAAGAGACTAGACAGTCACTTGTCTGAGATGGTATAAGTCCTCCTGCTTGAGCAGGGGGCTGGACTAGAAGACCTCCAAGGTCCCTTCCAGCTCTGTTCTATTCTAAATGTGCTTGGCCTGCCTTTGCCATATTTACCCAGTGGATCCGTGCCTGCAAAACTCATATATTCTTTTAACAACTCTCCAATCCCTTGCTTTGGGGTGGGGTCAGGCTGCTTGGAAGCTGAGCCTTTACTGACCAGATGCCCTTGTTTACGTTATATAAATATAATTAACCCAGTCCTGTGCAAATTAAATGTTCTGTAAAACAAAACAAACAAACAAAAAAGCAGTTTCTCCCACACCGCTTTCTCTGTTTTGAACTGCGGAGAAAAGGACTGGAAACATCAACCCCCCCCCCAAAAAAAATCCACCCACCCATTCAGTCAATCCAAACGAAGGCCTTAAGAGAATCACTTATTAAGGAATGATCTGTGCTCTTGTTTCCTGCATCCATTCTGCCTTGTTTAATCCTCTTACGCAGCTCTTCACTGACGTCGTAGCAGCCATATCAGGCCATTCCTTCAAAGTCTCAGCTACTACGAAGGAAGACAAATGAGGTCTTTTCTTTCCATCCCTAACTTTTAACGTTGGGGGGAGGGGGGTTGAGGGCACTAGTCTTCCTATTCTGAGCCTGTTTTGGGTACGTGGGGGCACTTTTTATTCACACATGCAATAGGAAGGGAGGAAACGGATGGCTAATGTTAAGTTTAATTTTATGGTGAATTTTGAGTCAGCCCCGACGGAGTGAACTGACCTGCAGACTCGACAACTGACCTCGATAATCCCTCAAGGCCGATCCTGCATCCAGTATACAATTGCAGGCTGGATGTCCCTTCTGCTTTCAGAAATTAAGCCAAACATCTGGGCAGCTACGAGAGAGGGAAGCCGCCAGCGCTGCATCTGCCAGGAGCAAATGGGTTTATTGCCCAAAACATGTGCATTCCATTCCTTAGCAGACCAGCGCTGTTTTTTTTTATTATTATTGTGGATCAACACATTCAGCATATACCAAGCTGAAAAAAGAAAAAGAGAAGAAGAGGAAGCAGGAAGGAAGAGAGGGATAGAGATGAAGAAAGAAAGAAAGAAAGAAAGAAAGAAAGAAAGAAAGAAAGAAAGAAAGAAAGAGAGAGAGAGAGAGAGAGAGAGAGAGGAGAGAGGAAGGGAGGGAGGGAGGGAGGGAGGTGAGAGGGAGGGAGGAAGGGAGGAAGAAAGGAAAGGGAAGGAAGGGAGGGAGGGAGGGAGGGAGGGAGGAAGGAAGGAAGGAGAGGGAGGGAGGGAGGGAGGGAGGGAAGACGGAAGGAAGGAAGGAAGGAAGGAAGGAAGGAAGGAAGGAAGGAAGGAAGGAAGGAAGGAAGGAAGGAAGGAAGGAAGGAAGGAAGTTAATGCTCATTCCACATCATCTAAAACATTTCAGTTTTGAGCACCATACCTAAATCTGCACACCAAAAACAATCCAACTTTTGCTGCCAATTGGTCTTTGAAAATCAAATTTGAATGAGAGAGAGGAGAGACGAGACACGAGAAGAAAGAGAGAGAGAGAGAGATGTGTTAGAAACATCTGGAAAAAGAGGGAAAAGCTATTTCTAAGATGCTTGATTGATTAGATTATCCAAGTAGTTGATTAAGGACGTAAACCATCCTTGCTTCTGTGACGCTTAGAGGCAAACTGGAAAAAGGATCCTCCTGGAAAAGGCCACGAGCAGGTTACCATGTTTGGAAAAGGTAAAAAGCTTCCTCCAAATCCATCTTGAAGCTTGCACTGTTTGTTTCGGAGCCAGTTCTGTCTGGAAATGGGATTTGGTCATCTTCGTGTGCCTAACGGGTGGGTAACTCACAGTGGCCTTTTACTTACTTTGCTTGCCCTGGATTTCAGCCAACAGTTGGGTGGTTTTGCTGTCTTCAGAATCAGAAAGGAGAACACCACAATCTACTTAAAACATCAGGAAGAACAGTCTGTGGATTTGAGGGCAATCCACCTTGCAAAGATGCTTTAATCAGAAAGAGGGACAAGCTCTCATGAACCTATTATGCCTTTATGTGGTTATCAAACCATGCTGATACACCATGGTTAACATAAACCCAACAACAGAATATGCACAAAGAACACGTACATAAGAATTCACATACTAGATGGCCAATAGGCTCATTGTCCAAACGTTGCTAGCAATACACATTTCTCTTCCTATCTAAACAATCTTTGAAATATTTGTGTTCTCAGTTTTCAGTCTTCCATTGATAAGGACATCCATTGGACAGAAAATCTAAACCTAATAGGAGGTTCTTGCTTTGACAACAGATGGAAATGCCACCATTTTACTCTTTTGCTTTTAGACTTAGTTGATGCTGGGAGGGGGGATGTGGATGAGAGTCCAGTTAGTCATAACAATAACTCAGCCGTGAGAACCCAAGGTCATTGCGCCCAGAGTTGATAGAGTTTTGGCGGGCTGGAGAGTTGGGGAGAAAGCCCATGCTTCAAGCTAATTGGGGAATGTGATTTATGACTGTTAATTGGAGGAGGGAATTGTGCTTTGCTACTTTGTGCCCAGGGAGGGGAATTCAGTTTTTGGCTTCAAGTATGTAGTGCCGATATTTTGTTTCTCGAATAAAAGATTCTTTAAGGTAAACAATGCCTCAAAGTTCTTTTGAAGAGTTTCATCTGTCAGAACCATGACACATGACCTACCATAACTACAATTCAGTGACACTTATTCTTTGAGGGGGGAAAAATTGTCATTTTTTTTATTTTGTCCTGCCTCATTGAATGCCACAATGAAAGGATGTCTGTCATCTCAAGGGAGCATAAACTGCAAATGTGAAAAAAGATAATTTAGCCTATTGATCACAGGCATCTGATGGTGGTGGTGATGATTTTTGGAACCAGTGCAAATTTTTTCTCACTTAAATCATGGGTGGGAAACTTTTAACCTGGAATGTAAAAACATTCACATACATCCAAATGAATATTTTCTTTATTGGCACATAATAAATATTCTGATTTTTTTTACAGAGATAGATTGATTCATCAAAAATATCTTAGTGTCTGAAGTCAAGATGCTTTACATTTTGAAGAATATATCTGAGAATAATTGTTTTGTAATTAATTGTCCATAGATATTTTATTGAATATTGCACACAACATATTTATAAATGTAGGTAAGGCTAAATGCCTATTTTGGATAAACACTTAAAATATCATTAAAACCAGGCCCATTTGTAGGTAGTGGCATAAATGTTCTCTGTGTGTGTGTTTAACTTAATAAAAAATTCAAAATATATATATTTGAAAATAAAGTATGAAAATTGATATTAAAGATTATCAGGGCAAACAAGCAAATTATGTAATCATGTACACTGTGATATCTAAGGACTTTCAAATGAGCTGTATTTAAAAGAATCTGTAAATGTTGCTGTTTTTTATAGAGAATACCTAATTTACAAAAGGTAACATGGATTTAACTGTAATTACATTTCTCTACCACGAGGTGACGGTAGTTCACCACAGATAATTCTGGACCTTTTTTATTTTAAAAAATGCGCTGTCCATTTGTTTGTGGTTCTGAAGTTGCTTCTCGTCTACAGTTGATCATTATGTCTGGTAACAAATGTGGATTTGCCATTTCATGGAAACATTATTAGAATGAAACTCAGTCCTAGCTCGCTGACGTTATTTGCACACACACACGCACACACAAACACACAAAGACACGTACACACTTCAGACATGAAAGACAATACTTGGAATAGCCCACTCTTTAAATTAATCCATCTAAAAAAAACAAGGCATCTCTTATACTATGAATTGGGGAATGAATGAATGAATAAATGAATGAATGAATGAATCCATCTCTTCTAGAGTTTCTGGGCTGTAAACTGTCCTTTGGGAGAAAGGATGTATTGAGCCTATTGTTGGCAAAGTGGGGATGGGAAGTGGGGATAGGAAGTGGGGATGGGGAGGAGGAGGAGGAGGAGGAAGAGGAGGAGGGAGGAAGGAAGGAAGGAAGGAAGG